TAGTTTGTATTTGAGTCTTTGCGTATTGTTTGCATGACTCTTTCCTGAGTTTCCGGTTCAAGCTCTTCAAACAGAGCTTGTCCATATGGAATAAGCTCGTTTCCAAATATATGTTTTTGTAGCCATTCTGGTTTTCTTTCCATGTTACCAACTATATCTTTTGTGAATGGGAAAGCTTTTACCCAATCTTTCAGTCTTTCGTCATTTATTTCTGTAGTTGGTTTTATTTTGTCAAGGAACATGTTTTTCAATACTAACATTTCATTTGGTACTGTCCATTTGAGTTTTCTTAAATATTCATCCCTTCTCGGTTCATTGTCTGCAAAGTAAGTTTTTATGACATTTTGTAAACTTTCATTTGCAAGGTCATGTACAATAGGTTCTCTTCCTTCTGTCTCCCTAACTTTCTTTCTAAACTCTTCACCAAATATACCATCTTTATGGTTCTGTGTAGTTCTTTGAGATAAATGTTTTAGAACGTCAGGTGTTATATTTCCATCAGCCATGTTCATTTCATACTGGTTCAAAATATCTGCATCTTTCATATCTTTCAATGGCATTAAAGCCGCGCTTAAAATACCAGCTATATCTGGTTCACCATTGACTTCCATTGCGTCTACAACTTCTTGGAATTGTGGTTGTAAGTTTATGAACCACCTATCCTGGTTAGCTTTATGACCCCATCTCATTGTAGTTCCATCGTCTGCAGAAACAAAAGTAGGTTTGTTTCCATCTTGGTTAGGTTCTGAATGAACTTTAAACAATGTTTCATTTCTATATGTTTTCTTGAAATTTAACCTTTTATTTTCACCGAGTTCAGCCAAAGATTGAACGTTAAATGCTCGTAAGTAAAAAGGGTTGTTGTATTTGTGTACATTTTCTTTCAGTACTTCCATTCTATGCTGAATATTTTCATCTGGTGTTGGAGTCTTTTGTATGTCGGCAAACATTTTTCGATATTCTTCTACTATGTCAGCCGAATTTTTTTTAGACTCTTGGAAATATTCCATATTCTCCGCATACTCTTGTTGAGGGTCAAGATTTTTCGGCTGTTCCAAATCTTCATCTAGTTCTGTGAAGTTAGTTTCCAAAGGAAGGACTTGTTCGTTTCCTTCAGGCTCTTCTAGCTGTTGTTGCTGAACTATTTCTTCCATGTCTGGTTGTATCTGAACTTCTTCCTGTGGAGTTTCTTGTACCTCATCTGCTGGCATTTCATATATTCCGAGACCGTTTTCAACAATTTCCCTATCTACGTCATCCGCATTCATAAGCTTTTGTTCTTTCGTTCCGTCTCTATTTTTTACGCGTTTCATGACGAAAGTTGAATTGTCATTTAGCTCTGACATCAAATATCTCGGAGTAAATTCATCCATGTCATTTGGATGATATGCTATTAAATCATATCCCTTAGCGAGCTTGTATTTTCCAGGTTTGAGATTATATCCGTTTTGGTGCTGAGCCATAAAGCTAAATAGGTTCGGGTCAGTATTTCCATCCTTGAACTTTCCAATAGCTTCTTTATATCTGTCACTAAAGTCAACAGTATCTGGGAAACCACACTCTTCTTTAAGCATTTTTAAGAATTCTTGGTTTCCTTGTTCTCTACTTCTTTTATGTCCTTGCTCTGTTTGTGGTTGTTGTTGTGCAGGGTTTTGAACTGTTGGTTGCTGTGCTGGTTGTTGTGTTGGTTGTTGTGCTGGTTGTGGAGGTGGTTGTTGTGCTGGTTGTTGTGTTGGTTGTTGTGTTGGTTTTGGTGCATGCCTGTGTCTGTGTCCATGTGACGATGTAAATGTTCTAGGTAGTCCTGGTGCAGGTGCTTCTCTTGGAGGGTTTGGTGGTATATAAATTCCAACAGCTGGTATATAAGTTCCACCAGCTGGCACATATGTTCCATCTGCAGCGTAATGTCCTACCTGACTTTTCGTTCTTAAGAAAGCATTTACTAGGTCTGTTTTGGTCTGTTGTAACTCTTTTTCTTGACTTTTCACAACAGTTGCTCTAACGGCGTCATAGGCACTTTGAACTGCCTGTCTCGTTGCTGCATCTGTTATTTTCGTCATATTTTGTGCTACTTCTTTTAACTCTTTGTCGAAACCTTCAGACTTCAGTTTCTTTCCAGATGAGAAGTCGTTCACTTGTTTCACCTTACTATGAAGAGCTTCGAAGGCGTTCTTAAAGTCAGCATTTGTTAAAGCTTCATTTGAACTGTCTTCATCCGCTTGTATTTTTGTCCTTATTGACCCTATGAGTTGGGCTGCTTTAGCGTTGGCTTGGGCATCTAACCAGTCATTGTTAGCTTTTATATATTCTGCGCTTTTCATTGCCTTTTGCATGGCTGCGTCGTTATTTTTACTTTCTTGTGCTAAGTTTTCATACTGTACGGTTTGGTTTTGCAACTGTAAAAGTTTTTCTGCCTTTACATTTGCTTCAACTTCTTTTTTATACTCATCGCTATCCATATATGTCTTCAGGGCTTTTTGTTTTATCTCTTCATCTTTCAGTATTTTATATTGAGTAGTATGGTTTTTCAAATTTATGACATCTTGTTCCATTTTTGCTACTTCTGCTGCTTTTTCTGACACTTTTTTCGCATATTCCTCTGTACTTAGTTCTTTCAGTTGTTCTTCTTTCTTCTTTTTCTCTACGTTTAACTCATTGAGTTTCTTTGTGTGTCTGTCATATTCTAGTTTCTTTTCGTTTTCACTTATTTGCTTCTGTATGTCTATGTTTGACTTTTTGACATCTGCTATTTGATTTTTGAGTGAACTCAAATTCATTTGACTTTGAGGGTTATATGCTGTTCCGTCTGCAGCTCCACCATAGCCTGCCATTTTCGCTAAAAGTGCCGCTCTTAAACCTCCACTCTGTGCACCAAGAACTCGGTTTAAAAGCATAGGATTGCTTGACATTTGTTGCAACATAGTGGGGTCATTCAGCATTTGTTGTTGCAACTGTTGTTGTGGTGTCAGTTTTACTATTGGATGTTTCAATGCTCTCTTCCTCTTACGTATATTCTTACGTAGCTTACGTGGCATTTTAAGTGAAGTTAAAAAGCGGTTTTTGACAGATGTTTATTGTGACTTCTTCGTAAAGACTTTGTTAAGACTTCTTCGTAAAGACTTTGTTGAGATTTCTTCGTAAAGACTTTGTTGAGATTTCTTCGTAAATGACCCAAAAATATATTTTAGGTGAAGAGGTGAGATTTCACCTCTTTTTTCACCTCATTTCTCACCTCTTGAATTTTCATGAATTTCTTCGTAAAGACTTTGTTAAGACTTCTTCATCTAATTTCTCATGAACTTTCTTGTCTATGTTTTGTTGAGATTTCTTCGTAAAGACTTTGTTGAGATTTCTTCGTAAATGACCCTAGTAGTATATTTTTGGTGTAAATTTCATGAAAATTCAACGGGTGAAAAATTAGGTGAAAAAACAGGTGAAATCTCACCTCTTCACCTAAAATATATTTTTGGTGTAAATTTCATGAAAATTCAAGAGGGTGAAAAATTAGGTGAAAAAACAGGTGAAATCTCACCTCTTCACCTAAAATATATTTTTGGTGTAAATTTCATGAAAATTCAAGAGGGTGAAAAATTAGGTGAAAAAACAGGTGAAATCTCACCTCTTCACCTAAAATATATTTTTGGTGTAAATTTCATGAAAATTCAAGAGGGTGAAAAATTAGGTGAAAAAACAGGTGAAATCTCACCTCTTCACCTAAACATTATTTTGGTGTAAATTTCATGAAAATTCAAGAGGTGAGAAAAGAGGTGAAAAAACAGGTGAAATCTCACCTCTTCACCTAAACATTATTTTTGGTGTAAAATTCTGAGTAAAATGACAGATGGAACACATACTTTTTCAGTAAGTACATATGGGGTAGAAAAGAGGGTAGAAAACGGGGTAGATATACCCTTCTACCCTAAAATTATTTTTGTCTGATTTACGCTCATTACGATGAAGTTTTGACAAAGTCTTTACGAAGAAATCTTGACAAAGTCTTTACGAAGAAATCTTGACAAAGTCTTTACGATGAAGTTTTGACAAAGTCTTTACGATGAAGTTTTGACAAAGTCTTTACGATGAAGTTTTGACAAAGTCTTTACGATGAAATCTTGACAAAGTCTTTACGATGAAATCTTGACAAAGTCTTTACGATGAAATTCATGAAAATTCAAGAGGTGAAAAATGAGGTGAAAAAACAGGTGAAATCTCACCTCTTCACCTAAAATATATTTTTATTGAATTCTGTATAATATTCTGAGTAATATGACAGATGTTTATATAACACTTTCTCCGGTTTATAGGACCTCTCTCATATTCTATCTTGTCATATCAAAACTCATAGTCATGTTTGTCCTCTAAGACTTCATTTATACTAAACATCTTCAGGGCTAGAAGGCACGAAGTGCCTGGAAGCCCCACTTCCTTTTTTTTTTTTTTTTTTTTTTTTTTTTATATTGAGGGAAAAAGTCACGCGAAAAATTGTAATTTTTTATTACCATATAAACCAGATTTTTTTACCTTGGGGTACGTTTCCCAGCGGTTATTAACCAGAATCGCCCAGCTTAAAAAGCTCCTTACGATTCAAGATTTTAAAGCAATTTTTATGATTATTAAAGAAAATTTCAAGCATTTAATGTAAGGGGGTGTGGCTCAGTGGTAGAGTGCGACTTTAGCATAGTTGAGGCCGGGGGTTCGATTCCCCCCATCTCCATTTTTGCCCTTTGAAGTATCCTATCCAATTAAATATTCTATTCCGAGAGAATAAGGACCATATTCAGTATCTATCTATATTTAATATCTACTTTTTCTACAATATTAGCTACAATTAAACTAAATTTAGATCCAATTCGAACAAAGTTCTTTAATGTCTCGCTTATTAAGCCTTGAAAACATGTGTAAATTCATGGCTGATGAAATATTTATTCATTAATTAATATAAATCAAAAAATTTATTTTTTGCAAACATAAATTTCATATTATCAGTTAAATCGCTATTCCTATTTTGGAACTTCATCTAGAGGTGGCATTGGATGACCATTTGGCAACTTATCCATCTTGAATAACTCAGAGAAACAAGGATGTTGCATGCATTGAGCTGCGGTAAATCTTTTCTTTGGAGAATAGACGAAAATATTATTAAGTAAATCAATAATATCATCTGGAGTATGTGAAGGAAGCAAAATTTGAAGAGGTTTTCTCTTATATTGTGTTGTTGGTGAGAATTTGACATTCATATCTTGGATATCCTCTGGAGTTGGTGTTCCAAGTATATTCATCGTAAGATCGATCATTTCTTCGGAGGTTCTTGAAGCAAATATTGGATTTACACCGCGTAACATTCTTGTTATAACACATCCTGCAGACCATATATCCATAGGTGCTCCGCATGTTTCAGAATGTAAGAAACTCTCAATTGCTCGATATAATCGGGATCCAGCATAACATATTGAATTTTGACCAAGCTTAGGCCTTTTTGCAGAACCAAAATCGCATATCTTTAAAACGCCTGTTTCTGGATCGATAAGCAAGTTTGATGTTTTTATATCGCGATGAATGTAGCCAATTGTATGCATATGATTAAGTCCGGAGAACATTTGATAAGCAAACAATTTGACTAAAATAATAGGAATGTGATCATGGTTCTTGACAAATTTCATATCAAAGTTTGAAAGATTTTCTGGTAAATATTCCATGACAATGTTTTCAACGTCTCGATCGTATTTTTTATCATGTGTCTGAAAATGTCTTCTCAGTTTCACACAATTATGATGATGCAATCTTAACATCACTTTAATTTCTCTGCTACGAATTTTAGGGTCTTGTGGGATGCACTTTATCGCACAAGTTTCATCATTTAGCCCGATGGCCAGATATACTATTCCGAATGATCCTTGATCAATTACACTAACAGATTTAAATGCCTTTCCTACTTTGACTGGACATTTTGGCATTGGAAGTTTTTCTTTCTTTGCTTTGTCATCCATGCTCTTGGCGTTTTCTGTCATATTTTTTGAAAAAATCTTAACCACCTTACATTTTACGAAAACTATTTTATAGATCAATATCACACCATAAAATTAAAAAACGAGATTTGAGACCATCTTCAATTTTTTCTGACAATTTTTACATTTAAAATTTCAAAAATGATGCTTCCCATGATATAGATCCGTTGTTAAAATCCGAAACAGACAAAAAAACTCTAACGTATTTCCAATAATTTTTAATTATTTTTGATACATGCAAATTGATCTCTTATATTGATTGAATAATGTCAAAAGTTACGAGTAATTTACAAGAGTGGGGGACAAACTCGCCCATTGTCACTTTTTCATTAACCTTAAACTTGTAATTTTCATTATTTTTAATTAACCTTATTTCTTTCCCAATTCCTGATTTATTTTATTCACTTACTATTAAAAGTCACATTTTAATAAAATATAATAATTTATTTATAGCATTTTTTACTATACTGTAATAAAAAATTAATTATAATAAATTAAATGTTTATTAAATCAAATGTTTTCTTTGCAATAATATTTTTAATGTTGAGTAAACAATGTTGGGATCAAGTGTATCATTTTTCAGACCTTTCTGAACAGCTTCAAGCATACTGATGCATTCGACTTTTTTAAATTGTGTCATTTCTTCGAAATCTCTTGTGACTTTTTTGATAACTTTAACACTTCTCTCTGAATCCAGACCTTTAATTTGCAACTTAATCAGGAATGAAGGAACAACACTGGAATATAACTCGATGACAAGTTCATCGAGTCGAAGATTTCGCCTTTCTGGGAAGTACTGGTGCTTCAAAACCTTGAAATGTGATTCCGAGATGTTGTTTGTTCCATCTCCTTCATTTCTATAGCGAAGCATCCACCTGTCAAGATGATGGCGCCACTGTCGGTCAAAGTATTCACGGGCAGCAGGTTCCTCATTTAAAATTTCTTCTAAATTGTTGTAAACTTCATCAGGATCAATTTCTTCCTCTTCAGAACCAAAGACCAATAACTTCATTAAGTTATAGAAAGTTTCGAAGTTGGAACGATCTTGAAACTTTTCAGCCTTTCTCATGACAGCGCGCAACACATGAACGCCACACCAAATGATCTGGCATAAGGGGATGGCTGTTTCAACAGCATTTGTGATTTGAGGTGCGCAGTCCATTGAAAAATAAGATGGTTCGCGATTGATGGAGCCAAAATATGCTGTGAGACAAACTTGTATATTTTCACTTGTGTCGGGCCAAACGAAAAAATACAAAAACGGAAAAAAATTGATTCCGCGAATTTGCCAGTGACGGCATAAAATGGTATGCGAGAGCGCAAGAGCTTATAAGTGGAATCAATGTGATAAGTTTGTATTTGATGTGAAAAAGCATTTGCTTCGAATGGGGCGTAATAGAAAATCATACGATCTGGCTCGTGAATAAACTCGATGAGATCATCCGGAGAATGACTCTTAACCATGTCGACAAAAATTGCAAGAGATGTAACATCATCCGCTGAGAAACGGGTATTGATTGCATGAAGGCGTTTAGAAAACTTTTTTAAAGCATCTGTAGATTGTTGAAACATTTCCGGAATGATCCCACTATCAAATGGGATATTAAGATCTTTGAAACACCTTAATTGTGCGTAAACACGGTCTTGATTTGATTCAAAATATCTTGTTAAATAAGATCTATAAAAATATGATGTAATTTGTTGTGATTTGTTTGGAAAAGGGGCAGAATGATTGTGGGTGTTAATACATTTTCGTATGTGGTACTTGTCATCGGGAAGTGTATCAACAAGGAAGCGACATGGACAATTCGGCCACTTACAATTAAATTGGATTTGATTTCTTTCTTTCCTAGTTTTATATGAATAACTACAATCTGCTTGGATTTCTTATTGCACTCTATACTTAAGCAACTCGATATATGTGAGTTCGTGATCTTGGATCTGCATTAAAATGAAATGATTTGAAAGAATAAAGAATTTTGAATATATTGGTCTTATTTTGATAAGCTTGGTCGTGTTTTGAATAGCTTGGCCATCTAATTCAATTATGATCTTTGAAAATTAGGTGAAATAAAACTAAACATAAATGTAAAACTAAGGATATGAAATTTTGGTTGTACACCACTTGTATGTGCCGGATACCATTGTGTCAAATTTTTTCTGAAATTAACTTTAAAAGTACTAAGTAAGATCATGAGATATAGCAATATATGTTTAAACCAACTTATATTTTGGTTGTACACCACTTGTATGTGCCGGATACCATTGTGTCAATTTTTTTCTGAAATTAACTTTAAAAGTACTAAGTAAGATCATGAGATATAGCAATATATGTTTAAACCAACTTATATTTTGGTTGTACACCACTTGTATGTGCCGGATACCATTGTGTCAATTTTTTTCTGAAATTAACTTTAAAAGTACTAAGTAAGATCATGAGATATAGCAATATATGTTTAAACCAACTTATATTTTGGTTGTACACCACTTGTATGTGCCGGATACCATTGTGTCAAATTTTTTCTGAAATTAACTTTAAAAGTACTAAGTAAGATCATTTATTTTTGCATAATATAATGCCAATATGGTTTCTTTTGATTTTATTTCATTTATAAGCAAATCAGATTTACCCAAAAACTCCACTCCATAAGCGTTCATTTGCTAAATTAAAAAGTGACAATGGGCTAGTCTGTCCCTTTCTCTAATTTACAAAAAAAAGTATTGTTTAATAGGGATTATTAGAAATTTACGTTCTAAAATAAGAGTCAACAATGAGAGTAATAAAAATTAAGAATAATTCAGATCATTTCGTATCCAAGATTAATTTCAAAAACGAATTAATTGGAAGTTAATTAAAAAAGATGAGATATTATTAAAATGACAGACAAATTTTATTTATTTTTGGAATAATTTCACTAATTTAGAAGAAATTTGAGATTTTTGATCAATTTCTTCAGGAATTTTCCTCGCAGAGAGAATTCTCTGAATAACATTCAGAGATTGCTTCAGTTTTGCAGCTCTTAGAAGACATTTTATCTCATCAATTTCCAAATCTCCTGTTTTCTTTTCAATTCTCTCTAAAACAGGAATTGACATTGTTTGGTCACCAGCAGCAGCCACAATGGCCATTGTAGCAAGCTTCTCTTTTGACAACAAGTCAAAAACATCGTCAATAACGTCATTTGCCAAGAAAGGTGATAAAGAAATAGCCAAAAGGGCCAAATTATGGAGTGTAACATTTCCTGATCTCAACATTGATGAAATTGATGATTTCGGAATTCTTTTGGCCTCATCAAGTCCAATTAAACATCTAACACCTGCTGCGACCAAATAATCTTCATTTGACGATAAAGCCGAGACACAAACATCTTCAACAGCTGCTTTAAGAGCTTGGTCAACTCCGACTGAAGCGCAAACTTCGAGAGAAGTAGCAATATTCTTTGGCCTCTTGGAGTATATTGCACATAGATCAGCGCATCCACTCTTACAGCCAGTTGCAACAATGTCTTCATCAGTTTTTTCGTCAATTGAAGAGATTTGTTCGACCAATCTTACAGCAACAGACGGCGGAACACTTCCATTGGGTAGACTTCTAAGGAACTTAACTACTTCTGGAAGTTTCTTCGTTGCGAAGAACAAAGTTGTAAATTCAACTTTATCCTCCTGTTTTTCTATCTTAGAAATATACTCCCAGCACTCATCTACTATATCCGATGGCAATCCGAGCATCTGAAGTTTACGAATCTGATTGGCCGTGTTATTTCCTATATCAGATAAAATCTTTTTGACGTCATTCTTCAATTGCTCGCTTGTATTGGATGTCTGAGCCACATATTTCTTAAACTCACTCACATCGCACCCGTTAAAAACGATCTCTCCCGTAGAAAGTCTCTTCACAATTTCATCGAAAGTTGGTCGGATGTCCGGATCACGTTCCCAGCACATAGTTATCAAGTCCCTCATAGGAGGATTCAAGTCTTCAGGTATTTGTGGTCTTAAATCGTTGTTCAGCACCTGATGAATGATAGAATTTGAATCCATTCCTTGATAAGGAACTTTTCCAACGGCGATTTCCCACGCAACAATGGCGAACGCGTAGACATCGATCTTGGAAGTGTATCTACCATTGGTTTGGAGTACTTCTGGGGCCATCCAGTGAGGAGTTCCGATGTTATGTTTCATGAAGGTCGTATCAGTTGCATGACGACTGAATCCGAAGTCGCAGATCCTTATTCTGTCGTCTTTATCAAGTAAAACATTAAGAGATTTCAGATCTCTGTGGACAATTTGCCTGTTATGAAGAAATTGCATTCCTCGGGCAATATCGTACAAAGTTATGGAGCGGCCGGTGGCGTCAAGGTGATGGTATGAATGGAGATCATGGTATAAGGAATGATTAGGCATCCATTCCATTATAATACAAAATGGAATTTTATCTGTAACTCCTACGAGATGAAGTAAGGCCGGATGGTTGGCATTTGCAAGAACAGCGGCTTCACGTTGATAACTTTGCAATCTGGGACCATTTAATCGCTTAAATTTGAATTTTTTAATTGCAACTTCATTTCCTGTCCTTTTATCTCTACCATAATAAACAACTGATGAAACACCACCTCCTATTTCTTTTATTTCTTCAAAATTACTGTAGTCGACAATCCATTTCTTATAATGGACTGGAATCGGAGAATAATTAATTTCTGGATCTGGTGGTAAATTGTCTAGTTGATTATTAACTGATTGCAAGCGAAGTCTAACTTTTGCTGCAAATTCTTGATCTAATTTATCTAAACTTAAAAATTGTTTAAATGAAGCTTGGATTGCACGAAGGTCTGTTATATTGTATGTATCCCATTGCTCAGATTCGGGCTCAATACAGTTCGCAGCTTCGATATCTAATGGTTTCAATGAAGCAAAGATGTCTAAGGAAATCTTTTTGAGTTTTTTGTAAATATAATTAGATTTGTTGATGATTGTTGTATTTGTCCATGTTTGCAATGTGTTATTCGATAGAATATCGTGTAATGAATTGATTGAGATTTGAAGTTTTTGGATTGCTTCTAAATTTGTTGGATTGTTAGGAACTGTTGCTATCTTTGTTCCTATTATCGCAAAAGATTTTCGAATCTGTGAAAATATAAATTCAAATTTTTTACGATGAACTGCTGTTTGATCCTCCAAGAAGCCACATACCTTGAATTGTTTTTGTATATCCTGCCAAATTCGTGATATATCCATTTCCAAAGATGTAACTCCTTTTCGGAAGAAAATATAAAAGTAACACCACACTTTCAATCTTAAAATTTAAACTCAGCAACTCATTAACAATTAGTTGCTAAATACACATATAATTTGAAATTCAAAAAATTATGGGCAATTAGCAAGTATCAAATAAAAAATACGATTGATTAATCTATAGAAAGGCATGCCATAGAGAGAACTACATATTAAATTACCAAGCTAACTAGTATTGATTGCGCATTCCTTAATATCTCAAAATTTATACTTTTGGTGTGATCACATTTGAGTGAAGCTCTTTTATTTGAATATAATAAGATTTAGATTGTTGAGCATATGAAAAAATTTACATTACAATTAAAGGAGTAATGAGAATTGGTGATAAATTGGAAATAAGAGTTGGATTACGACCACATGAACCACCTGCATAAGAACAGTCAACTTTGAATGAAATAGTAGGGATGCCATTAGAAATGAACATATCGCGTTTGCTCTTGTCACAGCGAACTGAACCACATCGGCGGAGAAGAGGAGATCCATCAAATGCACTTTCACCAATGCTGGTGAGACTGCTGCTAGTGACATATAGAAACGAGAGCTTAGGACAATCTTTGAATGATTCGCGACCAATAGTCTGGATGCTGTTGCCGCTGAAAAGAACACGGACAAGGTTAGGACAAGACATGAACGCGTAGTTCCCAATGGATGTCATAGTAACCGGGACAATGTATGTGTCGATGCGGCTCGACGGAATGAACGTGATAAGATTTGTTTCTTCGTAGTTGGTGAGTGCACCGTTGCTGAAGCGATATCGGTTGTCTTTAGAATCAAGCTTGATGGACTGAAGATTAGGGCAGTTAATGAATGCACCACCGTAGATCTGATCGATGTGACTATCAATAGAAAGTGTGACTGAGGAAAGAGAGAGACAGCTCCGGAATGCAAACGACTTGACAATACGAAGACTGCTAGGAATAACAAATGCTGCGAGCGAAACGCAGTTCTCGAATGATGAATCTTCGATAGTGTCGACAGAGACAATGTTGATCGAAGTGAGAGATGAGCACCCAAAGAAGCAGTTCGATGGGATGGTGACAGTTCGGAATGTGATTGTCTCAATGGAGCTTTCATAAAATGATCCGTAGCCAAAGGTGATTTCGTTATGAGCATTATCAAGGATAGTGATTCCGCTGTTTTTGAATGCGTAAGTGTCGATGTTTGAGATCTGCGTGGATGAAAGACCTATATCACCGATCTTAGAGCAGCCTGAAAATGCGTACTCTTGAATTGTTGTGATTGAACTAGGAAGGATGATATTTTCTAACAACTTGCAGTTTTCGAAACATTTCATTGATATAACTGTAAGCGGTGAATTCCTATCAAATGTTACCGTCTTTAAGTTGACACAATTAGCAAAGCATTCTCTGCCAATGGAACTTAAACTTGAAGGCAAAGAAATTGATTCAATAGAACTGCTCTGAAAAGCTTGAATATTAATATTATTTAATGTTGCTCCATTAAATGAAATTGATTTTAACTTTTTCCCAATAAATGTGCCTAATCCAATCTCAGTTAGTCCGTCTGGAACAACTAAGTTTTTGTTTGGATCAGTTCCAAAGTAACCGGAAAGAGTTTTCTTTTTGTTTGTAAACAGCATATCATCAACATAGTTAATATAGGGTGTCCAAAGGTGCGTTTAGCACAGCGCGCTATATGAGACTATTAAAGGAGATATATGCTGATTATAAATATATAATAAAAAATATGAATATATGTATATGATGAGTATGTTGTATTTTGGCGCCATGCCGGGATATAAAATGAATTTTGAGACAAGAGGCGGTTTCGCGGGAAATTTTGGCGGGATTTTTTTCATTTTTGTAATGAATCATAAAGAAAACATCCTCGCTCTTTGCAAAAAAATGCAAAGACTGTAAAAAATCTACGAGACATTGGTAAAATGCTTCGGTATGGATGCTCCTAGCTATTCCACTGTAACGTATCATGTTAGGATGTATCACTTCATGAACAAAAAGGCGCCCATCATATAAAAATTGACAAAAAATCGCCGGATCAAAGAAAAATCAAAGCAATTCTTCAAGCGCTAGATGAAGACCCAAGAGCATCACTCAGAAGGATAGAGGAGATGACAAAGATACCACGTACAACAGTCAGTTATTATCTGCACAATTATTTGAACTACAAACTAGCGTATACACGTTGGGTTCCGCACAACCTTAATTCAGTTCAAAAAAAATCTAGAGTCCAATCTTCGAAAGAGCTCCTCTCTATATTGGGTGCGTATCAATCCAAGAAGTTTCGCTTTTTAGTAACAGGGGACGAGTCTTGGTTTCAATATGCAACAGAAGCCAAAATCATGTGGATCCCGAAGGATGAAGATCCGCAAACATTCCCGAAGAAAAAAATTGACACACCAATGATGATGTTGTCGGTTTTTTGGGGCGTGAATGGCATCATCGCAATTGATATTCTTCAAAACCTAATACGATGAATGCTCAGTATCTAATTGACAATGTTCTTACTCAAATTATCAATTCTGATGAGTTTGAGAAATCCAAACAACAAAAACAAAAGTTTGCAATTCATTTTGATAATTCAAGAGTTCACAAAAGTCATAAGGTAATGAATTACTTGGTGGAAAACAATGTCAAAGTTGTTCCAAACCCAATTTATTCACCTGATATTGCACCCTCTGACTTTTATTTATTCGGCACGCTAAAAAAGAGAGCTGAAGGACGCAAATTCGCGAGTCCAGATGATCTTGAAAATTTTGTAAGAGAGCAATTTGAGCAATTTTCTCATGATGATTTAAAGCGCGTCTTTCAAGCCTGGATCGATCGCTGCGAACGCGTGATTGAATCCAATGGTGATTATATTTAAATAAACTTTATATATATGTAACTTGTTTATTTCTATTCGCAGTATTCAGGTTTGTGCTAAACACACCTTTGGACACCCTATATTTTCATTCTTAGATAAATCAATTACAAGTTTTTGACAATCTGCAAAAGCGCCTTCCCCAATCGTTTCCAAAGTAGGAGGGAATTCAAGTGAAACCATATTAGATGAACCTTTGAAAGCACGGGTTTCTATTATCGTAGTCTTACTTGATAAATTCACATAAAGCAAATTAGGGCAGTTTCTGAACATGTCGTTTTTAACTACTGTTATTTTTTGAGGGAATTGTAGAGAAGTTAAATCAGTAGCAGCAAAAGCCCATGCACCAATGGATACAACATTATCATGAAAAACGATGCTTGTGACGTGGCATGAACGAAAGCACCCTTCATATATATCTTGAACAAAACTAGGAACAACAAATTCACCTCGAAATGTAGGAACTAGTGTAACTAATGTTTTGTTATTTTCTCCCGTAAAAATGCATTTTCCATCTGTCACATACTTAGGATTATCTTCATCAATAGTAATTGTCTGCACAGAACTATACATTAAAATTCCTGCGCCAATACTAATAACTTTTTTAGGAATAAATAAATTTTTGCATCTAATATTTGAAAAACATTCAGCTCTAAGGGTTGTTAAATTCGAATTTGGTGAAATATTCAGCGCAGTTGATGATGTTAAGGTGAATGGCCAATAATATCCATCAATGTATGTATCTATTTCTTCAACAGAATCTGGTAGATTGATTGTGGTCAGCGCGGAGCACTTATAGAAACAACCACTTTTGATGGATTTAATTTTTGGTGGAAAGTAAAATGTGGAGAGTTTGGTGCAATTACTGAAAACAGAATAATTTAGATAAGCAAGGTTTTCACATTGGCGAAGATCGGCACTCTCAAGAGATGAACTTGAAAAACAAAAGTTACAAATGCTCTCACATTTGCTGAAGGCAGCAAATTTGAGTGACGTAATGGTGTTACGACACGAATAAAATGGGCTGTTAAAATCTTTACTGCCACCAAGTATAACTTTAACACTTTGAAGAATTTCGACTTCACCACTGAGACTACCTGGACATTGAATGAGAACTGTCTTACTAGGGTCGCTATATTCAATGCCTCGATTATCAGTCTTATCTGACGTCGGCCTTTGTTATATCATCATCAAAAAAAAAGAGTAAGCCTTGCAACGAGATATCCCTATCCTAATTAGATTATCATAAAAAAATCGAGACCTTCCTGGTCCCCTTTTTTGAACTCCTAGAAATACAATTCAAAATGAAAAATATATAAAAAATATAATTCTACATTGATTGTCAATCGAGTTTGTTCGATCATTTTAACATACATAAATAGAAACATTCGCATAGCTTAAGTTATTTGTTACTACAAGAAGTCACTTTTTATTTATTTTTTTAAAAACGTCAAATACATATTTCGATAGCGTAATAGAGGAATATCAAGATTATTTTGATCTGTTTGGACGAATCTACACTCTTAAATCAAACATAAGAGAAGAAATTGAAGATATGGCTCAAAAAATTATTTCAATTTTAATCAAAAAGTATAAGCAATTGCCAATTCATATCTTGATATGCATATCAAAAGCATCATGCTTTAATAACGTTAATAGAACTCCATATTCTATTCTTTTTAATTTAATTCTTAAAAATTATCTAATTCAAAATGTTAAAGTAAAGATGGTTGAGTTTCTAAAAAGGTGGGACATATACTATCCATGCACCCGAGTAAAAATTCCAGAAATAAATCATGAAAAAATTCAACTTTCCATTTCAAGTTTCATTAAAAATGATGATTTACGAGGCTTTTTGAAAAATCTTCCAGTAAATTTTGATCCTAATGTATCGATTCAGAAGAAGAGATTAAATTTTGACAAATCTGTCAAACCATACACGAATTATCTTGAAATGTGCGCTTATTATGGAGCAGTGAATATTTTCCAATTTTTAATTTCGAATTCTTCTAAAATGACTCCATTCACATTGAGTTTAAGTTTCTATGGTTCGAACGAAGATATTATTAACCAATGCCTCAGATATTATACACCTACACAAGATTGTATGCTTTATGCTATTATTTCTCATAATTTCGATCATGTTTCTCTTTTAGTACAAAGATATAATCTTGTTATTGATCCTTTTATTTGCATGAATTTCAACAATTTAAGGTGCTATCTTGAAAGAATTAAATCAATTAACGATTTGCAAACTGAATTCTTAGATTATAGAGCATTTCCTCTTGAAGATTTGGCTATCAATTGCTTAGAGAATTCCATAAATATATTGCCACGAGAAACATCTGATTTGATCTTTTACTTGGGTCTTCAAAATTCAGCAAAAGTTGATAAAATTATTCAGTATGTATATGCTCCAGGTGAAGAACCTACACTGTTTAATGCTGCTAAGGTTAAAAATCCAGCATTTGCACAGCATTTGATATCTATGGGTCAGAATGTTAACGCAGTTAATAAAGATGGTTTCACACCATTACAAATTTGCATAATTAACAAGAATACTGAAGTTGCAAACTTACTTATAGAACATGGAGCTGATATCAATTATAAAAACCAAGATGATGATACTCCAATTCATATTGCTGCCAAGTCGAATGCTGTAGAGATTGCAAAGATTCTCATTGAAAAAGGTGCAAAGCTGGACGAAGTCAATAAATTACGTCAAACCCCTCTAAAAGCTGCAATCTTCAACAAGAGCAGTGAAATTGTTGATTTGCTATTAAAACATGGAGCAAAAGATGATATGAGCTCTATTGGATTAACGACTGATCAAAACGCAAATAATATTCAAACATTAGTTCAATATTCAGAATCTTATAGCAATCCAGAAACAACATCTTCTCTTGTTAAAGCAGGATTAGATGTAAATGCAAGAAATATACTTCAAGAATCACCTCTTTGTGATGCAATTTCAAGAGGATCAATTGATAATATCAAAAATCTGATTGAACTAGGTGCTGATGTAAAGGCGACATATGTTTATGATGATACAATTTTACATGTTTTTGCATCCAAAGTAAAAAAGAATATTGAAGAAATATTTCAAATCCTTGTAGATGCAGGGGCTGATGTAAATATTCCAAATAGGCATGGTGAAACACCTCTTCATCATGCCGTGATCTCAAACAAATTTGATGTTGTAAAAGTATTTATTGAAAATGGAGCCCAAATTGATGTGAAATCATCTGCGGGAATCAATCCTTTGCAAATTGCAGCAAACTTAGGATACTTTGATATTTTTGAATATCTTATTGATAATGGTGCCGATCATAATGTCATTTTCGAGCCTAGTAATGACACTCTTCTCCATCTCACAGCACATTACTTTAAATACTCTGAAAAGCTACTATTTCCTAAATATAATAAAAAAGGAAGCTTTAATATTGCATGGAAATTGATTGATTTAGGATTGGATGTAAATGCAATCAACAATGAATCAAAAACACCATTATTATATGCATCAGAATTTGGAGAATATGAATTAGTTAAGTTATTAATCGATAAAGGTGCTGATATAAACCCATTTGATAACTTAGGTAACAATGCAATTCATTATTGTGCAATGGCTCCACAATCTGATAAATTGCAGTATTTATTAAGACAAAATATTGATGTTAATCTCAAATCAACAACAACAGGAAGAACACCACTTCACTTTGCAGCAGAAGGCCTTTCAGATAAGAACATCACATTACTTATAAAAAATGGAGCCAATCCAAATGAAAAAGACTTTCAAGGACTAACACCTTTGGATGTATTAATACGATTTTCAGGTTTAAATGAGAACATGCATCGCAAAGCAGATAAACCAGGTAGTAATTCTTTCTTGGCCTTAGCAAAAAATGGTGCTGATTTAAATGAAATTCATTTTAAAAAAGGAATTACTTTATTGCATTGGGCATCATACAAAGGTCTTGATGAAGTTGTGAAATACTTAGTTTCTCGTGGATTTTCTGTTAATTCCAAAGACTCTTCTGGTTTTTCTCCTATAATTCATGCAAATGGAGGATTTCAATTAAAAACTGTTAAACTTTTACAACAGCTTGGAGCACAAGATTCGATTCCCTTGCATAGCAAGAAAGAGTTTTATCATTTAATAGAAGAATTGTATAATGATGTATTCTAATATTTGATTTTTTAAAAATATAATTTAAATAATATACTTTATTTTAAATTCTGAAGATTGGCTGGAAATTACATACCTATTTCGGCTCATTTCAAATGCATTTGTTTCATAGAAACTATCTCTAACTAAATGAATATTTAGCAAAATTGCCTATCGAACTTTTTTTGCAAAAAAACATCTTTGATCATGACTGTTATGCTTCTTATATGCAAGTAGGAGAAAAATAAAGAAATTAAAGCATGTGAAGCAAACCAAATTTCTTACATGCAAGAATGGATATTAAACGACTTATTTATTGCTTGAATTAATTCATAATGGCAGTCATAAAATTTAGAGAATATCGAATGAAACTGAAAAACTCATATATATCATATCCTTGCCAATCGAATACATAAAGAAATTTTGTTAACGGAACGAGTTTTTGTCTAAAAATTGGATTATTTCAACAAATATAAAAGTGACAAAATTTGAAAACTTTTCAACAACCGATAGAAAGGCTTTATTGCTTACAATTTTATGACTCAAGAAAAAGTTTCATACGAGCTTTTCCGCTTCACCAAATCAGAGAATAAGAACTATGTTGTATACGAGGTTGTCATGAAGAAGGATGATCCTACTAAAATGGATACTGTTCACGGCTACTGGGTTTTGGGACAAACAGATGGCAGCATTGAAGAACTTAATTGGTTCGAAAAGAAGTTTGGCTATGGAATACAGATTGATAAGGTTGAAGAAGACAAGATTACTTTCCATTGCGTTGCTATCAAATATTTTGTATTAATTTGCGAAAAGGCTGGCGACAAATATCAATGCCGTACTGAAATCGATGGTGTCCAGGCTTATATTTCATCAATTTATATTGATGTTACAACCGTTATTTTAATTAAACCTGTCATTCACTCAATTACAGTTACTGGGCATGCCGTTGATGACGGAAGAGAAGTTAAGCAAGTTATTGTTCCAAACAAGAAATAAATAAAATATTAGATTCACATGTTGTGATTAAATAATACTTAAATCATATATTTTATATAAAGCAATTCATATAATATGTGAAATCAATAGTTTAACTTGGTGAAAGCATGAAATTGATTATTATAATTTTATGCAAATATAAAAAGTTTAAAGTGTGACCTGTGTTTAAAATATCAGTTACAGCACAATTGCGTAATAAAATACAGCATCTTACAGTCAATCCACTCAAGAATATTCATGAATTGGGAATTATTTTAAATCGAGAATGATTTCGGCGGTCATATCTATTCTATGTTTTTCACTAGATCGATACATAATGCAAATTATGTAGAAATTATTGCATTTTAAATGAATGTAAATTTTAGAACAATTCTTGGAAAAACATATACAATAACAGTACAGCCCAATCAAACCCTAACTGATGCTAAGCGAATACTTTCTGTCCAAGAGGATATATCATTAGAAAAAGCACAATTTATTTATCGAGCTGAAATCTTACAAGAAAATATCCCATTTAGCACCTTACAAATTCAACAAGATCGTTATATAGTAATTCATAATAGTTCTCCTAAAAAAGCAACACCAATACAACCACCTCCTGTCGAAAATAATCCACCGAATTCCGAGCTTGATAGTTTTGAGCCACCAAATCAAGCGACACGGCCTCCATTAGATAATATAATAGACGAATCAGATGAATTCAATCGAGATGTTAAAGCTTTAGTTGAAATGGGATTTACCAAGGAACAAGCCATCCAAGCTTTGAGAACAACAGGGAACAATCTAGATTCGGCAATTAGTTTACTTGTTTCAGAAAATGCTCCAATACCAGAAGAAATATTAGCAATGAATAATTCACCCTCACAACAACCACCCCCTAACACACGACCGCCACCTACTGTGGAATCTTCAAATTCTGGTCAAAATACTGGACGTTATAGAGATTTCCAAGGTGATTATGATAAATTATCATCTTCAGAGAAAGAGGCATTAGAAAGGCTTGATACATTAGGATTTGATCCGACAACAACAATTCAAATATTCATTGTTTGTGGTAAAGATGAAGAACAAGCAAGGAATTGCCTTAGTTCATTAAGATAAATAAGCGTATTGTTAGTATTAAATTATATAAAGCTTTGTTTTTTTCTATGATTATGATCTTTCTGATATTTTTATATAAATTATCTTGAATTTCTATTATCTATCTGTTATGTTCATATGAACATCAGAATGAATACATTATGGCAAACATTGATATCATATTGTATGGAAGAGATCGAAATTGATGATTACGTTTTATCACTTGACATACAATTTAAACGATATCCAATGCTTTTTCAACATGTACAAACAATTATAAATAAAAATGGCTGCCTTACAGAAAAAGAACAGCAATTATATTTATTGGGAGCAGAAAAATTCATAGCTAAAACAGTAAATAATATCAAATTATTTAAGGAATTGGCAGATAATAAAAAGGGGAACTATGTAATTGCATTGAAAGACAAAAATATCATGCTGAAAAGAGAATTATTCGATTTTTATAACGATTTTTCCAAAAAAATTACCGACACACTACTCCCAATATCTAAAACAGCAGATTCTACAATATCTTGCAGAAGATCTCTTGGTTACGTTACAACTTTATTATATCCACATTTTTCTATTGATGAAAAGACTACAGTACGAAATAGAACATTAGAATCATTCAATCAAGCTATGTATATGGCAAAAACATCATTAAAATTTACGGATGATTTGAAATTAGAACTAGTTTTAAATTTTGCTAACTTTGAACATATTTGTTATGGATATACTCAAGAAGCTATCCAAATAATGCAGGAAGCAATTGGAATGGCAATGGAGAATGGCGGAAACGAACTCACTCCAAAAGGAAGAAGAATGATTGAAGCAATGATCAATAACATAACAATGTGGTGTCACCCTGATACATCTTGATGTGCTACATCCCATTCAAATATAAATTTAAATTGAATCTTAAAACAGAAGAGTTCATGTTGGAATGTAAAGCAAATTTCTAACAGGAATCTCAGAGTAATTAGCATTCAAAATAACTCCATTTAAATTTTATGGAAGAAATTATTATTTTTACAAAGCAAACATTATGCTTTGGCATCTCTTTTTTGTCACATAGTCAAGTTATGCTTATCTTCTTCTATATAATGTAATTGTATATTGCATTTTCATAGAGATTTTTAAATTTTGGATGAAGAGCAGTACCTGATAATAAATAAGAACCCTGTATACATAGTACTTTTCTATCTCCATTGAGTTTATTTACCATATTTATATGCTTGTCAATAAAAAACTATTTATATATAAATACCCATCTGTGATATCATATATCATACGAAGGCTACTCTATTTTTAAAAGAGCTGCTCATATATTTCAGTAATCACTTATAAATATCTTTCGACTGCATAGTTTTGAGTAAGATTTTTTTATTTTTGTCATCTGAAGAAATTTCATTCCCTGTTCTCATTGAAGAGCTTATTAAATCCATTGATGAAAATCAAGCCAATATTTTAGAAATACTTGAAACAATAAAGTCACGCGAAAAAGAACTTGTAAAAAGAAAAGAATATTATTGCTCAATATTTCCATTTAATCAGTCAATGACTATATTAGCTAGAAATTATTCCAATCGTATAAAAATTCTTATATTGTACTTCATTGGCTACTTTGCTACATGTTCACAGTTTCCGATTACATTTTTTGAAAATGAAGAAACAATTTCCATTATATTCGAGCTAATTCATCAAAGTTCTCTTATGTTGAAGCAATGCTTCCATGTGTTTCAGAATTTAACAAGTATTTCAATTCCAATTTCTCGAATTTTATTCTCAAAGCAGATTTTAAACGTTTCTTATGCCTCAAAACCATATTTTAGGATACCATATACAGTTCTAAATATAATTTCAACTCCGGATTTTCAATTTACAGACCAAATTATTCAATCATTAAATATATTTGTACTAACTTATACACAAGCAGGAACTAAAGAGCAATCTGCAGCACTCTTGCTAATGTCTTTTTTGCAAAGTCATCAAATTCTTGATTATTCCTCTTTTAATTTGCATCAATACTTTGAATCAAATGATAAAGACATTATAAATTCAGCATGCGAATTACTTCTCTCAATAGAGTCTCCTTCTTTCACTTATCTTCCTGATATAATCTCAATTGCAACTCGTGGACTTGCTCCTATCGAAACCACCTTCGAAATACTTCTAAAAAACCATGAGTCGTGGAGTGGATACAATAAAGATGTTGTTTTCGAATTTATTCGAGAATCTCTTATAAATGGAAGTTATGACCAATCAAAACTTGCTGCAAAGCTATATTTAGCGTATTGCAACAATGAAAATGAATGGGATTATGAAATAATAAATAATATTATTAAATATTGTGAAGAACCAGAATTGGCCATTGAAATGTTTAAGCATATGCTACAGTTTGCCGAAAGTATTAAAAATGGAGAAGAATTAGAAGGTTATTCCGATATTTTAGACCAAATATCAATTTATATTGACGAATACCTCATATCATCTAACAACGAACTTTCTGAACTCGCTTCTCTCCTATCTAATATCAAATCTGAATAAAATTGTATTTTATTATTTTATAAATTCCGTTATCTTTTAATATTAATAACTCAACAATTAAAAACTAAAAAATTATATATGTTTGCATAATGTTTTCGATTACTTTCAGATTATTCTAAATTTCATTAAATTCTGTGTCTTGGTTATCATGCTTTATTCATAGTGCCCATATTTGAACTTAATGTATACACAAGATAGACTTAGTCGATTTAATTTGAGGCAAACCCAAATTTTAGCTAAAAGTGACAGGGGAAAAAAACGTTTAGAATTAAAAAAAAAGACCGATGAGAGCTTCGTTCGAAATATAGAGGGAACTGAGAATGCGCAACCATTCTCAGGGAATATTGGATGCTATTCCCGTTCCCTCTGTATGGAAAATTGAGGTTTTCAAAGGGAGTTAAAATAATATCAAATTTATACTAATTTACTTCAAAATACAAAAGTATTTGACAGCTAAAATTAGTTACTTTAGCAAGCCTATCAATACCTTTTTACGATTATTGCTACTTTTTCGAAATAAAAGTAAAAACAAATTTATACTAATTTACTTCAAAATACAAAAGTATTTGACAGCTAAAATTAGTTACTTTAGCAAGCCTATCAATACCCTTTTACGATTATTGTTACTTTTTCGAAATAAAAGTAAAAACAAATTTATACTAATTTACTTCAAAATACAAAAGTATTTGACAGCTAAAATTAGTTACTTTAGCAAGCCTATCAATACCCTTTTACGATTATTGTTACTTTTTCGAAATAAAAGTAAAAACAAATTTATACTAATTTACTTCAAAATACAAAAGTATTTGACAGCTAAAATTAGTTACTTTAGCAAGCCTATCAATACCCTTTTACGATTATTGCTACTTTTTCGAAATAAAAGTAAAAACAAATTTATACTAATTTACTTCAAAATACAAAAGTATTTGACAGCTAAAATTAGTTACTTTAGCAAGCCTATCAATACCCTTTTACGATTATTGTTACTTTTTCGAAATAAAAGTAAAAACAAATTTATACTAATTTACTTCAAAATACAAAAGTATTTGACAGCTAAAATTAGTTACTTTAGCAAGCCTATCAATACCCTTTTACGATTATTGTTACTTTTTCGAAATAAAAGTAAAAACAAATTTATACTAATTTACTTCAAAATACAAAAGTATTTGACAGCTAAAATTAGTTACTTTAGCAAGCCTATCAATACCCTTTTACGATTATTGTTACTTTTTCGAAATAAAATAAATTTATTATCAAAAACCTTTTTTTCTTAGTAAAAATAAACGAAATTTTTTACCTTATGAACTTTTGATGGAAATATGCAAATTTAAAATAATAAAGAAAGCCGCGAGCGAAGCGATCGGCTTAGTTCGAAGATTTTGATTCAAATCTTTGCTGATCTGTAATTCGCGGAAGCCGCGAGCGAATCGAGCGGCTTAGGTCTAAGATTTTGATTCAAATCTTTGCTTATATTCCTTAAATTCTTTATGAAACTCGCAACAGTTCCATAAAAAATTTTAAATTCTAAACTGTCGAAATTACCGATCGGTAATCACACCCTTCATGGGTGTGTCACTTTTAGCTAAAATTACCCCTACTCTTTCATTTGATTGATTTCTCCTTCGAAGTCAAAGGGTTATATTTCAAAAGCCAAAATTCTATTGATTCGTTCTATGTACCATTGAAGCCACTAACGCGGATAACAGAAAAATATAAAACGAAAAAATACAAAACTTCATAAAAAAAATGAAGGGTTGGATTGATAATATTTTAGCACGAAACCCTTACAAAATTTTAGTACGCGTACCAGATGAATTTATAAAAGAGCAAGCTCAAGACAAGGAAATACAAGCTCTATCAAAACATCCACAAACTGCGTTAAAATTAATTCTTCAAAAAACAAATTCAACAGAATCGACATCAGTAGAAGAAGACACAATGGCTTTATATGGTGGAATTCATGCTCGATATATTGAAACAGATGAAGGCATGGCTGCACTTCTTGAGAAATATAAAGAACAAATCTTCCATAGATGCCCAAGAGTTCTATGCCGATGCTGTTTATGCTTACCATACGGAGTATCTACAACCCCATCAGAAGTGCATGTTCAATGGTATTGCCCGAATTGCTCAGATGTTTACGCTTTAGATAGTGATGATACTAAAAAGATTGACGGATCATGGTTTGGACCAAATTATATCCGTAGCTTTTTAAATAAATACCCTGGCGTAATCCCAACTGAACCTGCACTCGCATATGAGCCAAGAATATTTGGTTTTAGATTGTATGCAAGCGATAAGCCCAAAGAATAAGTATTAAATGTTCATAATTATATGTTTATCAATTGTGTAAAAAAAAATCTAATAAATTTTTAAATTAAATGAATTTTTTCTTCGATATACAACAAACCATCTCGAAATACAATTTTATATCAATCGGAATAATTTATGCTCGCTGAAAATATTCATTTATTTTAATGATCGAATATTCTTATGGAATCGGACCTCTAAATGAAAAAATTAGAGCCGAGTTCCATATTCCTTTTAGTATGGTGATATCACCATGCGTCAATTCATCCAAAAAAATCGAGAATTTTGACCCAAAAAATATCCCAAGATGCCATAAATGCGAAGCTTACATTAATAAGTTTAGTACAATAAATTCTGACACATGGAAATGTCCATTATGTGGTACAGAAAATCAATTATCTGAGAAATTACCGTTTGAACTTGAAGAAACAATCGAATTTAACTTAAATACGCAAAATAACAGTCAATTATTTGTTTTTATATTCTCATTAAACTTACATCCGAGCGATTTCTCAATAATTAAGACATTATTTACAGATTTCATTTCAAAAATCAAAACAGGCAAGTTTTTATTCATATTCCATAACAAAGATGGCTTTTACTTTTTAACTCCAACAATTTCTCTCTTTGATGTCAGCGAAAACAAGCTCAAAAAGCAAGAAAACGTCAAATTGAACTTATTACCAGCAACACTTTCACAATATATGAAGTCAGAATATCTAGATATCACATCTCACATTTTCGATGCATCCCAACTTGGATCTGCCGTATTAACAATAATGAAAATGCAATCAACAGTTGGAGATCAAGATCCAGCAACAGTTTTATCATTAATCAGAATCACATCATCGAAATTACCTCATGAACAGCTCAGATTCGTTCAAATTGTCCCTCATTGCACTCCAGATTCGCTTGACATACAAGACATCAGGGAAAGAGATATAAGAATCGATACTTTGACAGCTATATACGATAATGCCGCATTTGTTTATGCTACACAAGTTCCAGGATTCGTAATTCCGTTTAATAAGTCAAATTTCGTATCCAAACTCAACTGGATTTACTCGAAACACGTTGATTTCAAGTGTTTCATGAATGTCAGGAGCTCTGATTGCGAATGTTCGTGGAATCGGCTGAGATGGCACTATTCTTTAATAGAAAACTCATTATTATACATTCCTGATGTTGTAGCCGACCAACCATTTGTATTAGATATTAAATCGACCGGTTTAAACCCAATAATACAAATCACTGCTAAGACAACAAACACTTTTGTCATTTTTACCAAAAAACTGACACTTTCATCGGAAAACCAACAAATTTTGGACTCAATCAATGTCAGTGTTGCTGAGTGGCTGTGGGTATCTAGGAGTATTGGAATAGAAGATGCTTCGAAAGCGATAACAATGGCAGCAATGCCTGTTTACGAGAAAATGACGAAAGAGAAAGAAAAGAAGGATTTGGAGAAGTTTATAAGGATTGTTCCTTTCTTGAATGCAATGAACGGAAACTCTTTGACTGCTGCTTCTTTAATTGTGGCAACTCCGCCAAGGAATCTCCATTTGGCACCGAAATTCGATGGAGAATTCGACGAAATGACAATAACTTTGTTCGACCAAGTCTACACTGCTGGATCTCCTAAGACTGGCGACAACATCGCAACGGAACTCGGAATCTGCATGCCTCCTAAGAAAGGAATACCTGGATGGCTTTTGGACTTCATGGAATAAAAATTTTTTTATGTTTTTTTATAAATTTTATAAATTTCTCTCCACATTTTGCCTTGCAAATCTAATATCTCATATAGTCATCTATATGATGCATTGTCGTTCTATATGGCAGATTATATTAGAAAGATGTAAATGCTACTTTAAATCACAAAAGATAAGAAAGTGTAAAACATTATCATGTTTGAAATGACTTACTAGAGAAATATATTATAGAGCTTATGTCCTCAGATTCTTTCATCTTATATCCATCTGCATGCAATAATTACGATAATATATTAATGGAACAAAATTACTTCTAGCCGACGAATCAAATATGCATCAACTTCTACAAAAGTTATATTCTATATTTAAATACATTCCCAATTGTGTTAGATAAAACCATACCTTTGTTAATCATTTTTCTTTAGTTAATAAAAGTATTGAGAATGATATGATAGAAAAGCAATTATCTAAATGAATTTCTATATCTGATTAATGCATAATAGGCACTATAATAGCTGAGAAAGAAATCAATATATTTACACTTGTTTGGATGTAATGGAAGCTTTTAATTCTAATGGTGCCTCATGATATTTTGATCATGCAAATTAGACCTCAAATTTGATAATAGCATTATTAAGAGATTACTGAAGAATGTCAATAGAAGAAGATACTAATGGGAAAAAAAATTCAAATTTCTTACATGATTAAAAATACATCTTTATTACATACAAAACAAAAAAAAAATTAAAAAACACTTTGAGGCCAACAATGGTTTTCTACGCAATATAACCCAGCCTCTATCATTTTCAATGAAAGATTGATATCAACAGGAGATCCGTTACCTATTAAATGGTCTCCTTTCAAAGCATCAAATTGGATTTCGAAAATTAAGCATGCTACACAATACTGAGATATTGACCATTCAGTTCTTTCAGAAGTAGGTGTAACAACAACAGAATTGTCCTCCATAAAGATTGCTTTTGCGACATTTGATCCTATTGGGCAAAAAATCAATTTAATGGTCTTCCATTCCTTAGCACTTTCTCTAACCGAGCTATGGTTATCTGGAACAAACTCCCATTTGATATTTGGCCACTTCTTTGAGACTTTTTCCATTAATTCATCTAAATTATGAATATATCTAGGTTTCATGTATCCGCGATTTGAATAACAGTATCTAGATGATCGGATCTTGTCAAGTTCGAACTTTTCGTGGAAAAATCTCTTTAAATTTAATGTTGACATTCCGTATATTGACAAGAAATGTGTTTTTTCAGCAATTATATATACCTTATCAACAGACATCCATACATTGGCATTTATATAAACTCTGTTTTCGTTTTTAATACCGAATAACTCAAATAATTCATCAGTGATTGATGGTAAGCTATTTACCAAGATTTTTGAACTCTGTCTTATGTATTCGGGGATCATTAGTAGTGGAGTGAAAAAATCTTCAATGCAATGGCCAAAATTTGTTTTACAATAGCCATAGCCAACGTTTATAAGCTCATGTATATGGTATTTGACAGGAGTTAACCCTGCATGATTGCGATGCGAAAAGAGTGAGCTCGGATCATCAGGATATTCGTAATATTTGTTATCAAAAACCATTCCTCCTTCAGCATTCACATATACTTGAGTGAGGACAAAGAAGTGCGTATCTAAATTTTTAGCATTGGAGTTGTATGAATCTGTCAAACTTGGAGAATGCAAAGTTACATGATAAATTGTTGAAGAACTGTGCAAAAACGAAGAATTATACTTGCTTTTGAATAAAATATGTGATTTTGGTATTTTGTTTATAGTTCCAACGATTCTTATTGGGTATATTTTTGAAAATTTTGGCATTCCTGATATTTCCCATATTAATTTACCTTCTTTTCTCTCTATTCCAACAGTAAAGGCAAGAAGATGAACTAATATGACACTAAAAAGCAACCTTTCTCTCCGAATGAATGCTTTCGTGTTTGAAAATTTCGGAATAATGAATAAAAAAGAATGTTTTTAGAAAGTTTGGCCGTTATATTAAAGAATACATATATAGAAATTTTATCAATCCAATAAATATAATTTACAGGCGTGAAGTCGCATCAATAGATACTTTCGTAAAAGTCCTACTTTTGGCTTTACAATCAAATTGTATTCGTATCTCTCATTTTATGATGAATTAGACTAGAATATAAAATCATATGTATAATGTCATGATTAAAAACAAATCGCATGATGGCTAGAGATCTTGAAGTTATGCTTATTTATTTTCTCAGTGTGGAGATGTGTATTAACAAACATTCTAATGATTTTACTCTTTTTGTATTTTCTAATAATATTCATCTAAATTCCATATTTGTAATTCATCTCTAATATATTCAAAAAGAAGAGGAAAATTATTATATATTGCAATCTAAATAAATTTTATAAAAGATAGTAAACTAATCATTTTGATCCTGAACATTTTGAACTGAAACAAACTCATCAGCATTAAACAGAGGAATTGTTGTAATGGAAGGATATAAACTACGAAGTTCTTGATAAAAGAAATTCTCTGGGTCGAGTTCTCCTTCAGGAAGTTGTCCACTGAGGAGGAAATTCGAAACAAAAGCAATATTTTCGTTTTCGAAGTCAATTAAAGTTGAAAGTTTTCTCAAGGCAGTTCCAAGTAAAGCCCTTGGGTAATCGGGTATTATCCATTCACTTTGACAGAATTCCAACCAATGATTGATGATTTCTTCCGAAGGAATGAAATCTAATTTAATAATCAAAGCAGAAATCAATTCTAAGCCAGAAAGAAACTCTATTCCATCTAAATTACATATTTCATCTGCAAAATTGTATATGTTTTCCATGAATGCTTCATTAAAGTCGAAATATAAAATTGATAACGCAAAGAACAAACATGATGCCTCTAAATCTATAGAGCCTATTTCATGTGTAATAATATAAGGAATAACCTTTTGTATAAACAATCCTGCTTGGTTATCTGTTATCATTTTTGGATTTTCAGCGAATTCGACGTTGAATTTCATCATTGAATCATAAATGAAACAACTAAATAATTCGTTGGCATAAATCGAGATCATAACTATGAAGAAAACCATTGGATTAGGATGGGCATAATAAATTGGAAGAGAGAAAAATGATTCGGCTGTTATATTCTTTTGAGACATTGATTTAAGTATTGATAAGTAAATTGAACAAAATTTTTGATCAAAATCGCGATAAGATGCAACATATTCAATAATCTGGGTCACGTCCATCACAATTTTATCTACATTATCTATATCTTCATCTTCATTTTCTGGAATGTTGTTTTCAATGATACTTTTTATGTCTTTGAACTCATTTCGGAATAATTCAAGAATAATATCTTTTCCAATAGATTGATATATACTAATCAAGGATAATAATGTCTTATTTGACTCCCTGAAGTAGCATCCATTGATATAATCTATTAATTGTTGGGCAATTTCTTGTGTAAGGTATGTTTTGTCTCCAGAAAGTAGAGAAACGCGGACATGTCTGAAGAATAATGAAATTGCCGATATTTGGACTACAGATCCTTCATCTCCAAAAATTTCTGGAAAATCATTAGTTCCGAAATAAGGTAAAATTGTACAAATGAGGCATCGATAGAGATAATACATCTCATCAGATATATTTTCAGGCTTTGACTCCCCAAGATAAGCTTCAATATAAGATTTAACTGCATTTGATAAAATTTCTGGTAAAACGTTGGGTTTGGACGGAACAAAAGCTTCGGCAATACATGAATGAACCAACATAGTGACAATTGTAATTGTTGCAGGCGAAAACAGCCAAGTTTCTGAAGTTAAAATATTCCAAGTAGCAGAATAGATATCAGTATTCTCTGATAATAAACAGTTGATAATTATTGAGGCGGGGGTAAATAGTTGATCCGTTTCCATAAGATTAGCCGAAAAATAATGGACATCAAAATATTTTTCGAAAAATCCTTCGTTTTCAACCAAATCATCGTCAAATTCGAATGGATAACAACACATTATAAGAGTATTGATTACTGGTTCAATATTTTCTAAATTTTGTAATTTTTCAAAAATGGTATTAAGTAATAGAGCTGAAATACCAATATTGTCTTCAAATAATTTGTAATTGTTATTCAGATTATATTGAATGAGTTCGACTAAAGGGCCAAATAATGAATTTGCTAATTTTTGCGAAAATTCTTCATCCTCTATAACACGTAATATTGTATACAGTAACTTTAATATGCAATTTAGGCAATTCTCGTATTCTGTGATCCTAGCAATTGGTAATTTTGAATATTCAAAAAAGTTTAGAAAATAGTCATAATTGATCATCTGTTGTAAGCGAATTTCTCGGTCTGTGTTAGCTCCAATATAGATATTGTTTAATACACTATTCACAACGATCAGAATATAATAATCTTCGTATTTGTTTTCGTATTCAATTTTATCGAATAATTTTTCTGGTGTTTCAGTAAAAGATTGGAATATTTCGCATAGCTTTTGGTATTGTTCATTATCTGAAGTAGAAAAAGATATTTTACAAAAAATGGTAGCATATTTGCACTGTAAAAGCAGGTTTGATTCAAATCCTTCTATAGATTCTATTTCTTGGAGTAATGTTTCTATATAGACTGGATTTTGGGAAGTAATTCTAACAAATATATCTGCAATTTCATCAAATTGGCTTTCCGAGTTCATAAATATTGCTCTTAACTCGTGGATGACAGATTCTACATCGGAAGTCTGAATTAAATTATTAATTTCTGTTTTTATTAATTTTTTTAAACTGATTTTAAATATATCTTTGTACTTCATATACCTTGCATCTTGAGTAATTTCATCCGGTAATTCAAGTTTATCTTGTAAATAATATAAAATTTTAAAAAAAGCATTTTGTGACGTGCAAAGTACAATTTTTTCTTGTTGAACAGCTTCCATTTGTTCTTTAGTGCGTGTGTCTTCTACCAAATGAAATAAAATCTCGACAATTTGCTCATTACTTAATTCAGTCATAAAAAAATAAAAAAAATATTTGTCGCCTTTTTTGTTCCAAAAAAAAATGAATATTCAACTTAAAGGGTATGGTAATCTTACTTTAATTGGTGAAGGTCGTTTTTCTTTTGTATACAAGACACAGAATCAAATGAATAGCCATCTATATGCTGTTAAAGTCATGTCTCCGAATTCAAAAATTCCAGAACCAAGTGTAGCTTTTTATCGAGAGATTCAAGCATTATCAGTCGCGAGTCACCCAAATATAGTCAAATTACATGAAGTGGTGCAAGTACAGCCATCAATTTCCTTAGTTATGGAATATCTTCCATACACGTTATCTCAGGTTGTTCAACTTTCAATACTTCCTGAAGCAATTGTCAAAGGAATAATGCTTATGCTGCTCCGAGGGCTTGCTCATTTGCACGAATTAGGAATTATTCATCGAGATATTAAACCTGCAAATTTATTAATGAATCCACAAGGAATTCTTAAAATTTGTGATTTAGGATTATGCAGAATACTTCCAGAAAAGCTTGCTGGAATAGGAGGAGTAAAAACAGACGATGATACTCATGCTTGGACTTTACAAGTCGGAACATCGTTTTACAGAGCACCAGAACTTCTTCTTGGTGATAGAGGCTATGGAGAAGCTGTTGATACTTGGGCTGTCGGCTGCGTTATGGCAGAATTATTAAATGGGAAGCCTCTCTTTAATGGCCAAGGCGATATCGAACAACTAGGTTTTATATCAGGAATATTGGGTTCCCCTGATGATAAGAAATGGCCTGGATTTTCTCAACTTCCAGGTTCTGGCCAGATTTTGTTTAAAGAGAGAGAGCCAGCAAACATAGCAGAGTTGTTCCCCGCATGGAGTCCTGAAGCAGTTGACTTATTTAAGCAGTTTATTGTGTACGAACCAGGACAAAGGATTTCTGCAAGAAATGCAATGAAGCACAAATGGTTTTTCGTTGAACCTGTTCCAATAATAGCTCCATTTGACGGAAAGTCATTTGACCTCCTCAATGCTACGCCAATATAATATATAATTTATTTTTTGTTTTAATAAATTGTTTGACATACTATTCCAACAAGGAAGCCATTAAAATTTCCTATGTGAACGCATTACCTTTCTGGCTATAGTTCTTATTTAATAATGCTTGTGTAATTGGAAATGCTTCAATACTAAATTCTGTTGATTTTTCGAGTGATGGTGATACTACAAAGAAATGCAATTTCAATCGAAGTCGGAAATAAGATCTCTGAAATTAAGATTAAAAAAAATAATTATGATAAATTAATGTAGAATTATTGGAATATGATTTCTGTTATTGAGAAGTTCAAAAAATGAAATTTGTCAAAAACAATTTAAGCTTTGAACGACTTTGATGATAATCCATACATTAAAGCTGATAGAATCGGTATCCTATTTTTGATCACAATGTTTTTTACCGAAAACTTTTGCTTAAGTGTTCCTCCTGAGTTGCCAGAAATCGAAAGATTAGAAACTTTTCCTTCTTCAATTGTTTATACTAATATAACTAACCCAGTTATATTAACAAACACAACTAATATATCATTTCGTCAAAATTATCCCAATTCCACAAAACAAATAGTGACTTCAGAGCAAACATGGCATATTGTATGTCATTGGAAAAGTTTAATAAGAGAATACACGATATTCTCTCATATGAACAGTGTTTATGTTTCAAAAAGAGGAATTGTTCAAGAAGAAAAACTTATATTTCCCAAAAAATATGATAAGACAAAAAAAGAGACAGTTAGAAGTACAACTGGATATAGAAAAGCCATTATTGCTATATCAGGAAGTAATACTTATGGACATTTTGTTGCAGATCATTTATGCTCATTAATTTTGATTCCAGCTTCATATTTTATTAATTCTGTAATTCTAATTGCTTTTGATGCAGCCACAGCAAAAACATACTTGAAATGCCTTGGATTACCTTATCATGAAGTTTATTCATTAACAGATGAATGGTTTTATGTATCAGAAGCGCATTGGCTTAGGGCAAAAGAGCTAATAAATTCACTTAATGTTGATGGATTACCGAATCTTCAAAAAAAATTTTATAATTATTTTAATCTTTCGGAAATTGCTCCTACGAAGTACAGAATACTTAATAGAATAAAGGGTATATGGGGAAGAATCAATAATATCGAAGAATTGACAGCATTAATTCAAAAAAATTATCCGAAATATGATTTTCAACGTCTAGATGATAAAGTTCCTTATTCAATCTATACTTCATCAAAACTTTTTGCAGAAACAAAACTATTAGTCACATGCTCAGGTTCTATTGTTCATAATTCTATATTCATGCATAAAAACACAGGAGTTGTAATTTGTGGCTCAAATTTAATTGATTATCCAGAAATAAATATAGGATATTCTCTTGATATATGGATGATTCATACTTTAGGAAATTATCAACATGGAACTATTCCTGAACATGATTATAATATAGAACCAGTGATTCCTGCAATATCTTACATGTTATATGCATTTGAAAATAATAGATTCCCTGCTGATGCTTTCAAGAAGTATCGCTATGCTTATAATCTAACAGATATAGAGTTAATGGTGCAAAAGGAACAAAAATCAATTCAAAAATAACTTGTTAAATATGTTAAATACTTTTTCTTTAGTTGACTAATTCGGCTGGAAATATATGTTGAATGCAAACTTTCTTCCAGGATGACTCTCAAAATTTGATGATTATGAAAAGTTTGCGCGTGAAATATGATTTCAGGCCATTAAAAATTCATGGAATCAAGATCTGTTACTTCTTTAACAGTTCAAATGTTTCTGTGAAAATTCCTTCTCGCGATGATGATAATGAAGAATTATCTCATTATTGAAATTATATATAATAAATGCATATAAGAATGGCTTTCTTGGTATAATGAAACAATTCGAATTTTTTCGAGCATAATGTATTGCATGCTCATAAGAATATTTAAGTTGAAGTTTTTATGTGCAAAAAATAAATCAAATCAAATTTAATAATGAAATGATGAAGGCGAAACTTTCAAGCTTGCTCTCAAACTTTCCCACGTTTGTTTGCTGGTGGCATAGACTGTTTTTCACAGTATTGATTAATTTTTCTGAAGTTATATTAAAAATGAACTCGTCTGAATTAATAGATATTGACCTGTTTTGCATATTTTTTAATTTGAGATCATTTTTTTCGAGGAATTTAAGGAAACACTTACTCCCCTATTGCATAGCCTTCAATGCGAATGTTTAAAGATAAATTTCAATGATGCTTCACGTCAGTTGTCAGAAATTTGAATTAAAGTCAGATGGGCGTAAATTCAGACTTTAGAGATATTGAATTTGACTACTATATATTGTAGTCAGCTTGCCTTGTATACATAAAAAAAAGTATATTAATTGTTTTCATGATAATAATACAAACAAAAATTTTATTGAGTAGTATGCATTAACATTGCTAGTTTTTGATTTCTTAATGCGATTAAATCTTCAGCTTTTCTTCTCCTGATGACTAGTTCATCACCAGTAGTTTCTCTCAGCATCCTTGCAATATATCTAACTCCATCTATTGAGTTGTTCAAATCTTTCCTCAAATCTTCCAAAATTGTCTGTCTATGTATTCCTCCTCCAGCCGTATCACCCAATTTGAGGAAGTCCTTGAGACTTGAATACGCTCTGTTGTATACTTCAATAGTTCTAAGCGCTTCTTCCCAAAGATCTAAAGATTCACTCAACTTTCCTGATTCTTCCAAGTCATGGGAGTATTTCAACACCATATCAAGCTTATCGATGATTCCGAAACCAATTGAGTCCCAAATCTGCTCCAATCTGGCGTGAACTTTAGATTCACCTTTATCTGGTGGCAAAGACAACAAATATACCATGGCGTCCTTGTTCTGACCAGCAACTTCATAGTTCTGCTTGACTTTGATGTCTTCAAGCTTCGGTTCGACCAATACAATCGGCTCATTTGGCGGAGTTGACTGATTGAAGACCATTTCTTCTCTGGTAGGCTTCCTGACGTTCTTAGGTTGTGGTTCGAGGTTCAATGCGATGAAAGGAAGAGGATCGTGAGATGAATTATTTTGACTCGTCAAAAACTCGACGGAATCAAGATCTGTGATCTTCTTGAACTGTTCAAATGGTTCTGTGAACTTTCCTTCTCTCGAGGCTAATGGATCATCCATTTCCCAGAAATTTCGGTGTAATGAAGAAAGTTCTTGTTTATTTGGCTTTGGAACTGGTTTCGGAGGGGCTTCTTGTTTCTTACGTGTTGTCTTGTTGCCGAGGATCATTATTTTCTTCTTCTGAGGTATTTCCAACTTTTTAATTGGAGTGGTTTGTTGAGTTTTTGGTCTGGCGGGCGTAGAAGCAGGTGTTCGATCAAATGCAACTGAGTCAAGTTGTCTCCTGGCTTCCGTAACAGAGTTATGTAGTGTTTGGGCAAATTTTGCAAAGTATGAATCGTCAAGAAACGCAGAACTCGGTCTGTAAGAGGGAGGAAGCGACGTAACTGGTGAAGATGTGCCCTCGTATACTTTTTGGAGAATTTCGTTGTCGAATTGACGAGTTTTGACCTCTTTTAGTTGGACAAATGCGGATTTCTCAATTGGTTTCTCGACTTTGACGGGTCGTGGTACTTTGACGCCTATTGCTTCTTCGAGCTTACGAGATATCTTATTGAAATGGACGAGTTTGAGATCAAAAACGTTTTTAATAATCATTTTTCGGATTTCTATAACTTCGTTGTAGAATTTCTTAGTAGAATCGAGTAGTTGCTTTCGCGTTCTCTTTCTGTATGTGAATTCGCCTGCTAATATATGAGACCTTGCTATTGTTCCAACTTTTGAATTAAATTTATCGACCCAAATGATAATATCGTTGGTATATATAAAAGGTAATTGTTCGATGAGTTTTATTGATTCAACTACGATATTCATAGTCACTAATTCTTGATATTCTGGCTCATTCATGTATCCTTTATCTTCTAAGTCTTGATCTTCTTTAACTAGGGCCTTTTTTGGACGGGCAGCTGCACTCCTAATCGAATTCTTGTATACACTTAATGGATCATCCCTTGGAATACCGCCCAAATCAACGAATCCACGATCTTGTAAATGAAAAACGTAATTTGCTGCTTTTTTGATGGATGAATTAGGACTTAATGGTTCTTCTATCTTCTCGTCAACTGGTAGAGTAAGGGGATAGCCGTATTTAAAATGTAAAAATTCTTTTCTTTCACCAGATATTGGTGGAACATCAGATTTCAATGCTTTGGATCTATCTTCAAACATTGCCTTTGTTTTCAGATAAATCTCTGCTGGTTCTTCGTTATCTTCATCCATATCTAAATTTTTTGAAAAAACGGTTTTTATTTTTTGTAAATTTTTGACAAATTTATATAACATTTTTGAGTCAATCTATGCATGATATAACAGCCTTGAACGAATACAGATCATGCTTGTCTGAATGTGAAATGTACAGTTTCAAGCAAAATCAATAATGACATGGATATCAGATAATAAAACTGTTATTATTTTTGATGCTCCTTCTGTTTTGCCCAAACAAACATTTCACAAAGCTGATTGTGTTCATTTCAAAGTTTTTGGTACTGTTACAGAGGTTCCAGATCAATGCTTTTTTGATTATAAATTTCTTGAAACACTTGAGCTACCAGATTCAATTACTAAAATTGGAAATTCAATTATCGAAAAAACATTGATTAAATCATTTCATGTTCCTTTAAATTGCAAATCAATCCATTCAGCAGGATCTTTTGATTGGACCTTCACTCTCGAAGAGTTTACTATTAGTCAAGAATCTAATTATTTTTCCGTTATTGACGGAGTATTGTATGATAAAGCAGTTAAAATTTTGATGTGTTATCCGAGTGGTAGAAAATCCCCTGTTTACACTGTCCCTTACGGTGTTGTTTCATTTCAAACTGCTTCTTCCAACTGTATATCACGTTTAAAGAGATTTATTATACCTCAAACAGTTACTGATGGATCTAATATATTATTTAACTGCACAGTTCCAGATATAGAGATTATCATATATAGATTTCCTTGGCAAGGAAAAAATACATTTCCAACTGGATCTAATGCATTTCAAAGTATGACTAACTATGGAAGAGATAATCTCACGTTCATAACATCTGAATATTATTCAGAGTATTACGAATTCAATTCAACTGTTCGTTTGTTTGGATTAAACAATAGGAAGAGCATTAGATATTCAGATTCATTCTTCTCTCTTCTCACGACAATCAAAACAGTTGATGTTTCGAAAAGTTTTGTTTCTGTTTTGACTACAGGATTCTCAAATTCCCCGAATGCAGTGATCAACATTGAAAAAGAAAGTACGAGACTTCCCAATCACTGTTTCTATCATATATCAATTTCATATATGTTAGTTTTTATTTTAATTTGAGAAAATTAAACAAACAAATAGTAAATGTTTCAAGAAGTTTTGTTTCTGTTTTGACAACGGGATTCTCAAACTCTCCAGATATTTGAGAGTAATAGTAAATTGACTCTCTGAGTTAATTTTTAAAATATCAATCAAAAAGAAAGAAACTTTTTAAGACTTACTGGCAACGCTTAAGGATTTCCTGAGAAACGTCGAGGAGTTCCTGTGAAACGTGGCCGATTGTGTTCTTGAGGTAGTCATCATTAGCAGCGACCTGGGCCTTGATCTTCTCCTTATCCTGGTGCATGAGCTCCTGGAACTGCTCCTTTGTGAAGTTGAGGCCATCCCAATCGATATCCTCGTACTCTGGGACGTAGCCGAGTGGAGAAATGTGTGTTGGGGCCTTGCCGTAGAGTCTGTTGACCATCCAGCCGAGAACACGAGCGTTCTGACCGTAGCCTGGCCAAAGGAACTTGCCTGCTGGGGACTTGCGGAACCAGTTGACGTGGAAGACAATTGGTGTCTTGGCGAGCTTAGCCATCTCAAGGTAGTGCTTGAAGTAGTCACCCATGTGGTAGCCGCAGAATGGAAGCATAGCGAATGGATCACGGCGGAGAGCACCGAGCTTACCATCGGCAGCAGCGGCTGTCTGTTCGGAACCAACTGTAGCACCAAGGTAAACACCGTGAGCCCATGATGTAGCCTGGAAGACGAGTGGGATATCGTTCATACGACGGCCACCATAGACGAAGATGGAGACTGGAACACCGGCTGGGTTCTCCCAATCTGGATCAATGCATGGGCAGTTAGCAGCTGGAGCAGCGAAGCGGGAGTTTGGATGTGATGAGACACGGCCGCAATCTGGTGTCCAGTCCTTGTTCTGCCAGTCGATAAGGTGAGCTGGGGCCTTCTCTGTCATGCCCTCCCACCAGACATCGCCATCATCTGTAAGAGCGACGTTTGTGAAGATTGTGTTACGAGCGCAGGAGAGAAGAGCGTTTGGATTTGTTGTCATAGCTGTACCTGGGGCAACACCGAAGAAACCGTTTTCTGGGTTGATGGCGCGGAGTTCACCATCCTTGTTTGGCTTGATCCAAGCGATATCATCACCAACTGTTGTGACTTCCCAGCCCTTCTTGCGGAGTTCCTCTGGTGGGATCAACATGGCGAAGTTTGTCTTGCCGCAAGCTGATGGGAATGCAGCTGTGACGAATGTCTTCTTGCCTTCTGGGTTCTTGACACCAAGAATAAGCATGTGCTCAGCGAGCCAGCCTTCCTTGCGGGCGAGGTTGGAGCCAATACGGAGAGCGAAGCACTTCTTGCCGAGAAGAGCGTTGCCACCATAGCCAGAGCCATAGGACCAGATAGCCTGTTCCTCTGGGTAGTGTGTGATGTATGTGTTCTCTGGGTCGCATGGCCATGCAACATCCTGGCGGCCATCCTTAAGTGGATAACCAACGGAGTGGACGCATGGGATGAAGTCGCCGTTCTCACCGATGCATTCGAGAACCTTTGTGGAAACACGTGTCATGATTCTCATTGAGACAACGACGTATGGAGAGTCGGAAATCTCGACACCGTTCTTACCGATGGAGGATCCGATTGGGCCCATTGAGAATGGGATGACGTACATTGTACGGCCTTCCATGCAGCCGTTGTAGAGACCACGGAGCTTCTTCTTCATGACTTCTGGATCTTCCCAGTGGTTTGTTGGTCCTGCATCTTCTTTGTTCTTGGAGCAGATGAATGTGCGGGACTCAACACGAGCGACATCGCGTGGGTCGGAGTGGTAAAGGTAGCAGCCTGGGCGCTTCTCTTGGTTAAGCTTGATTGCCATCTTGGAATCAACCATTTGCTTGAAAAGCATATCAGCTTGTTCCTGGGAACCATCAATCCACATAACATTCTTTGGCTTGCAAAGGGCGACGAACTCGTCGACGAATGCCTGAACTTTCTTGCTCTTGTTGAATGCTTGAGCCATAATAAATAAAAGTGAAGTGAAAAATAAACAATTCTCAATTTCTTTCAATTGAGCGACTTTGAGTGGTCAGAGGATCTTCTCAAAATTGTGAGCTCTTCGTCCTGAGTTTTTTTCCAATAAATAAATGGTCTCAAGAAACATTTTTGGATGAGAAATAAATGCACTTACATAGTTCCACGATCAAGAACTATGAATTGGCATTTTATATTCACACAATTTTAGCTTCATTGTTTTTGAGCTCTCAAATTTGGATAGTAAATATTCAAATTTTTGACAGGCATATTTTAGTTTTCTGTTTTATCCTGATAGTAACCAAAATCTCTATAATTTTTCTCTCAAACTTTTTATATATGTTTTCAATATTTCTATTCCCAATTCCGATCGTCCTCTTCAATTTAGGTTTTATCTTTTAATCGTACCGTTTTTGAATTCGATCTTAAATTATCCAAGTTTGCATTGAATTTAATCTTTTGGTATTTCTAAGATTTGTTCAGTACATTTTCAACATCTAATGCATTCATATTAAGAGTGTAATAAACAGAAATTCATCAAAAGTGACAGCTCTCAATTTTTTGACATTTGTAAATTCTAAATTGAACGAGAAAAATGAAATAATACTAAGCATAATACAATATTCTAGATTTAATTATAATTAGGAAAAAGTTAGTTTTGAGAGTACTTTTCATAGGCATATAGAATGAAATCTTCTGAAAAATAATATCACATAAACTCATATTATTTTCTAATATATAACTATTTTATATAAAAATCAAATTCAATGATCTTAAAAGCGAAGGATAAACCTCAAAATTTACGAATATAATGAGTGGGATATAATGCTTATCTATCATAAAACCATATGAAATATCATTTTTGCTTTACGCTAATTTTTGACGACAATTAGCAAAAAATGTTAAATGTTAACACTCAGTCCATTTGAATATGAAAAATAAAATTGACTTTGATTAAATGTTTTTATTTATCATGCAATTCTTCTTGCGACCAAAGATTTGAATAAAAGTTCAAAAAATAAGATAGCTTAAAAAATAATGTACGTAGTGTTTACTAATAGATGAATAGTATAATAAATTCTATTAAAATGGATTTGATCAAAAAAATATATAAAATTTGATCATAAATAAAATCGTTTTCAATTACTTCTTCATTTAATTATAACAATTATTTTTGGTTTTATATTTTTTGGATCAAATCCATTTTAATAGAATTATATACTATTCATCTATTAGTAAACACTACCGTACATTATTTTTTAAGCTATCTTATTTTTTGAACTTTTATTCAAATCTTTGGTCGCAAGAAGAATTGCATGATAAATAAAAACATTTAATCAAAGTCAATTTTATTTTTCATATTCAAATGGACTGAGTGTTAACATTTAACATTTTTTGCTAATTGTCGTCAAAATTAGGCGTAAAGCAAAAATTGATATTTCATATGGTTTTATGATAGATAAGCATTATATTCCCACTCATTATATTCGTAAATTTTGAGGTTTATCCTTCGCTTTTAAGATCATTGAATTTGATTTTTATATAAAATAGTTATATATTAGAAAATAATATGAGTTTATGTGATATTATTTTTCAGAAGATTTTGTGTTCTTCTTCAAAATTTTGTTTTTTATTAAAAAGAATCTTTACAAAATATACATTTACTTTAATTAATATTTAAAAACGTGCTCTATCAAAAGTTCCAAAAATTCAATATTTTAGCTTTTCTGAGGTGTCACTTTTGATGAATTTCTGTTTACAACAATATTTTTGATATATAATCTTATCATCTTTACTATTTTTTCTTTATTGAAGTATTTATTATACTTTCGATTTCGAGATGACCCAATACTTCTCAATTGGTCATGTACATGGCGTTTGTTGTTCTATGGTGATCAATTACAATCTTTGTCTTCCATATAAATTTTCATATCATCCGTGTTGCCTACCGCAAGAGATTTTTGAAGACAAAAAGGCCATTTTTGAGAAGAAAATGGTCACGATTATCACAAACACGAGAAAAAAATGATCTATTATAATCAAAGTGAAATATCCGAGTTTCCAAAAAAAATGGATTGTTGTATGGGAAAAGTTAGAGATTTTTCGCTTTTAGCGGGTACAGTAAAAGAGCAAAAACAATTTTTGAAGAGATCACCCTTATATATATCAGAAAAAATGCTTTTGGAAAAGATAAATATCATTTTTATAATGACTATATACAATCTATTAAAAACTTTGGCATCAGTCGAAACAGGCATTTTTTCGCAAAGAAAGCCCTTCTCAGATGAACAATGTATAGCACTCCTTCTTCTATATTATGCTCCATGTGATCGCAGGATTGATATAATTTGTTTATTCTTTGTTAAAGAAAGTGGTGTTTCCTTCCCAGAATTTTTTGCATTAATATCTGCCTTATGTAAAATTAGGAGTTCTATAATTTCTTTATTATTAGAAAGTGCTGCCAAGTGTAGAGGAGTAGATCGATTAGAATTCTTTGAATTGATATCTGCACCATGTAAAATAAGAACTTCTAATGTTTCTTTAAAACCATTAATTGCAGCAATATGGAGCGGAGTATTACTTTCCTTGTTTTTCACATTAACCTTTGCGCCATTAATAATTAGAAATTCGACAATTTCCTTGCCATTTCTCACTGCTGCAAAATGAAGGGGAGTCTCATTTCTGTCATTTTTTGAATTTACCTTTGCTCCATGCGAGATTAGATATTCGACTATTTCTTTGCTAGCTCTGTGCGCTGCTAAATGTAATGGAGTAATTCCTAAACGATCAGCTAAATTAATTTCGGCACCATGCATAACAAGTAACTTGATTGCTTTTTTACTGTTTTTCCTTACTGCTTCATGAAGTGCAGTTCTTCCCATCCCATTTATTCCATTAATTTTCATTCCACATTTAATTAGGAATTTTACAGTTTCAATACAATTAAATTGTGCAGCGCGATAAAGGGAAGTATTGTATGGAATAATATTTTTGTCTTTTTCATTGATACTTACGCCATGTAAGAGGAAAAATTGACAAAGAGATGGTATATTAAAGATTGAGGAATAAATAAAACAGTGTTTTAAATTTTTTGTTTGATCTAAATAAACTGCAAATGCTTGAAGGTTATTGAATTTACCACAATACAGTAAATCAATGTTGATATGATATTCATTGTATAAAAACATTACGAAATCAATGTTGTGTGAAATAATTGCATATTTCATACATTTTACATCTGGTTGGACGTATTTCAAGCATTCATTAATTATATCGGGAACACCACTTAAAAATGAAAATTGAAGGCATTTATGTGTGATTTCTGACTTGAATTCTGCAATTAGCAGTTTAAAACATTTAACTGCTCCATGATAACAGCACAATTCTAGTAATGAATAACTTCTCTCGAAATTTTTTGGATATAAAATACTATTAAACCTTTGATACTGATCAAATCCTTTCTGATCTGTGAAAGTGATAAATTTTTTTATATCATCATCCATAATTGCTTTGAAAATATCATTTTCTTGATGAACATCAATTGAAATTTTGAGATTTTCGTATGATTTTACGTTATCTTCATTCAAAATGATTCCATAATCCTTATAAACAAAGTATTCAAACGGAAATTCAATGTCTTGGACTTGATCTGGGCGATATTCTTCAAATATCTTTTTGAATAATAGCCAATATAAACTCATGTAACGGTTTCTAAATATTGATATATTAGAAATTATTTTTAAGATCCAGGATAGTGAAAGTAATTTTGTTTTAATGAGATTCATTTGAATTTTTTTGTAAATCTGATCAATTTCGTCTTCATTATATGTATTTACCTTATACAATGCATCCATAGCACTAATATGATCTTTATATAAATCTATAACTTCTTGGTAAGTCATATTTCTTACTTTTTTGTCTCTATGATAAAAAATTCCAAACAAAAAAAATTTACCATCTTTTTCCAACAAATTTGAAAAAAGTAGTCATTCATGTATTTCAATATATGATATAATTATGCATTGAAAAAATTTTGAGAAGGTGTCAGGATTAAAAAATTTTCATCAACAAAAATTTTGCGGTTTTAAAATTTTACAACTTCACTTTGCTTTTTTGTCACCATGAGTTTTGAGAATATCCCACCAATTAGTGATTTCAAGGTTCAGAGAGGCTGTGGAGCTGAAGCGAAGCGTGTTGCGCTTAGGCTTAAAGATTTTAATTATGAGACATCAGATATTTGGAAAGTTCTTAAGCTTAAATTTTCCTCTGGTATCACTCATAGCGAACTTAAAAGTATTGCTGGTATCTGCTCATTCATGCTTGGAATTAAATTAGATAGAGATGCCAGCAGAGATAACAGAGTCCTCATCAAGTGGTTTGATGAGAATTGGGATAAAATAAAAACAATCATTGATAAGGTTCACCTTAGAGATGAAAAAGAACAAATCATTAACCATGAAAGAGAAATCAGAGAAAATTCGTTGAAATAGAGCAATGTTTTAAACAGTTGTTAGATATTATTGTAATAAAATTCATCTGTCCTTCCTACATTTTTAATATTTTTTCATAGCCGAAACAAAATCACAAATACTCCAAATAATACGATGATATCTATTCATAATGAAGATATTTTATTGTATTATGAAAAATAAAAGAAAAATCGCTCATGAAGAGCAAATTTTGATGTTAAGAAAGTAAATTGTTTATTACTTAGGCTGCTTTTTGGAATTTTTTTGGAGGAACGCTTCTTTCGTTTTTGTTCTACACCTGCGTATAAAATGTGCTGAAATAAATCGTGAGATCTTTGATTATATTAATCATTCTTTCTTACAATAAGATTATGGTAATAATATCTATATGTGATAGACGGAGTATAGTTCAATTTCGCGAAATTTTGATAAATTTTCGAAAACTATTTTTAGTAGGTTAGAATCTATTAGAATTCAATAATATTCTATGTCGTTAACTGTAAACAATCGATATTATGTGATTAATGAAAATCGATATCAATATTTAAAATTTTCGGGGCATTTTTGACTGGAAGTTATTGCCTTTGACACTTGGAATGAAATTCTCTTTGGTACTTTTTTCCAAATTTTTTCTATTTTAGAAAACGCCTAAGCAATTTTAAAGAAAAAGATAACGTTTTTGACAATTTTCAATTTTTTTTGGAAAATAAAGGTTAAAATTCTTAAAAATTTAAAATTAATAGATAAATAATGCGATTTTATCGGATTTTAAATCTATAGATACAGTTTGTTTTTGTTAATTTATAATTTATCTTTTAAAATATGTCAATTATACATCAAAATTATTTAATTATTTTTTTTTGTTATAAAATAATCAGAGAAAAGAGAAATAATATACTCAGATGCCACAATTTGGCCTAGAAAATAGGTTCTCCCTTTTCCAATTCGCTTTACTATACTTTGTAATGAATAATCGTTTTCCAAAATAAAAAAGTGACAAAAATGACTCTAAATAAGTATCAACAGACAAAATGCTTGGAAATTCTAGACAAAATGATTTCCTGGCCAATGTGTTCTCCATTTGTTAACCCTGTTGATCCAGAAAAAGATAATATGCCTGATTATCTTCAGGTTATCAAAAATCCAATGTCGTTAACTGATGTTAAACGAAAACTCCAAGCAAATGAATACTCAAATGTTACAGATTGGCAAAATGACATCAATTTGGTCTTTTCAAATGCGAAAGAATACAACGGTGAAGATACTGTTTATTCTCATATGGCTATGGAAGCATCAAACTGGTTTAACAAGAAAGTCTCTCACTTCCCTACAACAGCTGAAGAAGAATGGATAGGCGTTCTTCAAAGAACTTCAGATCATTTGTTAGATATTCTTTCACACCCACCACCAGAGCTTGACCCAAGCGGAAAATTAACTGTCTCTACTGAAGAAACAGAAGAGGAAAAGCCTATTGTTGACGCCCCTGCGGCATAATATATATTTTGTAAATTAATGTTATTTTACGTAATTGTTTTTAAATTCAACTTTAACTGAGCTTGAAATGACATGCTATGATCACTTGGAAGAAAATTCAAAAATTTTATTCAAGAAATATAACCAAATTCCGGACAAATTTGAGTTAATTGTCTACCATTTGTATTACAAGGCTTATTTTAGCTAACTAAAATTTCATTTTATTATGAAAAATCAATCCACAAATCTATTCCCCATACCAAGAATCATGATTACTGGTTCAGATCAAAAACTTATCGATGTATTTGTGAATGAATGCGCAAAACACTTTAAAGGAAAGATGGACTCGACATTTAACAGAATTTATAAAATCATTATTGGAAATAGAATTACATACATTCAAAACAATTGGTGTGATCTTCAACATGATCCATCTTTAAAGATTATTTTAACAGAAAATGGTGCATTTGAACCTCCAAAAACAAAACACCCACATTTAGTCATCCAAATTAACGAAAAACTACTACCAGAACGAGTTGCTGGCGATATTCATATTCTTTCTTATAAAATCATATCACAAGAAATGCTACATTCATGTTTATCATATTCAATAGCTTACCACGATTGTTTCCTGTTTGGATTACATTCACGAGGTGAAGTAAAACCGATTGTTAAGTTACTTTTGCGAAGAGTATTTAGAACTCTCGATACAAATTTCGATGGAAAAATACAAATGAGTGATTTATCAGATTTTCATCGCAAATTCTTTGGTGTTCCTCTTGACAACCAAGACATGCTTACATTTTTCAAGGCATTACACGATGGATCAGAACCAGCAAATGTTTATCAATTTATACGTTCCTCGATAACATTCGATTTATTTTTACAACTCATGCAATATCTTGTCTCGAAAGGCTATGGATCCAGTGTATTACAAATCATTCGCTGCCCAGATTACTATTATTATTTTGATCCTTCTGTAAATTGCCAAGAATTATTCTTTGGAGGTCATGAACCTCAAAAGCTAAAGAATGCATCCATAGCTGTTGAATTTTTGCATCAAGTCTATCAAGATTTCAACGGAGAAAGAATTATGCAGCAAGTGAATGACGAATTCTCTCTTTGCGGTGGAACTCCAGAGAGATTTGCTAATGTCAGAGAGATGGGCGAAGAAACTTGGATTTCAAGATGGATTGATTGGAGCGCAGTGAATCCATCTGATGCTTGCAGACATATACTATCATTTGGATTCCCTCCAGAGATGATTTATGAAGCATTTGATGTTCCAAAACCAGATAATTCTACATCTGTTACATTAATCGCTGGAATTTCATCAGGATTACTTGCTTGCTCAGCATTATGGTATTACTTCTATAAGCATTAACTATTTAAATAAAATATACTGTTTTGTTCAAATTTTTATAACATTTTTTAAAATAACATATATTTTTAATTATATATCAAACAAATTTCCAAAGGATCCTCATGCGCAGTTGTTTTTATTCTAGAAAACATCAAATCAAATTTAAAAAATTCAAATAAATATCGTATATCATTAAGTTAAAGCATTTTTTGAAATCTTAACAGCCTATATAATTATGTGATACTAGAATTAATATCACAACTATCTTTTATTGCCGCCAAAATTTATAAACAGATGGATTCAAGTTCTGATTCTAACGAGGAATCTATCGATTATGCAGATATTCACGATACCAATATGGCAAATGTAAGACTAACCAAAGATAATGAACGACTTACAAATTTAGTTAACTCTCTAAAGCACCAAATTTCGGAATCTTGCCAATTTGTAGAGAGAAACGCAGAACTTGAAAGAAATAATCAAAAAATACAAGCAGAACTACGATCTACAAAGCTAGAATTAGATGATTATAAAAATAGGCTTGAAATCTCGATGAAAACTATCGAAGACCTGAAAAACAAACAGGCTAAAGAACAATTAGCAAGAAAAGAAATTCCATCATTTACTGTTAACAATGACAGGGAGAAAGATCTGCTAAATCAAGAAATCAAAGCAATAAAAGAACAAATAAATAAAAAGAATAACGAAGTACTAAAAGCCCAAACGGAATTAAGTAGTCTTAACGCATCTATCAATTCTCTACTGAAGGTTTCACAAACTGTTTTTAATCAAGTGTTTGAAAATCCTAAAAAATTAATGCAATTCTTAATAAACCAACAACATAATCAAACACCTGAGCCATCACAAGAATGCATACAGCCAACAATATACTATGACGATAAACTTTTGGCAAAAATAGAAAAACTTCAAAATCGAATTAAAAATGAAAAACATTATTCATTAGAATTACAAACTCAGTTCGATAAAAAGCGCGAAGATTACGAAAATAAGATTTCAGAGCAGTTACAACAGATCAACAAACTTAATTCAGAAAATCAAGATTTACATCATCAAATTTCACTAAAAGATCTTGATATTTCTCAGCAGAAAACATTAATGAACAGTGAAATCGACTCACTCAAACAAAAAATCACTATTTTGACCAAGAAAAACAAAGAACAAGAAGAATCTTCAATGAAAAACAAAATTTTTGAATTATCTGGAACTCTTAAACAAGAAAACGCTGATTTAAAGCGTCAAATACAAGATCTCAAGCATGTATCAGATGAACGCGATCGTCTTCAAATCGAAAACAAGAATCAAGCCAAATTGTTGATGGATCAAAGGAAATATTTTGATGATCAGAAGGAAACAATGAAAAAGAGAATGGACAAAGTAACAGATGAATTAAATAATGTTAAAAAACAGAACGAACAACTCGAAATGAAATTAAAATCAATACAATTCGATAAAGATTCTCAAGATGAATTAAACATTGCTAATATTGCTAAATTTAAGAGTCTTGAATCATCACTTGCGATGGCTGAAAATATCAAACTTGAATTACAATCACAAAACCAAAAATATGCAAGATCTATCAAATATCTTGAAGAAAATCTCGAAAACATGAGAGCAGAGAACCAAAAACTCTTAAGACATAGAGATAGACTTGTTTCTGTTGTGGGAAAACAAAGTTTATTGTTAAATAACTTAGAAAAATATTCATCTGAATTAAATTCAGAAAATAGATCAATAAAAGACAAAATTATTGAAACAAAGACAAGAATAATACAAAAAGAAGCAGAAAAACCACAAGTTATTGATATTCCTATTACTGCTTGGTATTCTCAAGAGTTTTCTAGAGAACTATGTTCAGAAATCAGTAAAATTGTTAATTCACCAATAAACAATGTACAAAAGATGAAAAGTGTAATGGATATGGTTGGATCTGCTTATAACAAGCAAATACAAGAAAAATCTAAACAGATTCAACAAATTACAGAACAAAATGACACAAATAAAAAGTTACTTGAAAAAGTTATAACAACATTATCTGATATTCTTGAAATGCCACAACTTTCTATTTATTATATAACTGCTGATTTCGAAAAGGCTTTCTCAGAGATTAATAACTATATTGAGAAAATTAGATTCGCTTCAACACAAGCAGCAAACAGTAAAGCAGAAGTTGAAGATGAATTGGCATCAATTATCGAAAAACTTGATGTTAAAAATAAAGATGATGCAATTGAAATGATAAATGAACTGTATTTGCATATTAAAAATCAAACATCGGAAATCAAATCATTCAAGAAACAGATAAACCAACTGAAAAAGCTTATCAAGGCATGTAATTCTCAATCTGATATTAAAGATTATGAAAATCAACAGAAAATCAAAACTTTGACTGAAGAAAATAACGAAAAAGATAATGAAATAGTTAGTTTATCAAGAAAACTGAAAGCAACAGAAAACTCAATTAAAATTTTAGAAAAACATATTGAAGATGTCAGAAACAAAGCTAAAAACGATGTTAATAATGCAATTAATAGTAATACAATGAATTCGAAATCAGAATCAGAGAAATGCCAAAAGATTATTTCTGAAATTAAAGAAACAAAAGATAAATTGAAGGCGGAAAATGATGATCTCAAACTTAGAATCAAGTTCCTTGAAAATGAAATCACACAACTCAAGGGTTGCATAATAACTGTAGAAGGTGCAAGAAAGAAATCTGACGAAGAAATGTCAAAATTATTGAATCAATTTGATAGCTATGATGCTAAGTTAAGAGCAGAATTTGCAAAGGAAAAGGAAGATCAGAAGCAATTATACGAGAAACACATTGAAGATCTCAAGAAAAGAAGTGCAGAACTTGCAAACTCTCACACCGTTCTATCAAATTCTCTTTGCGAATGCAATGACAAAATTTCGGAACTTTCAAAGAAAGTTATATCATATGATAAGCAAATTGATAACATAAACTGTGATAACAAACTCAAAATCGAAGAATTAAATAGACAGCTTGATGTTGCAAACGCAAAAATTAAATCAATTTCTTTATCTAAAGATATTGAATATCAAAATATCATTGATGATATCACTAAGCAAGCAAAATTCGAAAAACAGAGCTTAATGGACTCTTTTGTTTGTGAATTGTGCCAGTTTATTGATCCACATATTCAAATTACGCCATCTATAATTATTACTGCTGTCAAGAAAGCAAGTGAAGAATTAAAGCGATTAGAAATGCAAGAAGAACGTTTGAGATCAATATTAAGCTTATCAAACAAGGATTGTGTTGAGGATTTCGTATCGAAATTAGTTATTTCTCAATATATGCGCAAATAATTATTTGTTTGAAGAATAAAATATATTATTTTTTTTAGTTTAAATTTCGAAGGCCTTGTTTCATGCGTCTACAAGAACGAATCCATCACTCTTCATAATCAAGAGGGATAGATCCATGTCCGTCTTTAGCATTGATATCTGCACCATTTGAAATAAGAATTTCTGCAGTTTCTTTGCTGTTATTCATGGCTGCAGAATGAAGAGGGGTACATCCATCTTTAGTTTTAGCATTGATATCTGCACCATTTGAAATAAGAATTTCTGCAATTTCTTTGCTGTTATTCATGGCTGCAGAATGAAGAGCGGTACATCCATCTCCGCCTTTAGCATTGATATCTGCACCATTTGAAATAAGAATTTCTGCAGTTTCTTTGCTGTTATTCATGGCTGCAGAATGAAGAGGGGTACATCCATCTTTAGTTTTAGCATTGATATCTGCACCATTTGAAATAAGAATTTCTGCAATTTCTTTGCTGTTAACCCTGGCTGCAGAATGAAGAGGGGTAAATTCATCTTTAGTTTTAGCATTGATATCTGCACCATTTGAAATAAGAATTTCTGCAATTTCTTTGCTGTTATTCATGGCTGCAGAATGAAGAGGGGTAAATTCATCTTTAGTTTTAGCATTGATATCTGCACCATTTGAAATAAGAATTTCTGCAATTTCTTTGCTGTTATTCATGGCTGCAGAATGAAGAGCGGTACATCCATCTCCGCCTTTAGCATTGATATCTGCACCATTTGAAATAAGAATTTCTGCAATTTCTTTGCTGTTAACCCTGGCTGCATAATGAAGAGGGGTAAATTCATCTTTAGTTTTAGCATTGATATCTGCACCATTTGAAATAAGATATTCTAAAAGTGATGAAAGATGGAAATTCGGAGAATAAGCAAAACATGTGTTGATGTCATTTGTTTGATCCAAATAAACTAAAAATGATTAAAGATTATTATATTTAATGCAGAATATTAAATACAAATAATCAATTTTAATATTGTGTTCATTCATCAAAAATGTTACAAAATCAATATTGTGTGATATAATTGCATATAGCATGCATCCTTCACCTGGTTTTTGTACTTTCAAGCATTCATTCATAATTTCTGGATTTCCACTCAAAAAAGAATATCTAAGACAATTTCGAGTGATTTCTGATTCAAATTTCGTTCTTAAAAACTTAAAGCAATCAACAGATCCATGATAACAACATAGTTCAAGTAAAGAAATACCATGTCCTTCTAAAAATGGATATAAATCACTTTTTAATTTTTGATCTTTATCAAATCCTTCTCTTTCTGTAAAATTTATCAATGCTATTTTGTCATCATCCATAATAGATCTGTGAATTGAATTTTGGTTGTGAATATCAGATGAATAATGAGAATCTTCAAAATCGTTAAAACTTGTTTCCTCCTTTTCATTCAATACTGTACTGTATTCTTTGTAGAAAAGGTAATTGAAAACTCTGTTGATTCTTTTGACATGATTTAGATGGTATTCGTCAACAATTTGTTTGGCAATCACTAAATATGACTTCATGTAGCGGTTGTTATAAATTGAAAGTTCGGATATTTCAGTGATTATCGCATCAGGCGGAATATGATAAGAGTCAATCAGGTTTTGTTTGATTTTTTTGTAAATTGCGTTTAATTTTTCTTCGTCATTTGTTTTCAGCCTGTACAAAGCATTGTAGACATCATTATATCCTGTACAAATCTCCATCAATTTGTCATAATGAGTATGGTTAATTTCTCCCTTGGACATCAAACAAAAATTTTCAAAAAAAAACTAGTTAAATGTGAGCTCAAAAAAATGACTAATTTTTTTAAATAGCACGATGCATATAAGAAAAATATTGATTTAATTGGTCATAATTTTACATAAATTTCATTTTCAAAAGAAGAGCTACATTCCAATAATGGTTTGTTTCATCAACAAGTGCTCCATGGATACTATGAAATTTTGCAAAATTCTCTCTTTTTACTATGAAAGAATATGTACCGTCATGTAAATTGTCAAAAATCAAAATGGAAAAAGCTAAAAAAATTTAAAATATAGAACGCGAAAGGTACCCAGTAAAGATCTTATTAAGAAAAGCCAAAGTTATCAGAAACAAAATCATGGGTGTTAAAGGCAGTAAATTAGGAGATGATGAAGATGTTGATTTAGATGAAATGTTTGATAACATTAAAAAGGCTAAGAAGGAAAAAGTTGCCAGAGATGCAGCTCTCAAAGAAGCAATGGAAAAATCAAAGCAAAAACGTAGATATACAGAAGATGGTCTCCCAATTTTCACAGAAGCCGAACTTAAGATGGATAATCCTAAGGCTGGAACAACACCTTTATGCCCATTTGATTGTGATTGCTGTTTCTAAGTAAATTTTCCAAAAAAAAGAAATAATACATGAAAAAAGCACAATTGCAACCCCTCAACACTTACCATGCATTTTACTTTATAATTATAAGATAGAATTAAAATAATAGATATATATATTTGATAAATTTTCTTTTTTGATGCTATATAGCAAAATTTTTCAATCGCACATCATTTTCTATTCAGTTTAGACATCAATATTTAAGATTTTCTCCTCTCATTTAAGTTTTAGATATCAAATTATGTTAATTATCGGCGTTAATATCTTCTCTCGATGTCCCACTCAATAATTACACATATTTGTATATGAAATTTCATCTTAAACTCTTAAGTTGACAAAGAAAGTTATAAATTCTAAAACAAACATAATTTAAACATAACAAATACAAATATATACAATGATTATCTTTGACCAGGTTTCCAGAAATCCTTTGTTTCTCTGAGAGAGTTTGGGATCTTGATTGCTGGTGTTTTTGGCCAAATATACTTCAAACTCTTAAGTGGATCGATTGGGAACTTTGATTCTGAGTAAGGTTTAGGAGGTAAAACCTCGGGTCTCGAAGCCTGTAAAGAAAATGTTTCTTTTGGTGGAGGAAGAAGTCGAGATTGAGATCTTCGAGGATGAATGCGTTCCAGCATCTGCTTTTGCTGCTGTGAAAGAGCATCCAAGAATGCAACTCTTTCATTCTTAGGCGGAGCGTAATCTCTGGAAATTTGGTGACTCATACTTAGATTTCCTCTGGCTTTTGCTTTGAGGTTGTCCAGTTGAGGTATTGCGTTATCTGAATAGTCTCTTCCTTCATCTGCTTTGACGATATGTGTTCTTCCAACTTGTTTTCCGAATTCCACTCCTTTTGGTTCTTTTGGAGGCTCAATATAGAAATCTGCTGTAGTATTTAGACTTGTCTTGAACATATCATCATTCCTTGATGCTTGGTGATCAAATGTATACTTGTATTTCTGAGGAAAAGATTTGTCAGGATCAATATCAGTGATTGGTTCGGCAACGGGGTGCGGAAACTGATTTGTATCAAATGTCCTTAGCCCTAACGAAAAAGAGTCAAGAATGTTCTGTGTAGTTTCGCCTTCTTTTGCTTTTATTGTTGGCAATTCACCAATTTTTGGTCGTGCAATTGTCGATTTTGTGGCATTAAAGTTTGGATTGTATGAAGCAGGTTCAGGTACAGCGGTTTCTGGGAATTTAAAAGCAGGCTTGTAAGAAGTAATTTTATGATGAAAAGCAGGAGGAGATGATTCTGATTTGGCCACATTTGCTGATAGGCTGTAATCTAACATTTTACCAAATTTTGATATAGGTTTGATTTTTACATTGTAATTTTGTTCAAGTGCAGATTTTGGAGGTGCAGAAGAGTTTTTTGGATCGATATCAAGGGGGACCATAGAAATAAGTTCCATTCTCTCCCATGTCTTTTGGGCATTTGTATTCTGGAACTGCTCATTTTTGTTCTTTTTCATATTTTAAATCTTTACAAAATTTTGCAACATTTTTTTTTGTACAATTCAAAATTGAATTCATCAGTATAATCTTCTGAGTTCTGACAATATGAAACCATGCTCAGACTTTATAGAGGCATTTGAGAAGCCTTTCCTCATAATATCTAGTGATTTCAATGAAGATATACGCATTGCATTCGCAATTGATTTGATTAAGAAGCATCAACAAACCAAAATTAGTGGCCAACTCACCATTCCAAAAAAGCTAGGCCTTAATATCCCTTGTTTGAAGATTTAGCTTTTTTAATTTTTTTTTCATGGAGCCCAAGATACGATAAAAACGGTTTGTCCCTCCTTTTAGCATGGGTCGTATCCGTACAAAGACCACAAAGAGAGCTGCACGCCTTGTTATTGAGCGTTTTTATGGCCAACTTTCCTTCGATTTCCAGGACAACAAGCGCGTTTGCGATGCTGTCGCTGATATTCCATCAAAGCGCATGCGCAACAAAATCGCCGGCTACGTAACCCACCTCATGCGCCGCCTTGAACGTGGACCAGTTCGTGGCATTTCATTCAAGCTCCAGGAACAAGAACGTGAGAAGCGTGATAACTGGATGCCAACCACCTCCAAGCTTAACGTTCCAAAGATCCTCGTTGATCCAGAAACAAAGGAGATGCTTGCTGCCATCGGCCTCAGCGAAATGGAAGGTGTTGAGGTTTTCACACGCCGTGCTGGCCAGCGCACTCAGTAAATCTTATAAATACCCATTATACTGAAATGTACAAATCCTAAATTTAGAATATTACAAATCAACTCTTTTATTTTTAATTTATAATAAAATTTCTTAAATATGGCTATATTTTATAATTCATTTGTATGTCAATCATATGCTTGTGCCAGAAATAAACAAAATCAATCAATATTCATTTGAAACATTTCCAATATTTTAATAATATAAGAGTATTTCATGTATTTAATAAGTTGTTTTGTAAATAAGATCAAGAGTATCATATATTAAAGCAATTATTTACGACAATCAATAATTCAAAAAAAGTTTAATAATAAAAATCAAAAAAATAATAAAAAAATAATATTCTTTTTTGAAGGATTATTGTGATTTGAACTTCAAATTCTTAATATCAGCACGATACTTTTCAGGAACACCCGCAGCCTCTAGCTCTGCGAGTTTCTTCTGTCTAATTCTCTCAACTCTCTGCATGTAAGCATCTTGTTCAGCCTGCATTTTTGCCTTTTCTCTGTTCTTTGCATCTGGATCAATCTTCCTTGACAATTCTCTTAATTCGACTGTTTGTTTAAGTTCCTCGCGATACTTCTGGTCAGCCTCGATCTTTGCTGTGTAATCAGCGAGTGCCTTCTGCTTCTTTGTCTCTGCCTGCTCGAGCATCATCTCGTATTCCCTGCGTTCTCTTGCCTGTTGTTCGAGCTGATCTAATTTCTTGGAGTTGATCATGTCTGCGCGGTCTTTCTTCAATTTCATGACAGCTGTGATCTTTGCCATCTGTTCGGCTTCTTCCTTCTCGGCAGCTGCACGTGCCTGCTCCTCCTGGACGCGCTGTGCCATCATCTCATCACGGATGGCTTTAGTATCAATAGCGCGTTGTTGTTTGGAGCGGATTTCTTGGATTTCGCGCTCTTTAAGACGCTTTTGAGCTAAGATTTGGCGCTCGCGAGCTTCTTCTTTAAGAGCTTTCTCGTTTGCGTAATCAATTGTCATCTGTGCGAGTTCTTGTTCCTGGCGCTTTTCTTCGGCTTTACGTTTAACAAGAGCTTCCTCCATGGCAATGCAATCGTGAAGGAAGGCTTGCTGTCTGGCCTTTTGCTCAGCACGAATACGCTCATCTTCTTGACGGATCTGCTCGTTTTGGATAGCAAGAGCTTTGGCTTCGCGATCACGACGCTCGGCTTCAAGAATGGAGTTGATCTTGTGCTCTTCGATCTGTAATTCGATGATTGCACGGCCACGACGACGCTGCTCCTTTAACGATGCTTCACGTTCGTCATAATGAGATTTAGCTCTTTGCCTGTTTTCTTCGAGCATATCAGCGATACTGCGCTCTTCAGCCTTTTCATCTTCCTTCATCTGTCTGTGGATTTCAAGCTGCTGATCGCGGAATGTTCTTGCTTTAGCTGCAACCATTTCGCTATTGATCTTTTTGACTTCATCTAAGTCTTCATCTGCTTTAGTATCGGCAATTTGAAGTGCGTAGTCTCTTTCTTCAAAAGTATTTAATGTCTGTAGATTTCTTGTAATAACTTCTGGCTTTGTTTGAGTATCTATAAGATTTTCGCGCTTCTTTGTGATTTGAAGTAATTGCTCTTGTTTAGTTTTCTCGTCGTTAAGGGCAATTTGCTTTCTTTGCTCTGGTGTTAAATGTTTTGCTTCTTTCTTTACACGCCTCCAATCGCCGCGTCCAACAATCACTGCGTTGGTTGCAACAGATGTGATTCTGGTATTATACTTCGGATTGTGCGCTGTAGTTTTCATTGAATGAATAATAACGGACAAAAATGCGGCTTGACAAACGTCTTAGAAATATAACGAGAAATTCATGAAATAGATTCGGATAGATTAGCTTTTCTTATATACAACGAATTTTCCCCTCATTAGCTAAAAATAATTGTTTGATTTCATTGTTTAATTGTTAGATACATGGAGATTGTTTTCTATATGACACATTTCATACCATTTTAATTTTGGCTCCTAAACATTGTGTTAAAAAATCTTATTCAATATTCAAAAAATAATAGTGGATGACATATACAGATATCAAAAGGCAAATGGGGAGGTATTGAACCAAGTAAATAAAAGTCAATTCTCTAAACGAAACTCATTATTGAGAAATATTTAATCAATTATCATCATATTTTGGCATATCATGGCTGAAAACATCCAATAAATGGTATGGTTGTTCCATACATTTAGCGCCGGAATAGAATAATCTCATGAAATTTAAAATATCTTTACATTCAATTTTAATCAAGAACAATGACAGCGAAAGCCATTACTTGAAATGACATGAACCTTATCTTTTAATAGAATGACATATTTATCCAAAATAGGAGTGTAGAATGTTTTCGAGTTTTTTTTTTTGAAAGGATTTTTCGGTTTTTGTCTGGCCTTTTCCAAGGATTAATGAAGGCTCAACGCTGCACAAAAGTCCGCCGCATCATCGAAACAGGCCTCTTCTACGCCGAACTCAATGAGCTCCTTACACGTGAACTCACAAAGGAAGGCTATGGTGGCTGCGAAGTTCGCCAAACACCAACACGTACAGAAATCATCATCAAGGCTGCCAACACAAAGGAATTCGTTGACAACCACGGCCGCCGTCTCCAGGAAGTCCGCATGATGATCCAGAAGCGTTGGCGTCTTAAGGAAGATTCCCTTGAGATCTTCATCGACCGTATCCAGCGCAAGGGTCTCTCCGCTCTCAACCAGCTCGAGTCACTCCGCTACAAGCTTATCGCTCGTATCCCAGCTCGTCGTGCTGCCTACTCCATCATCCGTTTCGTTATGGATGCTGGCGCTCGTGGCTGCGAAGTCGCTATCTCCGGCAAGCTCCGTGGTGCCCGTGCTTCTACATCCAAGTATAAAGAGGGCTACATGGTCAAATCCGGTGATGTTACAAAGCAGTTCGTCACACAGGCTGTCGGCCACATCCCAATGAAGCAGGCTACAATCGGTATCCGCGTCCTCATCATGCTCGCTCAGGACCCATCCGGCATTTCTGGTCCAAAGGAGTCCCAGCCAGATGTCATCAAGGTTCATGAGGCTAAGGACTAAATTTATATATAAACCTTTATTTGGCTCATCTCATTTTAATTAATTTTTCAAAAATTCGAATTAACTTGAAATTTTCCTTGATTTATTTCTTATCTTTGCTTAAAAATATATGGAAAGTGTAAGTTTATAAAGAATAACAACGTAGTTATATATCACTTCATTTTTTTTCAGATGTCAACACAAGGCAAATACAAAGGAGCAGAAAATGCAGAAGAAATTATAAAATCTCTGACTGAGGCAAGTAACTCAAAGTATTTTGTGCCTCAAGTCCAGCGTATTGACGTTTCTTTACTAGTCGATGAATACAATAAACACCAAAATGCAAAAATACTTATGCACCTTTCGACACTAACGAAAGCATTTAAGGAACTCCAATTTTATTTGTATACAGAAGATGATATGATTCAAATTTTTTCTGCTTTTGTTGCCAATATACACGAAATCAGCGATAATATCATTTACAAGTCAGTCATAGCATTTGTTAAGATTTTACCCCATTTTGCTTCAACAATTTTCACAAAATTATCTGAATTCGGTTTTATCAAAGAAATTTCTACATTTAAAGAAAAATGTAATGAACCATTTTACGTTGCATCATTAGTTTTGATATCAATGTTCTTAGATAATCAGCTTGGTTTCGATGAATTCATGGAAAATTTTGATTTGAGGACTCTCTGTCAAATCGCCGAGATAGATCAAAATGGATATGAAGTGTACTCTCTTTTCAAGTCATTAACTTTATACATACCCAATTCTTTTATTACAGCTACTTATTCTCAATGTTTAAATGTCTATTATAAAAACCAGATGCCTTCTTACATGTTAATACTTATTACAGATTTCCTGAAGGATGATGAATTCATGAGCAACGAAATTTTTGATATTTTAGTTCATTATCTTCAAAATGATATATCACAGCTACTCACAGCTTCCCTACAAGTATTATTTACACTTGTTGATATCAATATTGATGTTTTCAAACCATTATTTGATCTTTTTATATATAAAATTAATGATCATAGAATAAGTGACGGAAATTTGACTCTCTGTTTCCAAATCTTAACAAAAATAGTTGATGCTGCTGGATACGAGATAGAATTACCAAAATTAACACAAATTTTAATGATAATTTTGGGAAGATCGGAACAAGCTTCATCTATTCTCACAAAATCGATGCTATTTTGTTTCAATCACATTGCTAAGTTCGCTCCAATAGCTGTTTTCGAAGATTTGCTGAAAGAAAACAATTTTGATTCTTTATTAGGAAGTTTAGAGTCAGAAGATCCTGAAATATTACTTCAAATACTAGAAATAACACAAGTACTTGTTCGTGCTTCAATTTCTTCAGCAAATAGCAAAATTATCGAATTGATCTCAAATGAGTAGGGATAATTTTAGCTAAAAGTGACACGCCTGTAAAAAGTGACACACCCGTGAAGGGTGTGATTACCGATCGGTAATTTCGACAGTTTAGAATTTAAAATTTTTTATGGAACTGTTGCGAGTTTCATAAAGAATTTAAGGAATATAAGCAAAGATTTGAATCAAAATCTTAGACCTAAGCCGCTCGATTCGCTCGCGGCTTCCGCGAATTAGAGATCAGCAAAGATTTGAATCAAAATCTTCGAACTAAGCCGATCGCTTCGCTCGCGGCTTTCTTTATTATTTTAAATTTGCATATTTCCATCAAAAGTTCATAAGGTAAAAAATTTCGTTTATTTTTACTAAGAAAAAAAAGGTTTTTGATAATAAATTTATTTTATTTCGAAAAAGTAGCAATAATCGTAAAAGGGTATTGATAGGCTTGCTAAAGTAACTAATTTTAGCTGTCAAATACTTTTGTATTTTGAAGTAAATTAGTATAAATTTGTTTTTACTTTTATTTCGAAAAAGTAGCAATAATCGTAAAAGGGTATTGATAGGCTTGCTAAAGTAACTAATTTTAGCTGTCAAATACTTTTGTATTTTGAAGTAAATTAGTATAAATTTGATATTATTTTAACTCCCTTTGAAAACCTCAATTTTCCATACAGAGGGAACGGGAATAGCATCCAATATTCCCTGAGAATGGTTGCGCATTCTCAGTTCCCTCTATATTTCGAACGAAGCTCTCATCGGTCTTTTTTTTTAATACTAAACGTTTTTTTCCCCTGTCACTTTTAGCTAAAATTTGGGTTTGCCTTTTAGAGAATATTCCTAACTCAACGGAAGAGTAGGACAATTCAAGACTCCGAACTTACAAATATACTTAAAAACATTAATAAACTATCTTTACAAACATCCTGTGATTATATCAAACGAAACTAAATTTTCTTAAAATTATTTTATGTTTTTTGATGGTATCGCAGAAGTTCATGTAATAGTTGTGCATGATAAATAAATTTATGAGTAAAAATAAAGAATTTTTTGTAGGGTATTTAAGTTAATTTTTGTAATCATTCATGATAGCCACATTACTATGAGAATAGATTTTCTGAGCAATATGAGCACAAACGAGCTGGTATCCCAGCAATCTGAAGAAAATAAGGCACTTGGGGATTAAATTTTTGAAAGTTTCTGATAAGAATACAGGCTTCTATAATTTTGTTGAAATGGAACTAAATTTCTTTTCCGTAATTTGCAATTGAATATTTGAAATGTTTATTTTTCGGTATTGTAAAGACTTTTTATATATATTCATTTACAAATATGAAAAATTTATCCGTTCAATCTATAATTGATTTTTCTTCTCATTCAAAATTAATTACCTTCTCAAAAGTCAAAATTTATTGAACCTCATTAAGCTTTGAAATTTAAATACGGGAATTTAATTACAAAAATTTTTATTTCAGTAAACTCTAACAATTTTCTAAAACCAGTTGTATAATGATATATTTTTAATTATCTTATGGATACATGATATAAATAAATAAGGTTGGGTTTGAATATGGTCAATCTCTCTGAATTTTTGAGGAAAACAATTCAAACAAAATTTTAATGTGTCAAAAAATTATTACTAGTTACCTGCTGTTCAATCTAATATTTATCTTGTTTCAATAATTTTGGAATTTTTTTGTTGATTTTATGAATTTATCGAATATTAATGGTTCATTGCGAAGGTGATTATGTTCATTGGATTGCCACTGGATTTGGAGAATGTGTTGTTACATCAAGAGAGAAACTTTCATTTGCATTTGGCATTGCCTCCACACTCATTTGGATGTGGGCTCAGCTCCCACAAATTTACATTAACTTCAAAATCAAAAGCTGTGACGGTTTATCATTATATTTCTTACTATTCCTGATCCTTGGTGATTCTTCAAATCTCATCGGAGCTATACTGACAGGCGGAATGGTAACTCAAATTATCACATCAACATTTTTCTGCTTCATGGATTGTTTTGTTTTTGTACAATATATCTTCTTTGAATGTATATTCAAGAAATGCAATGCTAAGGAAACAAAAGAGTTAGATAATGTTGATTCAGAAAAAAGCGAAAATATGGTTCCTGTTGTTGGTGTTGTAGGCGCAGTTGCAGCTGTAGCAGCTTCGTATGCTAACCCATACTCAAAAGACCTTATTCTTGGAACATTAATCGGTTGGATTTCTGCAACAGTTTATACAACCTCTAGATGCTTCCAAATTTACAAAAACTACAAAAATAAGAAAACTGAAGGAGTTTCTCCTCAGTTCTTTATCTCAGCATGGCTCGGAAATGCTACTTATGCTATTTCCATTTTCTTGCGTGATTCTCATTGGGGATACTTATGGCTCCAATTCCCCTGGCTTATTGGAAGCCTTACTCCTTTGAGCCTCGACTTCTTTGTTTTATATCAGTTTTTCCGTTATCGGAAAAATAATTCAACTGAGGAATCGAAAAAAGATGATTCTGTATCAGAGAAGGTTGACTTTAGTGAAGAAAAAGCTGATTCTTATGAGAATGACCATAATGAAGAACAAGAAAATGATTCTAATGCGACTAATGTTATTATTGTTTAAGTTTCTATCCTGTAATGATAAACGACTTATCTTATATGACAAACTATCATTTTTAATCATGGTTGCAAAATCTCAAATAAAAAAATGTTGATCATGAAAATAACCCTGCCTCAAGCACCAAAATTCTATTGCTAATTTAAGCTTTCGATTCTAATAATGTATAAGCGATAAATATAAATTCCGAAAACAATATTAACGTCAATAGTATAAATGACAACAAAATCCAAATAAAATACTAATGTAAATTATATATGTACATTTGCAAGACTTTAAAACACAATATAGTCCCCACAAAATCGGAGTTGAGAGGCAATTCAATTTTTTTGAGAGAAAAAACGTACGAGAAAAATATTATACTTGATTTATATTAATTAGCAAAATTATCCATAAATAATATTTGAAAACTTGTAAATATTTCTTACTTATAATCATAGTTTCTCATAATAATTTAATTATCCATATGTTACCTTAGCTGTATCAAGACAAATTTTTTCATAAAAATAATCTTGAAGAATTCGCAAATTTCAAACTTAACGTTAAATTGATTTTATATTTTATTATACATTTCTATATCATATATGTACTATTTAAGCTGAAATTGTGTCAATATGTTTTTCTGAGGAAAAAATGCTCGTTTATTATTTTTTGCATCTTGTTATAAGTGCTAGTATTCAAGGCCTAAAGCAGTTCCAAACTAACAAATTGTTAGCATTTCGCCTTTAGCTCAGAAATAACAAGAATCATAACTCATTCAGCATTATTTGCAATTTCGATTCAACAAAAGCTTTTCAATTGCTCAATTCTCTCATTTATTTCCAGTGAAAATCCCAAATTCTTATAATAGAGCTCAAGAACCCAATCAAAGAAAAATTTATTTTCATTTATTACCAAATTTCCATGAATTCTTTCCAAAATAGAATTTAAACAAGGGACATAGCCTGTATTTGTATTTTCCCACTCCAAATTAGTTGGTTTTTCTTGACGATTGCTATCGTCTTTTTTTCACCAAAATCTATTTATTATTAATATTTGTCTTGTATATAGATAATAAAAATCTTTTTCTTAAAATTTTTATTAACTCTCATAGAAAAAAAAGTCTCAAATTCCGCGATGAGTACTTTGCCCTCTCAATCGAAATTTGAGTAGTGAGGTTTACAAAATCCAATTGAATACACAGAGGTTTACATTTTATTTTTTGAGAGCCCTCACTACCGAGATTTTGGGACCACTATAGATGTAAATTCTGGAATTTGAATTTTTCCCAATGTCTTCACTATTATCACAACAGGTCTACATTAAATAGATACTGCTACTGCCACTCAGAATAATGCATGCAATTAATCGAAGTGAATGCAACCAAGTAGAAATCACCAAAATGAGCTTTTATCTCAAAATTCTTGATATTATAGACTCTAACCAGTTCATAATTACCTATAATTTATGATATTTTTTGAAAATTAAAAATGAAAATAAAATCAAGAAGGAAAAAAAGTCATATACAAATTTATAAAAAATAACTCTATTTATTCTATAATTTATTCAATTTACAAATTCTGAAGTTTGGTTTTCAATTGAGTTCCTGCTTCTGTTAGTCCGATTTTTGATCTAATTAAATCAACAATGTGAGTAATATTCTTATTATTTGCTTTCAAGCAGTGTTTCCTTGTTGTTGAATCCGCATAAACATTAATCATATCATTGCACTTTTTTAGGGTTAAATACGATGGCTTGTAGCATATCTTCTTTGTAAGCTTCAATACAATCATGTGCATCTTTACTTCGAAGTCATCGTGAGCAGCAATGACTGATTTTCCGTATTTCGTGAAAATATTCGAAAGACTCTCAGTAATGCACTGAAGTTGTGAGTTTAGCTGATCATGGTAAAGCTTCTCATAGCCTGATGATCCGAAATCAACGATTAATTCTGAAATCAAATCAAAAAGCTTAGAAACATTGGCTTCGTAGTCTTGTGGCTCATCAACAGTACTCATACACATGGCATACGTGAGTGCATTGACGTAATGCATCTTTTGGTCGGTGGAATAACAATTTGTAAGGCAATTCAGGATATTATTGGCGTAAACGGATGCGTAGTTATTATATAATGATTCGAATTCAGCTTCTATTGACTCTTGTTCTGAATCCTGGTTATTGCTCAAATTATCCCAAAATGATTTCTTAAGTCCCCATTTATTGTAGATATGCTTGATGAATTTGCAAGAAGCAATGATACTTTCGTTGTTTCCTGACTGTAATCCTGCAAGAACTCGTTCAACAAGCTGTTCATTGTGTAATTCAGCAAATCTATCATGAACTCTTACCATAATGAAGCCCATTGCATTGATAGCTTCATCAAAGAATGGTGTAGATGGGTCATTTGATAGTTCGTAAAGAGGATTGATCAAATTATCGGCAAAAGGACTTGCATCAAAGTAAACTCCTGAGTTCATTGCACTCTCTAGGGTAATACAGAGACCTGCGTATGCTGTAGACTTGTCAACATTTAAATAAGATTCAATTGACTGTAAATTTTGAATTGTAGCAACAATATCACCGATGATATTTGCTAATTGGTCAGTAATGATCTTAAATGGCAAAGCTAATATCAAATTTCCGAGAGCTTTTGAAGCTTCAATGAAAATTTGAGGTTTTTCGCGGCATTGAGGGCATGATTTGACTGTATCTATAATCTCCTTGATTTTGTTGTACATCGTCTCATCCATAGGGCTTTGGTATTGCTGTAAATCATATAAATTCAGATACGATGAAAAAAGTGACGAAAGATGAATTAATGTCCAATCTGGAGTTGAAAAGTCAATTCGTGCTATATTTATTACATTTTCTGCGATTTCTACTAATTGTTCGTTTGTTGGTTTAATTCCAAGTTTTTTGATTCTCAAAAACAAAACTTCCAAACAAAAGATAGCAGTATCGCGTAATATAGGTACATCATATGCTTCGGCTAGCGAGAACATGTCATCTTTGAACGAAATTGCATAAGAAACGCATTCTTTGAAAAATCTTTTTCCTTCTTGTTCAGAATCACTTTCTCCATTGACACAAAGCATTGGCTCATCCATTATAGCTATTAAAAGCATCAATGCTCCATGTCTTTCTTGCCATTCTGAAGATCTGATAAAATCTTGAATTATTTCCCTGTAAAGATCAAATGCTTTTCTCGGAGCTGCTGGAAATAGCTTTACTAAGGCATAAGCCGCTGAATTTTGAACGGTTTTCTCAGAAATATCTTCACAATTTGTTTGATCAGAAGGATAGCTCTTCATAATAGTTACAAGTGGTTCAACAAGTCCCAATAAGTTGTTTTCAATCAAATACTGAGGACGTGAATAAGATTTCGGCAAAGCCATCTTATTATAGAGTTTTGACTGTTCTAAATACTCTCTTTCGTATGTCGCTAAATCTTGGATGAAAGTAATAGCTTCAATAACGTAATCTGCGTCATCCATTGATAAAGATTTGTAAGTATAGTCTAAAATGACATCAAAGAACACGCCTGCATTCGCATAGACACCCTTGATCATTTTGAGCATCAAAGAATTAAGTCCTCTGAAAACTTCCAAGTCAGGAAAAACAAATGAAACTGGTAAAGCGTTTAGAAGATCGTAAGCGTGTTTTTCTGTAATGAATGTTGGTATATATTTGAAAACACCTGATAATAATTGGATTGCGGATAGTTTTATCTCTTTAATTGTTTGAAAATTTTCTTCTTCAAAAGGAGTATTGAGAATTTGGATAGAAATATCGTAGAAGTAGGCCGTGGTATCTCTAAATATTTGCACCCTTGAGATTCTATTGATGTCCGGCAAAAGTAAAATGTTATAAAAAGCTTCTAAGCATCCTAGCTGCATTTCTTTGGAATTATTGTTCAGTACTGATTCACGGAGAAAATTGATGATCGTGTCATCTACCTTATACGTATAGGCAAACAAATTTGCGAAAATTTTTGCAGCATTGTTTCGTAATATGTCTTGTTCGTTTTGAATATATTGAAATAGCAATTCTAATAAGTTATTGTATATTCCATTTGGATTTTGTGGACTGCAGATTTGCATAATTAGATTTGCTAACTCGTTTGTATATGAAACAGCTCGAGACAGGAATGTAGATGCTGCAAATAATACTCTAAGATCAGATGTCTGCTTGAATATCAAGATAAGGGCAATTATGAAATTTTCTCTATCATTATCTAATAATTGCTCAAGTTGTGTTCTTGCAGGACCATTGACTTCTAATTCTGGTGAAAGATAATCAGATAATATTGATTCTAATGCATCCAAAGCTTGAGACATAAAAAAAAATTGGAAAAAATCCCAAATTTACACGGAATAATTAATAAAAATATAAAATCTCGATACAAATTAATAAAAAATATAACTTTGAAAGTTTGCCTTGTACGATCAAGTGATTCTGATTTGATGTGAAATTATTTTTGTATAAAATGGATTATCATGTGGGTGATGAAGTCGACTTTTTAGGTATGAAATCTATCATAAAGTACATAGGCCCGCATGCAAAAAAGCCCGGAACATGGATTGGCGTTGAATTACCAAAGCCAAAAGGAAAAAACAATGGAACTATTCAAGGAAAGAAGTATTTTGAGTGTGAGGAGAATCACGGTGTATTTGTTCAAGAAGAGGTTTTCCTTGGTGCTATGGAAAGATCAAAACAACAAGCGCTTGCAAGAAATCAATTATTCAAAAATAAATCTGAACCGACATCCCCATCAACAAATGTCACACCTACAAAGAGTGATGATAAACAAAAGCAAACGCCAAGTACTCAGCCTCCTACTGCAACAAATCCAGAAAAAACAATCAAAGATTCACCCCCTCAGCCAGAAAAATTAATGAATAGCTCATCAACTGAATCACTCTCTGAGTTATTCCCTCTTTATGAGCAAATAGATAAAGCTAAATCCGAGTTTGACCATTTAAAGCTAAAATATAACTCAGAGAAACAAAAATACGACCAAGCGAGCTCTCAATTAACTACTATTGAGAAAAATTTCAAAGATTTGTGTACTAATTTCCAAAACCAACTTGAACAAAAGCTAGATTCGATCGCTCTTGAAGGTTTGAAGCAGAAAATCGAAATCGAAGATCAACTATACAAGAATCTTCTCAAAGAAGAAGAATTACAAAAGATTACAATGATGACGGCTTCAAGAATCGAAATTGAATCTTTAGAACAAATTTCAGAGCAGCACAAGTCATTTGAAGCAAGTTTACTTGAGATATCCAAAGAATTTGCTAAAAATCTCGATAGAAATACAAAAATTAAAAAAGATCTCGATAAAAAATTAAATTTTTATCAAACTGAGATCCAAAAATGCATTGACCAAGAGAATTCAGCTCTAGATACATTACAGCACTACCAAACACAGATAGATGGCAATACTCCTGCTTTAATGCAATCAAAGAATTTAAATATCCAATTAGAACAACTTTCCAATTCAATCAAGGCCAGTAACCAATCAAATACTATTTTATCTGCTCAAAATGAGGAAATTAAGAACTTTATCCCTTTGATACAAGATGTTACAAAAGAATCTTTTATTCCGGTATTAATTTGTAAGCGGTTACAGAAGAAAATACCTTTACTCCCTGTTCAGAACGAAATTACTGAGCAATTGTTGCATTTTTGCCAAATTGCGATATTATTTTTGAGTTCTGATATTTTAGAAGCAAACAATATGCATTTGTTGATCACTGAACTCGAAAAAATTGAAAATTCTATTTCAAATTTCGAAATTCCAAAAATTGATATCGAAACCTTGCAAATGCTGCTTCAAAAGTACACACAGCATGCAATAAGCCAAGCTGTAACTTCCAATTTGATATTATCATATGCGTACAAGGTAAAAGACTTGAATTTGAAAAGTGATCTCAGACAATTGGCCAAATTAGTGCATGGAGTCATTCATCCTCTTACTATTCCGAAGTATCGTGATGAATGCGACTCGTTGGCCATAGAATTAAGAGATGCACTGAGAAAAGCAGAAAAAGGAGAAAATGTTCAAATTTCTCATCTCGAAAACAAGATTTCGCTTCTTCAGTTATCTTCTGTAGCTATTCCTAGTTATGATTTCATTAAATCATCAAAATCAGATGATAAACAAGAAAAATTAGTTTTTGTAGAGCATGAAATGATGCCAGAGCTTAGAAGGAGAATGAGAGATGCAGAAGCTCTTTGTAAGACTTATGCAAATCATATAAACTCCATCAAAAATCAACTTAATGAAAATTAATATTTTATCATCGTTGTTTTATATGTTTTTGTTGTTATTAAATTGTTTATATACTAGAAAATATTATTAGGAGTTTTATTTGTTCATTGATTTCATGAAATTTAAAAAAATCAAAAGCTTATTGTCGATAATTTAAAATATAGAAATAGAGAAATACAATAGGATCGAATTTTCAATTTTAAGGTCTCAGCAGACTCCAGTTTTTAGAAAACGGATAATTGAAAATTTCAGGCTATAAAGGGGAAAAAATACTTAAGATTTCAGTAAATTATATAAACATAAGCATTTAGTGCTAACAACAGCATTTTAATTATAACAGGTCATTTATTAATCTGAATTAATAAAGCGTTTTTGGAATACACAAAATGCATAAACGTATTAGAATTCGATGATATTTGAAATAAATCGCAATTATGTGCAACAACTTTTGAATTCAACAAAATTTTAATGCAGATTAATGCAATGAATCGATTTTCTCGCTTATTTTTGGCAAGTAATACAATAAAACTGGAAATGCGATAGCATGGGCGCCTAAAAATAATAAATTATGATTTAGTTGCGTTTTGCCAATTTTTTCTGCTTTTTCGTAGTATGCTGCTTTTATCTTATCTAAAAAAGATTTCTTTTGCTTTATTTCATGCTTCTTGACAACTAAAGCAAGCGCTGAGAAGTCAATTTGTTCCATCACTATTTATTTTTGACATGTAAAGTTGTGTTTATATGTCATTATTTAAAATATTAAATGTTATTGCTATTTTTATCATCCTATGATCAATCACCTTATGATGAAGATCGTAGTGGAACAATTAAGAATGATTTAAATTTAATTCCTCCTAATAAAGACTGCAAAGCAAAGCATACTTACAGGAATAATGAAACTGGGCTCTGTGCATGCGAACAAGGTTACGAATTCGGTGATCCGTCAATTATGCACGGTTGCTGGACATGTAATAATAGCTGCAATGAAAACTTTCAATGTGTTTACCCTGGATATTGTGAATGCCTTCCCGGATTCCAAGAATTCGGAGACAAATGTCTATACATTAGTCCTGAACTTGTTAGCATATCGCCTGATACACTTGTCGGAAAAAGAAAACGATTTTTAAATGTAACGTATGTTGCAGGAAAAGATTTCAGACATAAGGTAGGATATTGTCGATTCGGCTCATACACAACGAATGCCACAATTTCAGTTCAAGGAAATGCTCGTTGTTTGATTCCTTACCAAAAACCAGGAGAAATCAACTTTTCATTTTCATTTGACAATGAAACGTGGTCAATTGACGAATTACCATTTAATTACAAAAAAGCTCCTCCAAAAATTTATCGAAAAATATCCTTTTTAATTTCGTATTTAATGTTCTTCTTCTCACTTTATTTAATTTGCTCAGAAGCAAGAAAAGAAGTTTTGGAGTTATACGAAAACAAAGACGATGATGAAGAGATAATGAAAACAATTCCAAAGGAAGACATACCTTTAGAAGAGCACTTTGAAACATAATAGCAATATAGCTCAAATGTATAATGATGTTAAGAAATTTCAAGCTTTTACAACAAGAAATTGAAAATAATAATTTTATTTTCATTATTCTATACAAAAATTTACTTATTACATTCTTTGTATTAGATGTATGAAGCTTATCCAACGAAAATTTACATATTTAATAATTATTTCTATTTCTTCCTTTAATTATGCTCTTAGTATATATTATTTGTTGTTTGTAATAAATAGTAAGTATATAAGAAAACTATTCCTAAAAAAAAATTATATTTTTATTACAAACAAATTAAATATAATATTATACTTATTTTCGTGGTGTTGAAAACTTAGATTTCTTCTTTGGAGAAAGCTTTGGCTGTTTGTGCTTTGGTGGATCAAAGAAAACAACTTTATTGTTTTTCTCGATGTATTTTGGTCCAACGACTTGATCTTTCTCAGGGAAATCATTGTATATAATATCTGGTTGTTCTTCTTTGTATTTCTGAGGAATTACCATCCAATCATCGTCATCTTCGTTTAAATATTTATTATAGCGGAAATTTCTACGTGACATTGGTGTTTGAGCATCTTCTATCTGATAATCGTTTCGTCTGTTTGGCGATTGTAAGAAAGTTGAATTTAATTTTCTTGTTGGTGTTACTTTTATTTGGTTCTTCTTATTTGGATTGAATTTACCTATATAACTTGTTTCATTGTATTTATGTGGTGTGAAAAAGTTAGATTTATCACTATTTGTAAATGGAGAATCTAAAGTAGAAAATGTACTGACTTCTGAGACATCTGCAAATTCATTTGTATCTGATTGCTTGTTGTCAACTGTTTTAACCTCTCCAAAAGAAAAACTGCTATTAAAACCATATTCATCGGAATAATCGCTATTAATCAATCCATCACTATCAGACAGTTCGCGTAAAGGGCGATTTCTTTTATGATCATTCTCTTCATTGACGAAAACACCATAAACTTGGTGATCTTCAGAAACTTCTTCTTTATTTTCAATGTTTGGTTGGTTTTCGTTTTCAGGAGGTTCATCTTGCGAGTCTTCAGCATCTTGCTTTTCAAGTTGAGGATTTATATTGTAATTATCAAAGTTAATTTCTCCTTTTTGTCTTGCAAATGATGGTGACTTCTTTGGAGTACGCTTTGATTGCACAGAAAACTGTGATTTGAACTGTGGTGATAAAATAATGGATTCTGACATAAAAAATTTTATAAAAAAATTGTAAACTCCGTTAAAAATTTAATTGAGAAGTTTACAAAAAAGAGACTGTTTATTAATTCCTCGAAATGTCAAAAATTCCAACAAGGATTGGAAATAAAACAAAAGAGGATCCAGTAAAAACTAAGAGATTAGCTATTATTACATCTTCTCTTCTTCAAGAGCTTCAACATTACGAAAATGTCGAAAAATCTTATTCAGAACTTAAAAATAACTTTAATGAATTAATGGGCATTGCAGATTCTGCAGAAGAAGCAATGAATACAGTCTTTATGGAACATAGAAGAGATTTTGAGGCAGAATCTTCTAAATTCGGAGAAAAAATTACTTCAATTATCAGTACGATTTTCGAAAACATGTCGAAAAATGAAGAAGGTATCAATAGGCTTACGAATTCTATTCCAAAACTATTAACATTAACAGAAAATTATCAAAACCGAATTTCTCAATTAGAAGATCAAATATCACATCTACAAGCATCTGCTGTAAGTAATGTTAACGATTCTTTGCTTAAAGATGCAAATAACAAGATTATTGAACTTACTGCTCAAAATTCCTCTTTAAAGCAGCAATTACAGTCCAAAGATGCAGAGATAAACAATTATCAACAAATTCAATTAGAAAGCACTACAGAAAAATCTGCTTTTCAACTTCAAATTTCAAAATACGAATCTGAAATCAATAATTTAAAGCAGCAACTAGCAAAGGAGCAAGAAGAAAAGAACAATCAATCAAATAACCTCAACTACATCCTAAATGAAAAGGAAGATTCACAGAAACAAATCAAAGACTTAAATGTTACTCTTAGTCTTCTTAAAACAGAACGTGATACTGCAATTAACCAATTATCAGAAGCTCAGAGCAAAATTGTGAGCATTCAATCTGAATTTTCTCAATATAAACTACAAAATGAAGAAAAACTTGCTTCAAATGAAAAGAATTTAATTCAATTGCAGTCTTTGATTACATCTTTAACAGAAGAACGTGATTCTGCTCGTAAAGAACTCAAAAACAAGGAAGATTTCAACTTAATTCTTTCAAAAGAAAGAGAGAATCTTATTAAAGAGTCACACGATAAAGATCTATTGATACAAACTATGTCTAATGAGAAAACGGCCCTTAATAAAGTAATTGAAGAGAAATCATCTGCATTCAGTAAAATTAGTATCCAAAGTAGCACTGTAATGAGTCAATTGACTGAGAAGTCCAATATTATCGATCACTTAACCAAAGAAAAAGACGAAACCATTGAAAAATTGAAAGATCAGATCAAAGATCTCGAAAATCAGATCAACAATATAAATGATTCACATAATGAGGAACTACAGAGACTCAGAGCTGAAAAGGATGCAGCAAATTCCCTTCTTACAGAAAAAATGAAGTTAATAAATGAACTAAAAGAGGATCATAAGCAGTCATCCATCAAGATTACGGAGTTGTCAACCGATAAAATCACTCTTATCTCTCAAATTTCTGACAAAGACAAACAAATTTCGAATCTTACGCAACAAAGTGGTCAAAACACAGAATTAATGCAACAACTCAACAAGGCAAGGACGGAACGTGATGATGTCATTCAGAAATTGAGTGATCAAATGAAAGAAAACAATAAATTAGAAATCAAAATTTCTGAATTAGAATTAAAGATCGAATCATTAGCCAAAGACTCAGAAACAAACATTTCATCAGTACAGTTTTCATTTACATCAAGAATCAATGATCTTTCGAACAAAATCAGAGAACTCGAAGAAGAAAAAACAAAATTTGAGAAAACAATTAAAGAAAAAGACCAATTAACAGCCAAACTCACTGCAGAAAGGGACAACGCGATCAAGCAGATGAATGAGAACTCAAGTTCCATTATTTCTTCTGTTGCAAAAGAGAAAGAAAATCTAAATTCAATAATTAATCAATTAAACAAAGAAAAAACAGAATTAGCAGCTAAACTCAATGAAAAAACAGAAGAGAATGAATCAAAGTCATTTTTACAGAAGCAGTTATCAGAACAGATTATATTTGTTCATAAACTAACAGAAGAAAAAGATTCAATCAACAAAAAACTTGAAAAATTAACAGAATCGAAAACATCTGTTGAAAAACAATTGTCAGAACAATTAATACTTGTCCATAAACTAACAGAAGAAAAGGAATTAATTAACAAGAAATACCAGGAACTAAATGATTCCCAGATTGGTTTGACAATAGAAAAAGAGAGTTTAGTTAAACAATTGCATGAAAAATACCAAGAAGTACAAAAACTAACAAAAGAAAAAGAAGAAATACAAAAGACATTTAACCAATTAAACACTTCAAAAGAAGATCAAAAATCAATAGAATTCCAACAATTAAAACTAAGAATTTCAGATTTAGAATCACTAACATCTAAGTTGAGAGAAGACAACAATAATTTCAAAGAAAACAACCAAAAGATTTCATCCGAAATCAGTGATTTAATGATAGAAAACAAGAAACTAACAATAGAAAACAACCAATTACAGAAAGATCTTAAAGATGTTGATCAAAAGAAGAAAGAAAATGAAACAAATTACTTAGAAATCAAAACTAAATTTGAATTTTTAAGTAAAGAAATGGAAAGAATTAAGAAAGAAAATGAAAAACTTGATGGACAAAACCAAGATTTCGAAAAGATTAAACAAGAATTAGATAAAGCAAAGACAGAACTTGGTGTCAAATCATCATCTTTGATTGATTCTCTTAATAAAAACAATGAATTATTGAAACAAAACAATTTATTAGTTTCAAGATTTAAAGAAAGCGAAACTAAGAACAAAGAATTAGAAATGAAAGCAAATGATATAAAGAATTCAATGACATTGACTATTGCTACTCTCCAAGGAAAGATTGATGAATACGAAGAAGAGAAAGTAACAAAAGAAGAATTGTTGAAACAAATGAAATTAGTTGTTGAAGAAAGAGATGAATTGCAACATTATTTGGATGAAGCAAGAGAACAAATAACAGAATTAACAATAAAAGCAGCAAAATCAGAAAGAGAATTCCTTTTGGAACAAGAAAATAAAGACTTAAGAGATAGATTGGCTTCTTCTGATATAATGTTGAATACTTATACTCAGTTAAACACTATTTTAGATGGAAGAGTTAAGCAACAAAATGAACAAATATCAAGATTACCTTCTGCTCCTTCAACTCCTGTTGTTAAGAAGACATCAATTGGAGTTTCTCCGCTAAAAACACCACAAAAAGAAGAAGAACATGTTTCATTGAATGTTATTGGTCAAAAAGATTATTCAGAAGAGATTTCGATTCTTCAAAGCAGTCTTAATATTTCTAGAAAAGAAATATCAAGACTACAAGATGAATTAAGTCTGAGTAAGATGAATAATATCTATCCGAAGCTTGAGAGGAAAAAGATCAAGATACAGAACTTGAAGAAGGAAATTGAAGAACTCAATAAGAAGATTGATCAAATTCAGTCAGAAAACATTGTTGGAACAGAAGAAATCAAGAAACTAAGAATTCTATCTTCACAATATTCTGCAGGAGAAATGAGAGCGAGAGCAGAATTGTCTAAATTAGAAGTTCAACTATCATCAATGATTCAACATATGAAAATTAGTGGAATGAATCCATTATTCATTCCTTCTGTTGATATCATTAATGATTCAGTTAATAAAGAACTTGTTGAGAGATTTATGACGAGAATAACAGAGCGAATGGATAAAGTCGAAACAGAGATGTTCCAGAAGATCGTTAAATTGGAAAGTACAATTCGATCAATGATCATCAGAGTTGACAACTTTTCAAACACAAAAACACAAAGAATATCAATCTACAACAGGAAAGCTATGACACCAACAAAACTGAAGTCAAATAGATTATATTTCGAATCAGAATCGATTCCAGATGCCAGAATATATACTTAAAAAATTGTATTTGTATTTTTTTTTATTAATTCATTTATATTTATTTAGAAAAATAAAATGTGAAAGATGCTAGTTAGAAATGATTTGTGAAAACGCATCAGCCATATATTTTTCTTTATCTCCGACAAGAAAAAAGTTCTCTTTTTGAGATATCTTTGGATTATTCAATACACAAAATGAAAAAGGAATCGAATTTGATATATTCACTGATTCAAAATCAATTTCCTTATTGCATGAAATATTGTCACATTTACAATCTTTAGCACTTCATGAATCTAAATTGTCGACATAGATAGTATAGCCATTATGACTATTTTCAAATATACAACATGTTTCAAGAGAAAATTTTCCGCTAAAATAAATTATACCAAATCCTGGAATCGGATTGGAATTATTTATAACATTGCAATTCTTTACGGCAAAGCCTTGAGTTCTGGAATGTCCAACGCAACAAGAAACAATTTGACTGCTTGTAGATAATTTATTATTTTCAAAAAGACAATAGAGTATACTCGATTCCAGATGTCAGAATATATACATAAAAATTTGTATTTGTATTTTTTTATAAACTGCTCGTCAAAAAGCGCTTTTTGATTATCAGTTTATTAATTAAGGGTGCACTTACGCCCCTATGACAGGGCCTTCAATTCAGATGTTTAAGGTTAAATTTCAATGGCGCTTCACGCTAGTTGTCAAAATTTTGAATTAAAGTCGGATGGGCGTAAGTGCAACCTTAATATTTATTTAAAAAAATAAAATGTGAAAGATACTAGTTAGAAATGATTTGTGAAAACGCATCAGCCATATATTTTTCTTTTTCGCCAATAAGAAAAAAGTTCTCTTTTTGAGATATCTTTGGATTGTTTAATACACAGAATGAGAAAGGGATTGAAATAGATATATTTACTGATTCAAAATGAATTTCCTTATTGCATGAAGTATTGTCACATTTACAATTTTTAGCACTAAATGAATCTAACTCAAAGATATAGATTGTATAGCCATTATTAGTGTTTCCAAATATACAACAAGAATCCAATGCAAGGCTTCCTAAAAAAATAATTGTTCCACCTGTAGGATCTGTATTGGTATTATTAATTAGATTGCTATTCATTAAGGCAAATTTAGCTGCCCCGCTGGATCCAATACAACAAGGTGGACCTTGGCTCCATTCTGGTAATGCAATATTATTTTCAAATAGGGAAAAGTTTGTAACACCGAATTCATTATCAGACTGATATCCAACGCATGATATATCACCCGCTCTATTTGAACTGTAATTCATTGAAGTTGATATGATTTCTCCATGCTCTCGGTAATCTGTGTAAGCGCAGTCATCGCATAATGAAACAGATCCTTCAATTGCATAATTTGGAAGTGTTTCTGATGACGGTCTAGTATATGAAAAAGCAAAATTATATCTTGCAATGCAATTAACTGCTATATATCTATGTTGAATGATTGAACTATTTCCAAAAATAATTATTGCAGTTTTTTGAAAATAAGTGCTACCCATGGTGAAAAATTCACAATATGAGTGAAGAAATCTAAACTCTGAGTCAAAAAAATGAAAAGCTCCCTCTGTAAGATAAGAATAATAGCACTTATATAAGTAAATATCCCCATTTGAGGCTGATATAGTTTGATTGTTTTCAGTGGTATACCCATTTCTATAGTTATCATGATAGAACATTTCCCAAACATCCTTGGGAGGAAGATCCTTATGAAAAAAGACCTTTTGAATCAATGTCAAATTTTCTTCATAATTCAAAAAAAGTGGATAACAATTGAATAGAGTCGTCAATGAATCAAAGATTCTTTTATATGTTTATCGGGGGTTTTGACTTAAAAATCTTTTGCATACTCTATTTTTCAGAACTTTTAAGGATCGTAAAAATGTGAATTGCTAAAGATTAGTACAGTATACATTGTGCGTCGCCTGTAGCCTACAGCTACAGTCACCGACACAATGAAAAAAGTGACAGAAAACTGACACCATACGGGCGCGCATATGTACGCATATATGTGTAAAAATAAACGTTCATATGTAAACTAACCTTTATTCACTAGCAGGAGCTTTGTTGTTCGCTTCCATTAAAATGTAAACTTTACGTGTCAAAAAAATTCTGTCACGTAAACTATTTATGTTGAGATTGAGTACCAGACTCTAATATAAGTTCAACCATTATATTAGAGTCTTTAGGAATTTCATATGGTTCTTTTACATAATATTCCTTTTTTTGACCATCAGTTGATTCTTCAACTCTTTTGAATGAAAAAGCGCTTATAAAACTCAAACACGAGTGCATCTTTATAACCAGTGATATCGTAAAATTTTGGTGGCACAAGCTGTTCATTCACATTACATATAAATTGTTTGTTATCATGAGCAATATTACTCAACGTTACTAAAGGCTCAAGGAGAGGATTTATTCTTATCTGATAACCGACAAATTTATATGTTGGTTTGCCCTTTCGCTCAAGGATAAACCTGATATCGCTATAGTATATGAAAAGCTCATCAAAGTACTTATATGTTTTTTTATCTTTATCATTTTCGTCAGTGAAATCTGCTATGGTAAAACTATAATATACATGCATTCGCGAGATATATTTTTTTTCCCATAAGTCTAAAAATTTTGCTTTCGATGGAATTACTTTTTGCGTGAATGTTCTACCATGGTCATCTTCCCAAACAAGCTCTGGTTTTCTTGATGTTGTGTCTGTTTCAGTGGTTTCTAATAACGCAGTGATGAAATCCAACACATCTCCTAGGGACATGTCATATTTATAATTCAAGGCATTTTTTTCTATACTACTGTATGAAGGTAATGTTATGATTGGTGATGTACCTTTTCTTAATACATTCAATTTATTTTCATTTGAATCATAGTAACAATCAACAAATTCTCTACTTGCCTCAGTCATTTTTTCCATAAGACCTTCATTCAACTCCTGTGTAGTCATGTTGGGTTTTATGTAATATCTCATGTCAAACCTTTTTTTCACTGATTTTGATGAATCTGTCATTTCTAATGGAATAGCAAGAAACTCAAAGTCTGGATGCTCAAGACTTATCTTTCTTATCTCAAGAGCTTTTGACGCAGGATATTCAATGAAGTCTCTCGGTAATTTATATGAGACTGTATTACCACTTATCGTGCCATCATTCATAACATGTTCATAGTATAATCCATCATATTTAGACATTTTATATGTAACTAAAAGATGGAGAAAGTTATTAATCAAGTAGATAAGATTCTTCATGATGGAGCACGTAAGAATAGTAAAGAACTAAACAATGCACTCATTATGCCATTTTCTGATGATTATCCATTTTGTACTAATGGTGTTTATTTCTACTGCGGTAAGATGGGTTCAGGTAAGACATATGGTGTTATTCGTCATATAATGATAACAGACCGCTTCACTAATACTCCATATTATGACTCAATAGTTATCTCAGCAACATCAGGAACAATGGATAAAACAGCGAAGACATTTATGAGTCAAGTTAAAGCACCAGTACTGAAAAAGGATGATAAAGAACTTATGCCTTATTTAATGAAGAACGTTAAGATGAAAGCAAAGTATTACGCTATTGTTGAGTTCGTTCAAAGTAAGTTCGAAAAAATTTCAGAGGAGATGGAACACATCTTAACAAAGCATCAACTAAGGAAACCTGATGGAAAGTTTGAGTATAAGAAGATTGCAATATATGTTGTAAAGAAGTTGAACAAATATCCTTTCACAAAGTATCCCAGTAATTCTCTATTAGTGTTAGACGATTATGGTGGTCATGACTTATTGAATGACCCACGTTCACCATTAGCGAACTTCATCACTAAGGTCAGACATTATAACTATACTGTTGTCATCATGTGTCAAACATGGAGACATATATGTTTAAACATTAAGAGACTATGCACTGACTTCGTTATCTTTCAAGGTTATTCTATGAGAGACTTTCAGTCAATGATTGAACAGTCAGGAGCAACAGAAGATTGGGAAGAGTTATGGAACAAATACAAAGAGCTACCAACACCTCGTTCATATATGGAAGTTCATATAGTTGCAGGAAAGACGGACTTTAAAGAAGTTAAGCAACAAAAGATGACATTATTTTAAGAAGAAATAAATGGGTTTTGGCGATTATGTTAAAGCTGGATGGGGTATGGTGAAAAAAAATCCTGGTCTTGTAATAGGTGCTGGATTTAACATTGCTAACAAACTTTTCCCTCAAGTTGGTCAAGTCGGTGGTGTTATCGGTAGTCTTGGTGAAAGAATTGCAAAAACTACATTAGGTGAAGATAATGCATTAACGAAGAATCTTAAAGCATTCAATAAAGCTCTTGGTGGTGACTTCAGTAGAGACAAGCCTGTTGAAACACCTATAGTTCAACCTCAACAAACTATTGACAACAATAAGTATAACGCATACATTGGAGGAGCTATTTGGAACAATCATAAGCCATTAGTTCAGTCAGTACGTGTACTATCAGACATGCCATGGATTAATGCTATTAGTGGCACTATACGCAGATAATATATTTTTATGAGGTTTAAATGAGTGAACAAGAGAGGAAACTCATTGATGAACGAGTTAAGAAATGGGAGAATGAACGTCCGATAATTCGTACCATAATTAGCGATCAAAAGTTCAAGCAGCATACATTTGATTTTTTGCGCGATATATATAATGATCTTGCTTTTGATTACAATGCTAGGCAATACTTTGAGAAAGAATATGTTCAAAAAGGTCGTATTAATTTCCCAATGAGAAGAGAAGGCTTTTTGATTACATCAACATATACAGCACGTGGTAGAGACCCTTTTACAGACGCGGTTCGTAACTTTAAAGCACGTTCTTCTATTAATGATGATCCAGATTTCTACATACCTTATTTTCGTCCACCTTCGCATCCTTTACGAACCAGTGATCCTGGATATGACGCTAAACGAAGATATATAGAGACGAAATTAGCTAAATACAAGGAACCTAAGGATCCAAGGACTGGAGAAGTAAAGGAATCACATGTCAAGATAAATAAGCTTTACAAAGTAGTTGAAGAATTGGAGAAACGATCTAATGAGATTAACGCTGAGAAGAAAAAGGAAGTACCAAATATGAACAAACTAGATAAGATGATTAAGGAATATAGAGGATTGGCGAATACATCGAGCGTTCTAATAAAGGAAGTAGAAAACACGACAAAGCTGCAGAAAATGATTCATGATGAATTACTGTTAGGTGAATTTTCTATAAAACAAAGACAGAGTAACTTAATGGGTGAGGCTTATTATTTGGAGAATTGGTATAATGAGAGGTTAAAACAAATGTCGACTCCAACACCAACTCCTACACCTACTCCTACAGTACCTCCAACTCCATCTCCCACTCCTGAACCAACAGTAGCTCCAACGCCAACTCCTACAGTAGCTCCAACGCCAACTCTGACACCAACTGCTCACGCAGGTCCTCCACCAATGTCGAGTAGTCATGGTATAACATTAAATAAACCAACACCTACACCAAAAATAACTCCTGTATCACATCCTAGTACAACTAACCCAGTATCTGATTCAAATCAAGCGGAAAGATCACAGGTTCTTAAAAGAGCTAATACACCAACTGCTTCCCCTATTAGAACACCAGAGCCAACTCCAAGAATCACAAAGGCGCCAACACCTTCACCGACTGTTGAACCAACTCCAGAACCAACAGTACCTCCAACTCCATCTCCAACTCCATCACCGACACCTACAAAAGCACCTACTCCATCTCCAACTCCGACTAAAGCTCCGACACCGTCTCCAACACCAACTAAAGCTCCAACACCGTCTCCAACTCCAGCTGAACCAACTGATGCAGAATCTATTCAAAATTGGTTAGACGAAAAAAGCGAAAAGAAAAGGCTGCAATTGATGCTGCACTAGATAAAAACACACCACCACAGACACTTGGTGGTTACATGTTAAAGAAAGACAACATTCAAAGACAAGAACGTGCATTGAGTGTTGCCAGAGAACAAGCACAAGAAGAGAAGAAAATAGTTGAAGGAGAAGCTTCAAATAGAGGTGGTCCAGGAACTTACAAAGGATCAAACTATCCAGCAGAGAAAGCCTCGAGTGATAATGTTGTCTCAAGAGCTACTGATTTAGTTACCCATGGTATTCTAACTGGTGCAACAGCTGTTGGTAGTGCTATTGGAACCAGTGTTGACACTGTTGTTGATACTGTAAGAACTGTTACAAATCCTACACCTGAAGATAGGAAGGAAGAATTTCTTACTCTTAATACAAAGGCAAAACCAGGGATATGGATTGGTCGTGGAATTTTAAATGCTGGTAGTGCTATTGGCAATGGTGCTTCAGCGGTAGGGGGATGGCTCGGAAGAACAGCAACATCAACCGCAAATGGAATACTAACAGGTGCCAAATCACTTGGTAATTGGGCTGATGATAAGTATACAAAATATTATGAAGAAAAAGCTCGTAAGGCTAAGGAAGAAGCTGAACGAAAGGCGAAAGAAGAAGCTGAACGTAAAGAACTAGAGGAGCTTAAGAAGAAAGAAAAAGCTCGTAAGGCTAAGGAAGAAGCTGAACGAAAGGCGAAAGAAGAAGCTGAACGTAAAGAACTAGAGGAGCTTAAGAAGAAAGAAAAAGCTCGTAAGGCTAAGGAAGAAGCTGAACGAAAGGCGAAAGAAGAAGCTGAACGTAAAGAACTAGAGGAGCTTAAGAAGAAAGAAAAAGCTCGTAAGGCTAAGGAAGAAGCTGAACGAAAGGCGAAAGAAGAAGCTGAACGTAAAGAACTAGAGGAACTTAAGAAGAAAGAAAAAGCTCGTAAGGCTAAGGAAGAAGCAGATAGAAAGGCGAAAGAAGAAGCAGATAGAAAGGCTAAGGAAGAAGCTGATAGAAAGGCGAAAGCAGCAACACCATCGCCATCTCCATCTCCTTCACCATCAATAGCGGCTCCTGTGAGACAATTTGGTGCATGGGGTGCTGATTTAGTCAAAGATGCTGCACAAGGAATTGGAAAGGAACTGAAGAACACAACATTAGGTACAATAGAGCGTTTTGGTAATCTTACGGATTACACAATTAGATCAGCTGCTAATCTTTTATATAACCAGACTACTGATAACGGTACTGATGAATTGGCTGTAAACGGACTAGCATCAATTAAGAAATCAGCAGAAGATAAATACGATGAATGGAAAAAGAATATTAAGGGTGAATATAATAAGTATGCATATCCTGAAGAACATATGAAGTTAGAGCTTACCAGACTAAGATCAAAATATGGTAATGAAACAACAAATACTACAACGCAAACGACGAAAGCTGACAGAAAGATTGATGACACTCCTACTCCAACTCCTGCAATGGCGAACATCACAACAATTGCTCCAAGAGTTCCAACAGGAGAAGGTATATCAGGAAATGTTTCAACTACTCATAACATTACTGAAGCAGCTAATGTTTCAGCAGTTGAGCAACCTGTTGTTAATGTAACTCAGGAAAACGCTACTGAAACATCAACACCAAGACAGGATGTAAATAATGAACGTCCAGAAGTTAAGGAGGTTGCAAAAGCATACCTGGAGAAAAATACTACACAAGTTCTTGAAGCAGAAAAGCATCTCAATTCAGACAAAACACCATCTCCAACTCCTGAAGCATCAGTTCCTCCAGCAATTGGTGGAAATATACCTTCAGTATCACCATGGCAGAAATTTTATGGATTGTTTAAAGGAGCGAATAAGGTAATGGATGCTGCTGAGAATCTCCAAAAGTTCAAGAATGAAGTCGCAACTGGTGCAAAGGAAATAGAAGAGAATGATAGAGAATTGCTGAATTAGTAAACAACAAGCTGAAGCAACTAAACAAGCAGCAGCTCCTAAACAATCTATATCTAAGTCTCAAAGACAAGGTCCTGACCCAAGTGCTAAAGTCAAACAGAATCCAACACCACCTGCAGCAGAGAAGTCCAAGAAGGACAAGGACAAGAAGAAGGATAAATCAAAGAAGGACAAGGACAAGAAGAAAGATAAGGATAAGAAAAAATCGTCAAAAGATAAAAAACATAAAAATTTATCCAGTAAGAAATGAGTCAAGTCATTAAAGCATCAACTAAACAAAAGTGGTTAACTGAATATATAAAAGATGGTAAGGTTCCTGATGGATATTATGTACATACAATGAAAGACGGACGTGTACAGTTCCGTAAAGTCAAGCAACCTCTCAATGATGAACAGATCAGAAGGAAGATCTCATTGTATGAAACAAAAATAAAGGACTTACAAGCTAAACTCGAAACCCACGATACTTCTCAAGAAAACTAGGCATATCTTTAACATGACCTTCATTAATATTTTTCCTCCAATACTGTACTTCCATTTGTGACAACCTGTTTGGATTACCTTCACGCATACCTCTACCTGTCACTTTTCCTGTATTTTCGTTCTCAAACGTAACATCATACTTTACATCATTACCGACAAGTTCATGACCATCAATACTTTTAACAGCACCGTGTCTTCCTTGATCTAAAGTTTCTCCTTGCTTTAATCCATGCTCTATTTTTGTCCATATCTGATAACGTGGATATCTTGCAACACTTCCATCTTTTGCTCTTAACAAGTATGCACTTGTATCAACTGAATCAACTGTATAATAAGAAGGATCAAGATGTCTTCTTTGTTGGTTACCTTTACCCCATGTTCTTGGTTCAACTATGACTTGAACTTTTTGACCAGGTCTTAAGTTATAAAGGTTATTTTTTCTGACATACTCTTCTTTCAATCTTTGCTTCTTTATATATTCCTCATTATCCTTTTCTGTGAAATCATCAGGCTTTTGTTGTGTGCTTGAATGATATTCAGTGTTGTAGTCATTAATAATTTGTCTCATTGTATCTGCAGTGAAAGGTGGTGTTTTATCACCTTCTTTGAGGTTTAACTTCATATGTAACATAGTTCTAATAGTTCTACAGAACCTATTAATAATACCTAGTATGTTATGATTGTATTTCTGTGTCGTCATGTGCTCAATGTTATGACTGACCAACAGATCTCGAACATTTTGTGTCGTATAAGCTGGGTCTTCATCACTAGTAAGTATTGTAGGCTTCATTTCACCTGTAGCTTGTGAAATGAACTTCTGCATTGCACTTAGAACATTGTTTGAGTTCTTTTCACTCATTGGGAACGCATAACCTTTTCTACTGTTTACATTGATGAACAAAAGAAAATATGGTGGTGTTCCACCAGGATTCTCAAATGTATCGAATTGATAAGCTCCCATATCAGTTGAATATATTGGTAGCATCAAATCCTCTTGTATTAAAGTTTTTTCTTGTTTACCAACAGTCATTTTTTTATTAACGTTAAAGTCTTACAGGCATTGAGTAATCGCTATAACCATCATGGTCTGCGAATTCATGTAATCTTGATGCATCAGGTTCTTTCTTCGTTGGTGCATGAAACCTTGCTTCATCATAAAGGTTCATATAATGGTTTGTCACGTTTGGGGTAGACCCAATTTTTGCATATTGAGGATATGAGTAATGATACACTAAGTTGAACCCATTACTACCATCATCAACATATATCTTTGGTGGAGGTTGTCTTATTAAATTCCTTCCTCTTGGGGCTTTGAGTTGGACGATCTGATCTAGATCATTGTAAACAACTCCTGTTGCAGTATATTCTGTGTTGTTCTCTGGGTTAATGTTCGTCATTTATATGAGAATAAAACAATTTTTACTCATAACAAATGAGATCGAAGTCAATTCTTTATGGTGCAGCTAATCTTCCAATTGAACCAACAAGCAATGTTGATTCAAGAACAACTAATAACATTGTGATAAAGAACTATCCATCTGGTACAGTAAGTGATGCTCCAACAGAGATAAAAAAAGAGGAAACAACTACGAACTCAGAAGCACCAATGTATCCTCCTCCTTTAAGTCCATTAACTTCCAACCTGACCTCATCGAGATCTGTGGAGACTTCATCGAGGATTGGTGTAGAAGAGTATTTACTTAGTATATACCAGAAGATACTTCTAGACCAAGACAAAGAGCTCTTTTCTAACTTAGTGAGCAAAGATCAGATCTTACTACCTAAGCCAGACTTGGAAGAAGTTGTTCACAGAATGACTGGGTTCAAGTGTGAAATAGACCTACTGGACCCAGACATCACATGTTGTGGTATTCCACCACCTTTCTCAAAAATAGCTCAGATCAGAATCATTGATGAGAACAATATTGCTCAAGAGTTTAAGTATGCATATAATGCACAATATACTGAGTTAATAAGTAGGTATAATTTATGTCTTAAGTATGTTATTGTTTAACCAAAAAATTTTTTATCTAATGTTAAATATGGTTGTTCAAACAAGAACAAAAGCACAAATGTTTCAAGACTTACTCAATAAAACTTATTGTTTACTCAAGTAATTATTTTAGAACGTTTCGACGTACTCCTTGATCTTATCAAGAGCTTCGAGCATCCGCTTCTTTGCATTGTACTTGGCGAGGATGGCTTGCTCAATGGTGAGCTCGAAGGCTTCTTTACCGATCGGACGGTGATCGCGAAGATCTTTGAGTGCATCAAGAGCTGCAGTGTACTCTGATGGTAAATGGGAGCCATCTAGTAATGGGTACAAAATGAGCATGTATTCCTGCAGTAAGTTCTCCTGTTTCAAGCGGGACTTGAACTCTTCGCGGAGATCTTGAAGCTTTTGGAGCTTCTCAGTGGCTTGAAGGTATTCAATGATGACCTTCTCTTGTCCTCAAGTGCTTGTGGGAGGAAGTGGACATAAGCTGTTGACTTCATCAAAAATGAAGTGGTCATGACACTTTTTAAGTTAATGTCCGAGCCATACAGTGATGTCGAAGCAGCACATGAACCAAAGAAGAAGTCTTGCTGGGAAAAGACAAAGATTGTTGGTAACGCAATCCTAGCCATTTGTGTTGTTTTGAACTTGATCGTACTTCTGATCTTGTTCTACAAACTCAACAGAGGTTATTGTCTCAAGTAAACACTTATTTTTATTACCATATAAATGATTTTTACCAAACCTCCTTTACCTTTCATAGGTAATAAGTCGAAGATCAGGAAAGATCTTATCGACATACTCAAAGACATCAAAGGGGATTATGTCTTCGTTGACCTCTTTGGTGGTTCTCTCTATATCTCTCATCTGTTGCATATTATGTTCCCAAAAGCAACGATCATAGCTAACGACTATGATAACTACGTTGATAGACTGAAACACATTCATGACACGAATGAAATACTTAAGGAACTTAAGGAGAGAATAAATGTTAAGCCAGATGAGAAAATTCCTACTGATCAGAAAGAGATCGTCAGAGAAGTTATAAGTAAAGCTCCATACATAGACTGGGATACATTATGTTCACGTCTTCTCTATTCTGGAGCATACAAATACTATGATCTTGACACATTAATGAAGAAAGTGTTATACCTCAGATATACTAACTTATTTGTGAAAACATAGATGACTATCTTGAAGGTTTAACTATTGTTCATAAAGATTGGAGAATACTCTTCAATGAGTATAAAGATCTTCCCAATGTTTTCTTTATATGTGATCCTCCATACTTCCATACTTATTCTATACAGTATGGAGATGAATGGACTCTTAAAGATACTGTAGAAACCTTTGATGTCCTTAATTATCCATCTATTTACTTCAGTAGTGATAAATCTTATACAGAAGAACTTTTAGAGATATTGACAAAAAGATATGGAGAGAAGTTTTCTATGAGAAAGCATGTTATAGATAGAGGTTTAATTAATCCTAACACTCAGAAAAATAATGAAGTAATATATGTCACTTTTTCTGTTAATGGAGAAGAGAAAGATCAAGAAGATAATAGTTGATGAGGGAACTGAAGAAGCGACGACATTCATCTTTGACGACGGAAAGCTCACATTCGTTGTCGATAAAAATGGACAACACTTACACAAAAGAAAGACCAAGAAAATTTTTAGATCTCCCAAAAGCTAGGAAACCAAAGGAACCATTTCCAGTACCAAGTCCAAGAACCAGAGAGACTTTTGTACCAAAACCTGTGGTTGACAAATATGATCCAGATCAGTTCTTCCAAAAATACCAAAGTTAGAATAAAAACTCCTTTATTTCTTTAGTATATATAATAAGTCTATTAGTAAGCTCTGTTCTCGTTCTGTTCTGGTGTTTTGACGTCTTTTCATGGTCTCACATAATAAGATCATGAACTTTTTCTTGAGATACTCGAAGAGCTGAGGTAAGTTATCATCATTCTGGTATGTAGGAAGCATCCCTGCTATCGTAAGTGTTGTATCAATAAGGATTGGACTTATATCGGAAAAGTCGAGATCTGGAGTAGAATAAGAAGGTAAGTCTCTTACATGTAGGTAGTCATTATATGCTTTACGCATGAGACTGAGTTTCTGGAGCACAACTATGAGACTTTGGTTCTGACGTTCAAGTTTGCTTAAAGTTCTCTCCAAGCTTCTGTAATAAACGTCAACCTCTGTAAGAGCAGATATTTTTGCATTGATCTCGGAGATCTTTTCTTGAACTTCACCAAGTTTGACCTTAACTGACGTTTGAGCTCCCATCATGTTTTCATCAAGGTCATTCTCTATGTCATCAATGATATCTTCCCATGAAGTCATGTTTTCATCATTGATCTTAACGTGAACACTCATGAAAAAAATGTCATGTAAAGTATAAATGTCAGATTTTTACTCTTGAGCTTCTTCTCTCTGGATTGACTCGTCTGTAGGGCTTAATGTGCCATCACGTTCGACCAGAAGGTTCTGCTCAGGTCTGTCAAGGAGCTGTCTGTAGGTCGTGAAGGTTTCAACGAGTCCTTGGTAAGGAGTTTGGAGATCAACATCGACCCATGGGTGTTTGCGTAAGAAAGCAGCAAGGCTTTCACGCTTGGAGTCAATGACATCTTTCTTATTGGTTAATCCTTCTTCAAAGCTTAGGATTACTCCTGCAGTTGATTCAAGTCTTTGGATCTGGCGTCTGGAAACCTTGGTGAGTTGTCTTATCCTCTCGTTTCCAAATACATGCAGGAGATATGCAGAAATTACTTCATTAAGTTCGATTAAACAAATTGGATGAAGATCAGTCATGGCTTTTGTAAAGCAATCTTTTGTAAAGCTGTCTTTTGTAAAGCAGACTTTTGTAAAGCAATCTTTTGTAAAGCAATCTTTTGTAAAGCAGACTTTTGTAAAGCAATCTTTTGTCAAGACGTCTTTTGTAAAGCAGACTTTTGTAAAGCAATCTTTTGTCAAGACGTCTTTTGTAAAGCAAAAGTATTCAATTTTGTGAGAAAATGCTTTTGTAAAGCAGTCTTTTGTAAAGCTGTCTTTTGTCAAGACGTCTTTTGTAAAGCTGTCTTTTGTAAAGCAGTCTTTTGTAAAGCTGTCTTTTGTAAAGCTGTCTTTTGTAAAGCTGTCTTTTGTAAAGCTGTCTTTTGTAAAGCAGTCTTTTGTAAAGACATAACCGACGACCGAATGTCCCAAGATGGTACAACACCAGCTCCAGCATCACCAACACTAGATATGATGGCAATGATGATGCAGATGATGCAACAGCAAACCCAGCTTATACAGCAAATGCAGGAAAAGAAAACTTTCAATAAACCTGCAAAGAACTCACAAGATCTTGAAGCTGGACTCAATGCTCTCAGGAACGACTACAAGAGAGAGCAGATGACGTTTAGGAAGAAGGGTGATGAAGATTATGAGAATGATCCGATCGAGGAAGACGAGATCAAGTCCACTGCATCCACAAAGACCCTCCAGGATGAAAGAGATGATGAGGGATTCCTTACCAAGTCTCAAAGACTCTTTGTCCTTGAGTTCTTCACGATCTCTGCCTTGAGATCTATGAGGAATTGGAAGGGTCGCGTTCCAAGTGGCTCAAACAAGCGCGAACTACTCATGACCGCAGTACCGCTCACTAAGACAAAAGTCCAGCTCATGGACTTTATCCTTTCCGCTTGTCCCGACGAGATCTAAGATCTGATCAGAGTAAAAACTTACATTTATGAGCTAAGCTCAGTAATAATTAGTTGTTTATTCTTTCTTCTCATACTTCTGTGCAAGGTTTCCACGGAAGAACTCAAGCAACATTTGGATCTTTCCAAGCTTTCGACCTTCTTTTTCGAGGTCATCCTGGTAAGTTCGGAATGCGTCAACGTGTGAGCTCGCATAGAATGCAGCAACAACAACCTCTTCTGCACCTTCTTTGCTGTCAAGTGGCATGAACTCGAATCCTTCCATTCGACCAAATAAAAGTGACAAAAATGTCAATGAGACCCACTCGTTGCATAGATGCTAAACCTGGTCCGAAGATGCAAAAGTTCTTCTTAACACTCATGTCTGACCATAGGGAGTACGGTCATGAAGAGGTCATACAGATCTTCGATCAGTGTGTACCAAAACCTGAGAATCCAGACGAACTCTTCATGAAAATTTACTTGCTTCAATGGAGAGATGAGAGAACAGATATGAAACTCAGACCAATACCAATCTTTCTAGGTTTCTGCAATTACCTAGAACAAGCATACCAGATTAAAGGGTCTGACACCATCTTCCTCCAAAAATAAACTTTATCGTTTATAATGCATCAGGATCTACATCTATTTCTTCTGCTTCATCCTCAATGTCGATCTCTTCGACAGGTTTGATAGCAGCTTTGAGTAAGTTCTTACCCATTGTCTTAAGTTCAACTGGGTTATATTCTTTGTCTTTACTCTTTGTTGATTTCGTGAGATCTACATATAAACAATAACTTTTAGTCTTGTCAAGGTTTATTCTCGCTGAGAAATGGTCAGGAATGTTTATAGCTATCTTTTCAAACTTGAGTAAATTAGCTAAACCTTCATTTGTGTATTTCTGCTTATCGACAAAGATCATGATCGGACTTGCACTATAACCATACTTTCCTTGACATAATGTTTGTGGTAAGCATATAAGTAGTCTCTTTGCTGTTTTATTTTGCTTCTTCACTTCATCTACAAACTGTTGGATCTTAAAGAACTTTATATGATGTTCAGACATCTTTATATACCCGATAAAAAGTTCAGATAAAAAAATAATTAGCTATATTTTTATTAGTGCATAAATGAGTCTTTCTTTGAGATTTTCTGATGAAGATCTAACTTTGGTAAGATCTTTAAAAGATGATGAAAACATTCTTTCTGTCATTGATGAAGAAAAGAAATACTTCAGTAATGATGTAAAAATAGAGCTACTCATTCATACTGAGAAACAGTTTGTGATCGTGATCTTGAGTTAACCAACTCGTATCCAAGCGTGCATTGTTATATAAGGAGGCATATAATCTTTTCCATTACCTGCTGGGTCTGTAATGCCAGCTACAACATGTGTATGATTTCCTGCAGTTCCACAGAAAATACCTGTGCTTGAATCTACTGGGTCACTTGAAATATCATATCTATGCATTCCCTGTCTATCCGAACCTGCTGCAAGATTTGTATAACCTCTTTTTGTCATTGAATGTGAATGGTTTCCTTCCACAGATGTTCTTCCACTGAACCTATGCATATGTGAAGGAAGGTTTTCAATACCTATTTTCTTTGAACCTCCCATCTTCATTGACTGCGTATTAGTGTAGAATGGAAAACTGTCAACTATTTCATACCATCTACCACCAAATAAAGTGTTTGGATTTATTGGATTCATAGACGTATAAACAGCTCCTATAGGATATATTAAATCATATATGCTCATAGCTCTATAAACATATTCTAAAGAACTTATGTCATTAAATACCATTTGGAATGTATCTCCCGGATGAAATGTTGCATTTGTTCCACTTTTATAATGTAATGTTAGTTCAATAGAATTATCCAAGAAAAATTCAAAAGTATCTGGTTGAAGACCTCTAACAAATTCAAATGGAGTTGCTGGTTCACCATTTATAATTTCTGTTGTAAATGTCATTTTATCTGGTTTCCAAAATTTCTTTGTTAGTTCTGCATCCACATAAGTTTTGTCAGCTTTCTTATCTAACATTGTTGGTAGCTCATGTGTTTCAAAGTTTCTGACATGACCTTCAATGTTCGTACATTTACTATCTAAACTATTAAGTGTATCTCTTACACTAGTGCTTGGATCTTCTTGTGGAGCACTTGAACCTAAAGTATAGTTCAAGATAATGTCATCAGCTCTTATTTTCTTGATTTGAACTGGTTGGTCATTATCAGCTCCTATTTTATTGATTATAACAGGTTTGTCTTCTCTTGAACGAATTGATTTAACTGTCAAAGGTTCAGTGAACTCATTATTTTTCAAAGGAATCAATGTTGTATTGATGTTTTCACCATTAATATATACTTCTTTTGCATCAATACCAGATGGGAATGAAACTCTTTCATTAACTTTAACTGTTGTACCATCACCTGGGTACATATCTTTCTCTGGACCTTTGATTGTCTTAAGTATGACAGACTGTGATAAAGTATATTCTTTAGATGCAACTTTACGTATCTCTTCGTCAACATAACTTTTGTCAGCTTTGTCTGCAATCTTAAGTGCAGTTCTTCCTCCATTATTTTTGTTCTCCTCAACTTTCTTCGCTAATTCAGCAAGAATGAGATAAAGATAATCAGTAAGGTCATCAGTACCAGACATATTAATATTATTGTTCTTTCTTGATGTATTAGCAACTTTCACTAAGGTCACAAAATCAGGGTACAAAGTACTTAACGTAGAAATGATTGTTTTTGGTCCAGGATCTTTCTCTTCTTCATCATTAGCATCACGTGGCATTGGAATTGGTTCCAAAGGTCCAGTCACATCAAAACTCTCAAGTTCCATATAACCTTCATTTCTGAATCTTTCTATATGAGTTATCTTCTGGAAACTTGTTTTAGTCTTTTCAACTAAATTTTTTATTCCATCCACAAAACCTCCTTTATGATTTGGACCAAGATTACCCAGAGTGTCAAGAACAGTATCTATACCTTCTTGACTTTCAACAAAAGCCCAAAGAGCATTTATTTGACTCTGGAGTGATATCCATGAGGCTGCAGTAGCACCGGCGTTTGCTATGGCAAAGATGAATGATAAAGGGTTGAACTTAAGACCAGATTCTTTATCTTTGACAATTTCAACGAAGTCATTGATATTTTTCTTCAAGTATTCCTTAGTCAGAAGAACTCCATCGCCAGCTATACCAGTTGCTTTTGTCTTTCCTTTAACATCAAATGTGATTGGTTTCTTCAATAAAATAACTTCTGGTGTTGTACTGATGCTATCATTAGTGGAGAAAAATTCTCCGACATGACTTGCTAAGTATTCTTTCGTCAATAATGTTCCATCACCAACAATACCAGTTGCTTTTGGACCATCTTCTGTGAATGTCAATGGTTTCTTTAACATAACTTTATCTAAGTATATTGCAATACCACTATTTTGTACTTGTTCATGACCTAATATATAAGCAAATGCTGCGTTTAAAGCATTATACAATGTATCTTCTTTAAATGTTAATTGACTGTTTTCAATCATTGGTATATTGAACAGTGTAGACCTTGGTCAAAATAACTCCATGGTCAATCGATAATAACCGTTTAACATGATATATTTATAGTCTCTAATGCTTCATTAATATTTACCTCACGAGTTTCTTGCAAACCATTACTCGCCATACATGAAAACATATAATCTCTATCAGTTGTGAAGAATGGAGCATCTAAGTAATTATTCTCTACTTTTGTCACACGATTCTGTAACGCTTGAAGGTATTGATTTAAGTCTGTTTCAACAATTGTACCATCTGGTTGCTCGATAGGTAATATACCAGGACCGATGGTAATGTCTTCATCAGCACCTTCTTTATGTATGACTAAAGCATTATCAGTAATTCTGAGAGTATATTCTTTATATTGAAGTACGCTAGACTTATAACATTCATATGCATATGGAACAACACTCATTCTTTTACTACATATAAAAATGATGTATTATCTACAATCGACTGATCCTAATAACTACGGGACAATACAGTTTCAAGCAGATCCTAACATGGGGCATCCAAGTAAGATAAAGATGAGAGTAAAAAGTGTCAGTACTATGGCGAACTTTATTGTTTGTGACGAAACAGATTATTTTGTCTTACAGTTAGACGAAGATGGAGAAGAAAAGGTGTGTACATTTAAGTCAGCTCTTTCATTTGATATGGATACTATTGTATCAAAACTACAAGAGATTGTAACAAAACAGTTTGATTATTATAACAAGAAAAAAGGTCAACATAATGTAACAGTTTCACTGAGTGCTACGAATCAACTTATATTTACGTCACAGGACAAAGGACATAAAGTCTATTTAAAAGATGCTTCACATAGAGCAAATCTTATTTTAGGTGCATATGGAATAGAACTACCTATTGTACATAATTATTATCTACAAATGCCAAAACCACCTATGCTCAACTTCGGGTATCAGTTATACCTTCGTTCATCAATGTCTGTCATCTCTGGGTTCAATAATATTGACCAAGTTGATGATCGAAGAAAGATCATGTACAGATCTACATGTTATAACATCAATGAGTTCTGGATATCTGGTAAACCACTTATATGTAAGGAATCCTCACCATGGATAGATGCATTTCCATGGGAACTAACTAATGTTACGTTTACCTTAGTTGACTTCCAAGATCAGCCTGTTCGATTATTGTCACCAATGTTTATGGTGATAGAGATTAAACCAGATAAGCCAGAAGTTAGAGAAACCAATGATGTCAGTGATGATGATACAGAATCTTCGTACGATTATGATTACGATGACGATTAAAAAAAAAAACGTATATTTTTTTATCGGTTATAAAAGACCAACATGCTCAATGCTATAAAAGGATTAGTTAATAACCTTTCACCAGAAGATAAGAAAGGTATGCTTGATATGTTTGGGATCAAAATGCCTAAGAAAGCTAAAGACATTACCAATAAATTAGCTCTGGCAATTAAGAATCAAGGAGGTACAGGAAGTGTAGCAGATATTTTCAAGAATGCTAAGAGCTTCTATGATGACTACAATGGTATCATGAATGTTCCAGCTTCAAATTCCCCAGTTGCTTTAGATCACGATCAGAGATCTCATAATAGAGCGTTAATGGAGATGCAACCAATATACTCAGACCCTCCACCAAAGATTGATGAGAGCGAATTAGCATACAAAGAAATACAGAATGCCTTTTACGTTGTTAAGAACATTAATGGTCAAAAACTTCCTGATGAGAAATGGTTAGACCCAATAACTAAAGCAGGAGAAAGATTCATTATGTTTAACATTGACCAATACAGTCCAAGAGGAAAAGATTACTTCAACAAGATGTTTCCAAGAGTTATGGCAAAGTTCATTGGACAGATAGACCTTTTCAAACAGAAGTGGACATTCTATTACGACTTTGATGAGAAGAGAAACATTTTGCGTCATTTGAACATCAATACAATGGGATCATTAGTTCATCAGTTACTTAATGAAGCTCCAATAGCAGAAGTACAAGAATTAGCATCTAAAGTCCTTGAATCAAACTATGACTTCTTCCTTTGTAGTATTCCTTCGTTAAGGAAGATCGAGATCTTTGACTATACAGCTTATTCAGATGTTGATGCTTCTGCTTTGAGAAAAGGAACGTACACACCATATAAACTCACAGCTGAAGAACAAGTTATGTTAGATACGATGAGAGCAGCAGGTCAAGAAAAGATCGCACTCAAGATCATCAAACAAAACCATTCAAAGAAGAGAAACAGGTCACGTAATGGTCAGCTTTGGACATGGACATGCAAATTACCTATTAACTTAGAGAGGTATCAGATCTTCAACGAACTTAATGCAGAGACAGCAAAGAAGATGATGAAAGATTCATGTTTCATCTACGCTTGTATTCAAGCTGGTGTTGACGAAGCAACAATTAATCATATGAGGGAAATCATTCGTGTCAAAGATTTTCCAATGTCAAAGATTAAGGTTATTGCCAAAGAAACAGGAATAAGGTTCCATGTCATCAAATACAACGAGAAGTATTCAAATCATTCATATACTTATGAACCAGATGAAGAACCAAAGATGACAGTAGAACTTTTATTAATGTATGACCACTACATGTTGAACGAAAAGCTTCCAATAAGTTCAATGTTCATCAAGAACTATGAAGATGTTTGTAAGTTGTGCAAGGATTGGACTTTAGAGAAGAAGATGTTAGTTAACAGAAGATATGAAACAAGGTATGCAATTAACTCAAAGTTAGTTACACCACTTGCAAAAGTCATTGAACTCTTGTTTGCTAACAATTATTTCGAACCAATTAGAACAGGAGAACTTTGCACATACTTCACAACGATGTATAATGAGAACCTTGAAGAAATGATTGACCTCACATACAATGAGCGTTATTGCGCAAGGATGAAGAAAGATTGGAGTTCAGAGACGAAGAAAGACATGAAGTTCCCAAGAGAACATGTTTTCTTTGCTGACTTCGAAGCATCAACTGATGGAAACATTCACAAAGCATACAACATTTGTTTCATGGAAGATGACGATGATGGTTATACATCAATTTGGGGAAGTGACTGTGCGTCAAAATTCCTCGAAGCTTTACCAGATAAGAGTTTAGTTTATTTCCACAACTTATCGTACGATGTCACTTTTCTCATGTCTCAGTTAGAAGAGATTACAGGAACTCCAATCATCAAAGGTTCACAAACGATGCAGATACAAGGAAAGTACAAAGGAAAACTTCTCTGCTTCAAAGACTCTTATGCAATCATCTCAACTAAGTTGGAAAGATTCCCTGAAATGTTTCACCTCACTAGTGGTGAAAAAGAAGTTTTCCCATATAATTACTACACGGAAGAGTTAGTTAATACAACTAAAGTTGGTAACATCGATGATGCCATGAATCATGTCAAAGATATTGAAGCTTTTAATGAGAACATTGAGAAGATTGAAGATTGCAAGATTGATGATGAACACTTTGACATGGAAGTTTATTCGTCATTCTATTGCGGTCAAGATGTACGCATTTTACGAGATGGCTTTCTTAAGTTCCGCAATGACCTCATGACTGAGTTTGAAATAGATGCTTATGATTATGTTTCAATAAGTTCTATCTCAAACAAACTCTTTGAGAAGAGAGTATATTGGAAGAACGGTAATCTCTTTGATCTTGCAGGAAAACCTCGTGAATATATTTCCAAGTGTATTCAAGGAGGAAGATGCATGCTAGCTGAGAACAAGAAGCAATACAATGAAGGAGAACTCATCACTGACTTCGATGCTGTATCATTGTATCCATCAGCAATTGCTAGACTTTACTGTTTAGAAGGAATTCCAAAAGTTATGACAGAAGAGATGAAGAGCAGTGAATACTTGTTGGAGCATCTCTTTGATGATGACCAAGCTGAACCAACAAAGGAAAAGTTCATCTCAGGATTTTACTGTCAGATCGAGATCTTGTCGATCGGTAAGAACTCAGCATTCCCATTGATTGTCGTCAATCCTGACATCAACCCTGACTTACATGTTGCCAGAAGTTCCAATACATGCTGCAAGATGTTCGTAGACCACATTACGCTTCAAGATCTGATCAAGTTCCAAGAGATCTCATGCAAAGTCATTGATGGATACTATTATGATGGAAAAAGGGACATGACAATAAGGAATGAAGTTAAGAAGCTCTTCGAATTACGTGCTAAGTATAAGAAGGAAGGTAATCCGATACAAGAGATCATCAAACTTCTTTTGAACAGTATCTATGGTAAGACGATATTAAAGCCCATTGACAAAAAGATTCGTTTCATCAAGGACAATAAGCTCACTGACTATATCATTAAGAACTATAATGACATACAGACAATAGAGTTCATCCCCGATTCCGAACTTTCATGTGTAAAGTCATTTAAACCTATCGTTCGTCACTTTAACTATTGTCCATTAGGTGTTTCAATCCTTTCTATGTCCAAACGAATCATGAATGAAGTATTCTTCACAGCAGAAGATTTGGGCTTGAAGTTGTTCTATCAGGATACAGATAGTTTACACTTGTATGAGAAGGACTTAGATAAGTTAGCAGAAGAATACAAGAGAAGGTATAACAGAGAACTCATTGGAAAAGCACTGGGTCAATTTCATTCAGACTTTGCAGAGATTACTGCAGGACATATGTCTAAGGCACAAAGATCTATATTCGTTGGAAAGAAGACTTACCTCGACGAATTAACCAATGACCTCAAGGAAATTGCTTTCCACTGTCGAATGAAGGGAATCACACAGGACGTAATTGCACTTACTGCAAACCAAATGTTCCCAGATGCGATACAAGTACATTATGACGAGAAGAAAGGTTTGTTCTTCCCTGAGAAAGTTGGGGAAAAATATAGCATCGTGGAATTGTACAAATCTCTTTATGAAGGTGATGAGATAACCTTTGACTTGTGCATTGGTTCGAAACCATGCTTCAACAAAAAAAGGACTTCACTATTTCAACGAAGTCATCTTTTGAACGTAAGTTAAAGTTCTAAACACTTACTTATTATTTTTCTTAGCTTCTTCCTCTTCTCTCAATTTCTTTGCAATCATTCGTGGATTCTTTGCGCGTCCAGCTGCTAATGCAGCTAATTGTTTCTCTGTGAGTTTACGCTTTGGTTTAGCTGGTTTCTCTTCTTGTGTTTGTTCTTTTGGTTTGAGTTCATTAAGTATTTCTTCACGAAGTTCATTCTTGAGTGCTTCTCTGTCGAAAGTATTCTCAGTCATTTTGTTAGGAGTAAAAAATTTTATTAGGATAGAAATGACGTCAAAACTTTCACCAAGTGAAAAGCAATCAATCATATTGAATGAAGCTAAAGGAATACAACATCCATTATATTATGTTTGTCATATGAAGAATGGTTCAGTTCAAGTTAGAAAGAGAAAGGCACCATTGAATTCACCAGCTCCTGCCCCAGCTCCTGTTGTTCAAGAAGCTCCTAAAGTTGATGAGAAGAAAGAAGAAGAACAAGCATATACTAATAAAATGTTGTTAGAGATGATGACAAAGATATTAGAACGTAACAGTGTAGTTAATGAACCAAACATGGACCCAATTGAACGTGAGAAGGAAACTAAAGAGAATCAAGAATATGTTCAATCAATGGAAGAGAAAAGAATACACTTCGATGATGAACCAGAGCCTGAACCAGAACCTCCTAAACCTCAGCCACAAATAAGACGAATAATCCCAAGAATAAGAAGATTGTAAATTTTTTATAGCTGAGAAAGATGTTGAACGATAACCTCAATACATACAGTATTGCTGATTCCATCAGACAAGTAAGATATTATTTCGATCAAGTTGATGGGGCAGTTCCTATTGGAGATACTAACCATAGATATGTCCCAACAAAAGTGCCAGCTATGCCGACAAATACTATTGATAACGGTTATATTACATTTAACATATCACCACCTGGTGAGAACATGATTGACTTATATAATACGTTCATTAGTGGTTATGTCGATGGTGAGTGCATAATTACAACAGAAACTGAACCAGCTGATGAAAAAGTTCCTAAATATGATGGTGAAGTATATAAAGAAAGAGCTGTTGAGACAGCTCCTACAGGATCAAATGTTACAGCAATTAAAGCAATTGATACTAAATATGCTGGTGGCAAATCATGTGCACATCTTCCAGCAATTTGGTTGGGATACATTGATTCATTCTATGCTGTTGAATCATATCAATTAATCGCTAATGGTAAAAGTGTTTATACACAAGATAATGCTAGAGAAGAAGGTTACATTACTTCTACTGCATCTACAACAGAAGCTATTAAGAAAGTTGATGTATTTAGTAAGGCTAGACATAAAGATGTTTTCAATAGATGTGATACAGTTCGTTCTGGACAGATTATTGAGTTCAATAAACCAATTAGTGGTGCAACTACATTAAAGTTCCACATACCAATCAAGATTGACCTAAGAAGATTCCTAATACTTAATAACATTAGATTCCTTCCAGCGTTTGCTGGTAACTTACAACTTAAGGTTAAGTTCAGTATTGCTGGTATGGTTTGGACACCATTAAGTTATCAGGATATTCTACCATTACCGAACATGCAAGCCAATGTTACAAGCTATATTCCAATCACTAATCACTTCACTCCTATCTATGAAGGTATCAAAGTTATTGATACTGTAACTTGGAATGCCGATAAGAGTACGATATCATTTGGTACCAAGTTTATTAAGTTCACTAAGAAGAATGCAAACTTCTTTGAAATGATTACATACTGTAACTCATTCTCTTTGGACCCTAACATCTATAGTGATTTGGTGACAAGATATTCGGCAAAGACTCTAAACTTCCCAATCAAAAGAATTGACTGCATTACTATGGATGGTTCAATGGCTAAAGGTGAAGGAACTCCTTGTACATTCACGGCAGCATTTACTCCATTATATGTGAACACCATTTATACACTATTTAAGAAAACACCTAATTATAACACTACCTATGAAAATCCATTGTTTGAACAAATTCAATTGAACTGTGGAGCATATGGTAACATACCCGCTGAGGCTCAAGCATCTAATGATCCAATCTTCTATGAGATGCAGGCAAATGCCACTAACAATAATAACGATACTGTTGGCTTCAACTATGATGTCATGAGGTCTATCACAACCACATCAGTCCCTCAATTTGGAATCGAGTCAAATGACTTAGGTCATTACCTATGTGGATTCCCTTGCGAAACTGATTATACATTCCAACAGGGTCAGTTATCTAATTCACCTATTACATATAAGCTTACAGTTAAGCCAACAGCAGAGTCTATTAAATATACTGAGAAACCAGTGTTATGCTTCTTACGTCACGTTTGCCTCTCCATACAGATTAAACCTGTGGGACCACCTATCGTACTTCTCGACGATTATGATTTATCAGCCCCTGCTAGTGAATAAAGGTTAGTTTACATATGTACGTTTATTTTTACACATATATGCGTACATATGCGCGCCCGTATGGTGTCAGTTTTCTGTCACTTTTTTCATTGTGTCGGTGACTGTAGCTGTAGGCTACAGGCGACGCACAATGTATACTGTACTAAGATTCATCTTTAAAAGTTCTGAAAATGTGATATACAAAAGAACTTCTACGCAAACCTCTATGGAACTTCACCATCTTTTTTATTTTTGTTATGTATGAATATTCTTATGATATATCTGTATTGGTTTTTGTAAAGTTATTAAATAGCAAATAATTGATTGGAAATCTCCGTTATCTGATAATAGTAGTGATAATTTTGCGTTTGAATGAGATTTTTAAGTACAATCCTAGGTAATTATAAAAATTTATTGAAATACTTGACTTATACTTTATTCTTCCTTAACTGATGTAGGATTTTTAATTTCTTGTACCCTTGTTTAGAAATAACATTTTGGTTCAGGCTCATTTATCGGCGTGCGAACCAACTGCGCGCCGATAAAAGAAAATAAATATTCAAAGATTAATTTATGAGTGTTTTTAAAAAACCGCCGTTTGAGAGGAAAATTGAGAGCCCCGATGTATACTTTTTGACATTGTCAAAAACTTTGAAAGGACCAAAAAAATTTTAGTGTCAGAAAGTTTACAAATGTATACTTTCTGACAAACAGACTCTCAGAAAGTACTCAAACTGCGGTTTTTAATTTCCGCACTTTTTTTTGGCGACCTTATTAATGGCTAAACAGGATGATTCAATTGTTCCATATCTTCTCTAAAAATAAAATTATTAAAACAACTCTATTATTTATTATAAAACAAATGATAATGAAATAATTAATGAGATCCAACAGATTTTGATCTTTTGATTTTAGTGATTTTTCTTTTTTCGTTATCTTCTGAATGTTTATTTCTTGTTTGTCTCTTATGAACTGAATCGTGGTGTATTTCTCCTTTGTATTCCTTCTTGTGGTGTTTCTCTGTGTTTGGTTTTGGAATTTTTGGTTTGTTTGTATGATTCTTTGATTGTTTAGGCGGAACACTCTTTGATTTAGCTTTCTTCTTGCTTGGTTCTATCCATGTTGAAAACTTTGTCTTGTTTACTTTATCAGCAAACTGTTCTATTGGTGAATCCAAGAGTTTTGCAATTTTCAAAATTTGTTTCCGTCTTTCTACGATTTTATCAAGACTTCCGAGCACTAAAGAAAGATATGATGAATCATTAACTGCTTCTGAGTGTATTTTGGCTAATGATTCTTGGAAAATTGTAACTAAATTTGGCATTCTTGTTGTATTGTTTCCAAAAAAGATATTATACATCTGTGGGTCTTCGAATACGAATGACTGTGGATGTTTAGGGTCGAGAGTGTTTGTTTTGTACTTAGAAAACAGACATCCACCATTAACTATCGTAATTCCGCATGTAAAGTAGTTGAATTTGTTTCCAATGCAATCTAGTAGTTTAATTAGTAGTTCTCCTGTTGACTTGGCTTCTGGAAATGCTTGTATAGCAAAAAATACTAAATTTAATAAATGATTTGAGCCAAAACCACCATTGCAAGGGTCATCATTGCCTGTAATGAACGTTATAGCTTTCATAAACATCAAAAGTGGTCGGATTTGTGGATAATGAGTCAAATAATTATGAACTCTAGGAACATTAAGGAGTCCATTGATATTTCCAATACAAATATCAAGATGGTATCCGTAAACTCTTTCAACGCATTTGATAATTGGTACTTTTGCCTTAGGAATAACGAAAGATTGAACAACTAATTGACTTTTCCAAAAATCTTTAGAAAGTTTTTTTAATAAATGGTTACCATCTTCTGTTTCTGGTAGATTTGTAATGATTAAATCGATATCGCTTGTTGGTAAATATGTATCTGTTCCTGTAGAGCCTTGAGCTACAACAGAACATGGTGGAAAAAGGTTTTCAATAAAGTTTGCAAACTTTCTGACTGTTAGGTATCTACTGAGTTCTTCTTGAGTGGTTGGTCGAAGCCATAATTCTAAATCAGAGAGTTCTTCAGTAAGATTATCTTCCAAATGTTCATTATGATAGCCTGATGAGCGTACCCATGGTCCCATTCCACTAATTTTTTCGATTGTAACCTTTTTTCCTTTACTCATCAGTATAAAAAAATAAAAAATAAATAAAGTATGATGTTTAAATATATAATATATGATATCATTAAAGATATCTTTTTGGATCAATTATCCTTATAGCGCATTTTATTATATTAATTTTGAAATTGATGCAAGATTCTTTATTTTTTCAATTCTTTATGGTTCTATTTCTTTTTCATCATTATCCTTAACAATTGCACCATGTGATATCAGAACATCAGTTATTTCTTTAAAGTTGTATTGAATTGCTATTTCAATAGGAGTTTTCCGTCTTCATCAGTTGCATTAAGGGTGCACACGAGAGGATCATGTAAACTTCAGAATTTAGAACCTTATTTTTAGGCATTATCTTGGCTACCTATTTAGGCTCGAAAAGCAAAAAATATCAAAAAATACAACTTGACTCCATTATGACCCTTTCATGGAGGTAGTTTTTATCCGCTAGTATTTTCCCTTTGAATCTCTTTACAATTCGAAATCAAATTCAAATCTCAGTAGAAGAAAGGAAGAATCGACTTACTACGGTTGTAATACGAATAAATACATATATTTAATTATTTTTATTTACATAATAATTGTTTGAAGCTCATATTCCATCAAATTTTTAAATAAAAACATTAAAATGTTGAAAATGTTCATATATTTTAATAGGGTTTTGGCACTTTATTGAGGAATTACTACATACATAGTCGAACTGAACTTGATATTTTGAAATTTAAATTATTTATCAAAATTAAAATTTAACTTGAAATTTATAATTATTTAGTCATATTTTGCATAATTCTAAGTAGATTTTGTAAAAAATCAAGAAAGAAAAATTTTAACGTGCTTTATTTTTTCTTTTTTATAATAATACATATTATTATATAATTAACATATTCATAATGTTTCACCCTTTCAAAAATATAATCCTCCTCCTCTCAAATAAACGTACATACGGGTGGCCTCTTTTTTCAAAAAATTAAAATTTGAAATTTTGGGCTCAAATATTAGAGATTTTTTCAACCTTCAACGATATATGTTGTCTATATCAGACCTCCTTTCTTTTTGATACTTAACATTGTTCCTAAATCTTAGCCGTTAAGGCTGTTCTGAAAATATTTTTTTTTCGAAAAAATTCGAAAAAAATTCTTAAAATTCAAAAATCCCTTAATTCCTGAGGATTTTGGAAAAAAGTTTTTACATGAACATGTGTATATTATATGAAGTATATTGATAAGGTAAAAATCAAATTTTATTGCATATTCATCGAGAAAATAAACTAACGAATCCCTCAAAATTGAGAGGGTAATCCTCCTCTCAAATAAACGTACATACGGGTGCACCCTTAATATTCGCTCCATGTAAAATAAGAAATTCTGCAATTTCTTTTTTGTTGATTCTGGCTGCTAAATGTAGTGCAGTTCTTCCTCTATTGTCTTTAGCATTGATATCAACACCATGAGAAAGAAAGTAATCACAAAGAGAAGGCATATTAAACCATACTGAATTCACGAAACTACCATTTATATCTCCAATTTGATCTAAATAAACAAATAATGCATGAAGATTAAAATATCTGCAACTATATCCATAGTCAATTTCCAAGTTATGCTCATAAGTTAAGAATGTAACAAAATCAATGTTGTGTGAAATAACTGCATTTCTCATGCATCCATAATCAGGTTCATGGAATTTCAAACATTCATTGACAATATCAGGTACACCACTCAAAAATGAAAGTTGGAGACATTCTCTAGTGATTTCTGAGTTAAATTTTGTTCTCAATAACTTAAAACAATTAACTGCTCCATGATAACAACATAATTCAAGCAATGAGAGTCGATATGGATAAAAATCGCTATTTAATTCTTGATTCCTGTCAAATCCTTCGCTTTCTATGAAGACAATAAATGAATCTTTGTCATCATTCATGACTGCTCTGTAAATTGTGTTTTCTTCGTGAATGTCCATTGAATAATTTTTGCTTTCAAAATCATCAATTTTACCTTTAGTAAATTCGTCAAAAACGATTCCATATTCTTTATAAACAAAGTAGTCAAAAATGTTTGAGATGCAAAATATTTGCTTTGGATGATATTTTTCATAGAATAATTTGAATAAAATCCAATATGATTTGAAATATTTATTGTTATATTTGGATGCAGTAATTATAGCTGATATGATGTCATTTGGCATAAGAGTATTTGTTTTTAATAATTTTGTATCGATTTCTTCGAATATCTTGATAATTTCTTGTTCTTTTAGTGTCCTAAGTCTATATAACGTAGTCATAGCAGTTATGGTGTCCTGATTTTGCTGCATTAGTTCATTATAGTCTAGTTTCATTTGCAGTAAAAAAAGTAATCCGATAAAAATTGAAAAATTTTGATAAAAGGTAAAAATCGATAATTATAATTAAGTTCTGGATAACAACCACAAATCTCCTTCTAATTATAATTATTGTAATTTTGCAATTTGATTAAACATCTATTCCAAATTGGGGAAAATGTGGTTCTTATTTAAGTATCATATCATATTAAAATTGCAAATTTTTGATCATACATATCATTGAATTCAAAACAATTTCTAAAGTAATATTTTTCAAGTATTATTCATTTTTAGTAGGGAAAAATCCTTTCAAGGAATTTATTCTATATCCACTATACATTACTAATACTGGGGATACTTCTTTCTTTCAACAATTTGCGGAAGACTACGATAGGTCTCTATTAAATATCTATATTAAAATATTTGGTTTTTCATTAAAAGTCTAGGCATTTTTCTCAAAAAGTAACGAATTAGATGATCTTCAATAAATGTGAGTGCTTCATTAATGCCTTGTCATACAGAGAAATTCAATGAATTAAGAAGTATCCCGATACTCTAGCCTATATATAAATTTATATTTGATTCTTGCCAAATTCAACGCATTAATAATTTTTGTTCACAATATTTTCAAAGTATTTCTTGATCCATGAAATTTTGACTGACTGAATCTAGATTGTTTTCAGATGTTGATATTAAAGCTGCAGATATTGATTCTAGATTGATGTCTGTATTGGAGAAAAAAGGATTTTCAAAACTTACAAATATTCAAGCAGAATCAATAAAAGCTATCAACAATTCCAGAGATGCATTAATATGCGCTAATACCGGAACAGGGAAAACATTATCATACCTTTTGCCGATATTTACAAATCTTGCAAAAGAGTTTCCAGATATTAAGCGAGAAATGGGTTGCTTAGCTCTAATTGTTGTTCCGACCAGAGAGCTGTGTCTACAGATCGAAACTGTTGTACAAGACCTCAGATCCAAAATGAATTTTATTGTTGCAGGAACCCTCCTTGGTGGAGAGCAAACAAATGTAGAAAAGAAGGCCCTTAGAAAAGGATTAAACGTAATAATTACAACTCCGGGAAGATTAACTTATCATCTCCAAAATTCTCAGAATCTGACATTTGATTATTTCCGGTATTTTGTTCTTGATGAAGCTGACAGATTACTATCAGAAGGCTTCCAGAATCAGCTCGTACAAATAATTAATCCCCAAATCATTGATTGGTGATAGCATATCCATTAATTTGAAAATATTAGTATTTAATGGTATGCTTACACTCACTTGCTTTCCACTATTTTTGGTATAAAATATGCAAATGATAATATTATGATTTTTCATTTCATGCCTATATAATATATTAAATCGAAAAAGAAAAATTGAATTACCATTGGGCGTAAAATAAAATCTTTTTAATTAAAAAAGCTTAAAATTATAAAATTACTCGAAATATAAATATTACTCAATATTGATGCCATCAATTATCTCTTGGCTGGGTGTATTTTAAAAGTTCCAAAATATTTTTATCCGTCATTTTTTGCTGCATAAGAAATTGCACTTTCTCCATTTAAATCTTTGGCATATGGATCCCCGCCTTTTAACATTATTTCTCGGATCATTTTTTCATTTTTGAGTAATGTCGCACAAATCAGAGGTGTTTTGTGATCAATGTAAATACTATTAACATCTGCTCCATTTTTTAATAAAATGGTGAAAATATCAATATTTCCATTCTTTATCGAATAATATAAGGCATCATTTCCAAACTTTTCTTTAAGATTTGGATCTGCATGATGCTTAAGAAACTTAATCACAAAATCCTTATTATCCAACATAGAAGCATGCATTAAGGGAGAAAGTCCATCATATAAAATATTAATAGGTGCTCCATTATGGAGAAGAATGTTTGCGGTTCCAAGTTCTTTATTTTGAATTGAAGTTGAAAGGAGTGGGCTGACTCCAGTTACATCCAGATTAACTCCTCTTGATATTAATATATTGAGTAATTCCTTATTTCCATCTTTGACTATCATTGTTAAAATTTGATTCATATTTTTAGCTTCATTAACATCTTGGATATGATTGATAACTTCTTTAGCAAGATTGTTCTTACCAATTTCAATTGACATTTTAATCAAATTAAAGGCATAATTCTGGATTTCTTGCTGTGAGCAGTGTGTAATTAAGTTTCTGGCTGGAATTATTACTGAATGTAATATTTCAAATTTAATTGCATCAAATAGTTCGTTCTCTGTAATAAATGCTCCTTTTTCAAGGAAAATAAATAAATACTTATATTTCTGATTGGTGATTGCTGTTTTAGCATATATCTGTGCTGATTTTTCGATTTCGCCGCGTCTTATTGCTTCATTAATAAGTGTTGGTAAATAGATTCCATCATTTATGATTTGGTATATTATTTCCTCATGAATCTTGAATGAATTGTTGAGCAAATATTGGATGAATGCTTCCTCTGATTGTTGAATTGCATAGTGAATTACATAATAACCTTTGGAATCTGGTATGTTAAAATCATATCCATGATCAATCAAATTCTTAATAAGTGGTATATTGCAAAAGACACCTGTCATTGATTGACAACTGCTTCCGTGCTTTATTAAATGGAAGAGGAATTCAAGGTTATATGAACTCAATATGATGTTTTCAATATTTTTGAAAACAAGATCAGGATTATGTAATATAAATTGCTCGATTAAATATGAATTATGAGCAATACCTGCATTGATAACACATTGAAGATTTGGTTCACATTCATGTTGAATTATATCAATGATTTCCATATTTCCTCCTAAACAAGCAAGTTCAAAATGATGAACTGTAAGCTTTGCTTCTCGGAGATTATTTGCAAATTTAAAACAAGTAATAGAACCATAAATACAGCATAAATCTACCACATGGGTAATTTTGTCGTTGTCAGCAACAGTTAATAATTCGATCATCGTATTTAAATCATCATTTATCGCTGCAAATGTGATTGGATCAGTTTCAACATTGTTTTCATTGCATATTTTTGATAATCCACTGCCTTTAAAGAATAATTTCCCGCGTGTTTTCATTATGATGTTAACAATATTTTTGTACTCATTAATCTTATGCTTGTAGGTGTTTACTGCATTTTCCAGAATCTTGATCAATGTAAACTTATAGCTTGGATCTATATCAAGTATATTCTGGATATTTGTGCAGAGAGATTCTATTAAAAGTGAATTTGAACAACAAAATAAGTTTCTCCCTAAATCAATATATGATTTAAAACTACTCATAAGATCCTTATATAATGAATCATTTGGTAGATAGTCTTGTAACATGAAAAAATGAACTTTCAAAAGCTTTTCAAAATAATTTGAGGAAGTTTTCAGTTTTTAAGAAAAAGATCTCACAATTTATTATACTGAATTTTTTTCAAATTCTCAAAATATGGTCATTTCACTCATTCACTTAAAAATTCCCAATCTATATCGAATAATATATTAGCATAATGGATAAAATTTGAGACGACTATTCAAAAATTTTCATAGTGCGCGTCAAAATGTAATAATTATATAGAATTGTCAAAAAGATTTATCTGATTATTTTTTTCACGATGACAATCGATTCCATTTTAAATTGAATATAAAAAAAATAATAGTAGAAGATTTAAATAATATAATAAATGGATGCATTATATATAATATTTATTTAAAAATGCTAAATTATACATAACAATTAATTATTAATTAAAAATTTGACAAAATGCAATTATTCTAGTCATTAGAGTCAAAATAATATATTAAGTAAAAATTGTAATTTCATTATAATTTGAAAATATCATTTTGTACTCAACTCAAATATCCAATAATTTCAAAATTTTGAATGACTTTCAATTATATCATTTTACGAGTAATTTTTTTCAATATTTATATATTCGATTAATTTATAAATGCTTTTATTTTGCATTCAAAAAAATTGAAAGAAAGAGGGAAGTCACCGGCAAACCGCCGTGAAGATGAGAATGAAAAAATGCGAACGTGCTCCAAAATTAGCACCAGAAGACTAATGTGTTGATAGGCCAGTCCGATGGTAATGATTTGTAATGAAAATTTATTCGATTTTGCATAAAAAAGAGAGAGGTTATCGATTTTGTAATTTAATCGTCGTCGTTATCGATTTTGTAATTTAATCGTTATCGTCTTTTTCTAAACGTGCATTTTTACATTAAAAGCAATGCAACTCCAAAATTAATTGGTATTTAGACTTTAATTAGGTGCAGACAAACGAAATGCAGTCCAAATATTTTGGTGATATATGAATTACATAAATTTAGGGAAATTGAAATTATATCTTTTTAAATTTTTAGGAAAACAGATTTATAGAATTGTTTAAGTCATCAAAATAATGCAGACTTAGGTCAAATTTTCCAAATTTAATCATTTGCAAGACTTTCAAGCGACTTCAAAATGTCGAAATATAAGTCCAAAAATAAAATTACGATTACAGTCTATCCTCAATTATTATCACGCTAATTATTGAGTGACCCATGCGTTCGTATGTATGTAATACCTTTTAAAAAGGAGATGAGAGAGATAAACTACATTTACAATTTAAATCTGATGTATTTACTTGTTACATTTACAAATGTAAATGTTTCTCGTAATGTTTACATTTTGTAAGTATAACGAATAAAAATGACGCACTTTTTTTACAAAGTCAAATTATGCGATACAACTTTACTTGTTACATTTACAAATGTAAATGTTTCTCGTAATGTTTACATTTTGTAAGTATAACGAATAAAAATGACGCACTTTTTTTACAAAGTCAAATTATGCGATACAACTTTACTTGTTACATTTACAAATGTAAATGTTTCTCGTAATGTTTACATTTTGTAAGTATAACGAATAAAAATGACGCACTTTTTTTACAAAGTCAAATTATTGTTCGATTTTTGCAGCTTGTAAACGATTAATTGTATAAAGCAATTGATATTAGCACGATATAACTGAATAATTCTAATATTGAAATCAAAAGCCCTTAAAATATCATGATATTTTAATTTCATAACAAATCTAGGAGACTATTTGATGAAAACATATCCGATGTGGTTTTTGTTGTATTATATAACTTGTTATTGACTTCTTAGCTTTCCAAATTTTTTTCGATAATGAGAAAACGAATGAAAAATCAACATTTGGTCCATTTAAAATTTGATTTGTTTACATTTTTTTACTTTTTGAATTTCAATTTATATTTTCCTCAAGAAATACTTTAGATTTTAAGAAACTAAATCATATAATCTACTAAGAAAATATATTAAATCCTATAATACTCAAAGTTTTGTGATAAATCAGATCTTTTTTATTTTACTTTTATTATGTTTTTGCAAACTTAAGGTCCTCACTAGGTAAAACATAATACTCTTTGAAGTTAAGTATTTTCACAAAGAGAGGACCAACAATATCAAAAGATTGAATAAAGATTTGTATTATTTTATTTATTTTTAAGAACATGTTTAAGAACCCTCATTATCTCCACGAATATTGCATATTTTTCTATTCTAAGACCACCAAAATTACGTTTTAATATAGAAAATAACATATTTATGTGATGCTAAAGTCGAAGTCCTTAAAAAATTAGTGTTAAACATCCTATTGTTAAATAAATTTTTTAAAAACCTTAATAGGATAAAAAAAAAGAATTTACACTCTCTCACTTTGAAAACGTAGAAAATGCCAATCTATTGGTATACATTTTAGTTTTGTTAAGTTTACAAAACGATTACTCTAGATTTTAAAGATTTATCAAGAATTTAGAGAATATCCTTCTCAAAACAACTTCAATAGCGAAGGATTAGTATTAAATCGGATTTGTAACATAATTATAGTACATTACAATACAATTTCTCCGACTTTTAAATATTTTTGAAATATTTACAAAATATGCTCTTTCTATCATCGATACTTTAATACAGAGCAAATTTAGTAAATGTCATCACGTTATTTTTTCATAAATCGTTTTCGAACTTTTGAAATATTTATTTTAAACCAGTTTTCTACATTTAATATGTGAATTATATCAAAAGTAGATGGGCGATACTTGTAAATCTATTTAAACTATTAGTTTGCTATTATTGAAGAACTTTATAATTTTTTTTTCTTATGTATGGAATTAAAGATAATTTTGCCGATTCCAACTGGTTTTTCTATATGAGTTAAATATGCCAAGTGAAATCGGACTTGCCAATATTGTAAATTGAAGTATGGACTATATATCGATTTTCATTGATTGATGAATAACTCGGAGTAATGTAATTGTTGATAATGAAAAATAGTTTTCAATTGCTGGTAAGGGCCAATGTATGTTCAATAGCTCCGAAAGCAAAAAATGCACGTTTAGAAAAAGACGATAACGATTAAATTACAAAATCGATAACGACGACGATTAAATTACAAAATCAATAATGACCCTAAAAAAGAACTCAAGATAATCCATATTCAAGTATATTCGAATTATTATTTTTGTATATGCTCTGGTATCACTATTTTAAATGCAATACCTACAATATTTTGGTTTTTGAATACAAGGAAGCTATAACTTCATGTTTTATATTTCCAATTTTTTGGATTATAAAATTAATCAAATTTATAATTAAAATAATGAATTAAATCGATATTACTATGTTTTGGTTTAAATTTAATAGTTTGGTCTAATGCATATCTAATTTGTACAGAAAAGTGATTTTTAACAGCTATATTCTGCATAGACATATATTTTATATGCAATATCCGAACTATAAATCTTAAAATAGTGAATTATTAGCTTTTATTATTAAATAATCTTCAGTAAGAGTTGAGATAGCTTCCTTGTATTCAAAAACCAAAATATTGTAGGTATTGCATTTAAAATAGTGATACCAGAGCATATACAAAAATAATAATTCGAATATACTTGAATATGGATTATCTTGAGTTCTTTTTTATGCAAAATCGAATAAATTTTCATTACAAATCATTACCATCGGACTGGCCTATCAACACATTAGTCTTCTGGTGCTAATTTTGGAGCACGTTCGCATTTTTTCATTCTCATCTTCACGGCGGTTTGCCGGTGACTTCCCTCTTTCTTTCAATTTTTTTGAATGCAAAATAAAAGCATTTATAAATTAATCGAATATATAAATATTGAAAAAAATTACTCGTAAAATGATATAATTGAAAGTCATTCAAAATTTTGCAAATTACCTCGGACTTTTCAGAGGATTGAGTGGCAACTCAATCCTCTGAAATAGTCTGTGGTAATTTTTAGTCTCTACACTATTTCAATATAAGCTCCATTTTTAAACATTTTTTAAAAATCGAGCATTGAAAAGTGTGATGAGACTTTGAAATTATTGGATATTTGAGTTGAGTACAAAATGATATTTTCAAATTATAGTGAAAAAGTTTGCATGAAAATAATTTGTGCAGAAAGATTATGGAATTGGGTATGAAAATAGTATTTAATGAAAACCAGCCAAAATTTTTCATTCACAAACCGTGTACTTTTGAATGAGAAAATTGTCTTCTTTCACATTTTTATTTTGAATGACTGAAACAAGGAGTAGTCCTCTAGAAACTGGATTGTTTTCAGATGTTGATATTAAAGCAGCAGATATTGATTCTAGATTGATGTCTGTATTGGAGAAAAAAGGATTTTCAAAACTTACAAATATTCAAGCAGAATCAATAAAAGCTATCAACAATTCCAGAGATGCATTAATATGCGCTAATACCGGAACAGGGAAAACATTATCATACCTTTTGCCGATATTTACAAATCTTGCAAAAGAGTTTCCAGATATTAAGCGAGAAATGGGTTGCTTAGCTCTAATTGTTGTTCCGACCAGAGAGCTGTGTCTACAGATCGAAACTGTTGTACAAGACCTCAGATCCAAAATGAATTTTATTGTTGCAGGAACCCTCCTTGGTGGAGAGCAAACAAATGTAGAAAAGAAGGCCCTTAGAAAAGGATTAAACGTAATAATTACAACTCCGGGAAGATTAACTTATCATCTCCAAAATTCTCAGAATCTGACATTTGATTATTTCCGGTATTTTGTTCTTGATGAAGCTGACAGATTACTATCAGAAGGCTTCCAGAATCAGCTCGTACAAATAATTAATTTGATCAAGGGAAAAAGTTCTCAGTCTGGAGCTAAATATCACAGTATCCTCGTTTCTGCTACGCTTACAAGCTCGATTGAGTCCCTCTCTTCAATCGCCCTCAGTGATCCGGTCAGAATCGGTAGCATCATCAGCAAAAACTACTCAGTTCCTGATTCAATCCTTCAAAGAGTCGTTAGTGTCGAGCTAAAAGACAAGCTTTTGGCTCTCCTTTTACTACTCAAGAAGTATTACACCCAGATTCCTGAGATGAAGGCCATTGTTTTTCTCAGTACAATTTCTGAGGTCGATTTTTATGCAACATTCTTCTCATACTTCAACTTCTTGACACCACAAGAAAGAGAGGATAAAGGTCTTCCTCCAAGAAAGTTTATGGTAAACGATTCCAGCAAGCCTACAATCAGAGACCATCATCCAACAACAGATAATGATGAAGTTGGAGGATTCTCACCGTTCTTAAATGCGGAGATTTACAAGCTTCATGGAAACCTTGAGCAAACTGATCGCAACAAGACTATTTCGAAGTATACGGCAAGCAAGGATGCACTTTTGTTTTGTACAAATGTTGCTGCAAGAGGAATTGATATCCCAGATGTTCAACTCATTGTTCAATATGAAGCTCCAGTCGAAACAGAAGATTATGTTCACAGAATTGGAAGGACTGCAAGAATTGGGGAAGATGGCGTTTCATATCTTTTCCTGCAAGATTATGAAATGGGATTTGTCAATAAACTCACAAATATGGGCATAAAGATCAAGAACTACAATTTCTCAGAGATTGTCCAAAAGGGTGTTTCAGCAATGAAAGGAAGAAATCTTGAAAAATGCACATTTGGTATCAAAATGGAGATTTTTTCAACAGTCAAATCGAACAATTTAAGTGACATAGCATGCTATGCATGGCAGTCAGCTGTCCAATCATATCGCACATACAGAAGAGAAGATAGGGTTTACTTTGACTCAAGGAAACTTCATTTAGGCCACCTTGCGAATGTTTTTGGTTTGGAGAAAACACCTTCACAGATTTCTGATTTTCTAAATGAAGACTATGAGCTGAAGAAAAGTCTTAACGAACCAGTTCAGAAGAAGGAGATGCTTCCTGCGTTTGAAGAACAAACTTCAGAATTTATTTAAAAATTATTCAATAATTCAGAGTAAAATATTAAAATCTTAAAATCAAAATTACTTTTGTTCAAATTCTCTGAACGCAATTCAAAGTGATTGATTTGAAAATTAGGAAAATTACGCTGTCAAGATATAAAATAATGCTTTTATGTTCCCAAGGTCGGTAATGTATACTACTACATTACTTCACCGGTAAAAGATGTACTGTTATAGATATGATTTAAAGTAATTTGTAAACTTTGTAAAGTGTAAATTTTTTTCAAATGCAAGAAATTGTAAATGTCAAAATGACAAGCTTAAACAATTGAATTGTATAGTATTGCAATACAGATTGTGAAAATTGTTGTAAAAATCGTAAAATATTCAGATCCATTTTTGAAATCATTAAGGGAGGAGTGGGGGACAAACTCGCCCATTGTCACTTTTTCATTAACCTTAAACTTGTAATTTTCATTATTTTAATTAACCTTATTTCTTTCCCAATTCCTGATTTATTTTATTCACTTACTATTAAAAGTCACATTTTAATAAAATATAATAATCTATTTATAGCATTTTTTACTATACTGTAATAAAAAATTAATTATAATAAATTAAATGTTTATTAAATCAAATGTTTTCTTTGCAATAATATTTTTAATGTTGAGTAAACAATGTTGGGATCAAGTGTATCATTTTTCAGACCTTTCTGAACAGCTTCAAGCATACTGATGCATTCGACTTTTTTAAATTGTGTCATTTCTTCGAAATCTCTTGTGACTTTTTTGATAACTTTAACACTTCTCTCTGAATCCAGACCTTTAATTTGCAACTTAATCAGGAATGAAGGAACAACACTGGAATATAACCCGATGACAAGTTCATCGAGTCGAAGATTTTCGCCTTTCTGGGAAGTACTGGTGCTTCAAAACCTTGAAATGTGATTCTGAGATGTTGTTTGTTCCATCTCCTTCATTTCTATAGCGAAGCATCCACCTGTCAAGATGATGGCGCCACTGTTGGTCAAAGTATTCACGGCAGCAGGTTCCTCATTTAAAATTTCTTCTAAATTGTTGTAAACTTCATCAGGATCAATTTCTTCCTCTTCAGAACCAAAGACCAATAACTTCATTAAGTTATAGAAAGTTTCGAAGTTGGAACGATCTTGAAACTTTTCAGCCTTTCTCATGACAGCGCGCAACACATGAACACCACACCAAAATGATCTGGCATAAGGGGATGGCTGTTTCAACAGCATTTGTGATTTGAGGTGCGCAGTCCATTGAAAAATAAGATGGTTCGCGATTGATGGAGCCAAAATATGCTGTGAGACAAACTTGTATATTTTCACTTGTGTCGGGCCAAACGAAAAAATACAAAAACGGAAAAACAATTGATTCCGCGAATTTGCCAGTGACGGCATAAAATGGTATGCGAGAGCGCAAGAGCTTATAAGTGGAATCAATGTGATAAGTTTGTATTTGATGTGAAAAAGCATTTGCTTCGAATGGGGCGTAATAGAAAATCATACGATCTGGCTCATGAATAAACTCGATGAGATCATCTGGAGAATGACTCTTAACCATGTCGACAAAAATTGCAAGAGATGTAACATCATCCGCTGAGAAACGGGTATTGATTGCATGAAGGCGTTTAGAAAACTTTTTTAAAGCATCTGTAGATTGTTGAAACATTTCCGGAATGATCCCACTATCAAATGGGATATTAAGATCTTTGAAACACCTTAATTGTGCGTAAACACGGTCTTGATTTGATTCAAAATATCTTGTTAAATAAGATCTAAAAAATATGATGTAATTTGTTGTGATTTGTTTGGAAAAGGGGCAGAATGATTGTGGGTGTTAATACATTTTCGTATGTGGTACTTGTCATCGGGAAGTGTATCAACAAGGAAGCGACATGGACAATTCGGCCACTTACAATTAAATTGGATTTGATTTCTTTCTTTCCTAGTTTTATATGAATAACTACAACCTGCTTGGATTTCTTGTTGCACTCCATACTTAAGCAACTCGATATATGTGAGTTCGTGATCTTAGATCTGCATTAAAATGAAATGATTTGAAAGAATAAAGAATTTTGAATATATTGGTCTTATTTTGATAAGCTTGGTCGTGTTTTGAATAGCTTGGCCATCTAATTCAATTATGATCTTTGAAAATTAGGTGAAATAAAACTAAACATAAATGTAAAACTAGGGATATGAAATTTTGGTTGTACACCACTTGTATGTGCCGGATACCATTGTGTCAAATTTTTTCTGAAATTAACTTTAAAAGTACTAAGTAAGATCATGAGATATAGCAATATATGTTTAAACCAACTTATATTTTGGTTGTACACCACTTGTATGTGCCGGATACCATTGTGTCAAATTTTTTCTGAAATTAACTTTAAAAGTACTAAGTAAGATCATGAGATATAGCAATATATGTTTAAACCAACTTATATTTTGGTTGTACACCACTTGTATGTGCCGGATACCATTGTGTCAAATTTTTTCTGAAATTAACTTTAAAAGTACTAAGTAAGATCATGAGATATAGCAATATATGTTTAAACCAACTTATATTTTGGTTGTATGTTCCAAGTAGTATATGAGTGCGGGTTGTGTGACTTTTTTTGTTACATCTATATATAGACGATGCATTAAAATATATTTATTTATAAATCATTAAAAAATTAACATTAATTTTAAAATAATTTATTTTTTTATCTTTTATAAAAGAAGCTATATATAGATGATGTCAGATATTCCGCGATTAATTAAACATTGTTTAAATCCCGAATGGATTAAACTTCAATTTAAAAATGAAGATTGTGAATTATTAAATGAATATGAAAGCCAAAATAAGCTAATGAGGTATAAATATAATGATAAAGAATATTTAATTTCATGGAATCAATGGAGTCATAATCAAAGACCTCATAAACGAGAAGAAGAAATTGAAAATAATGAAATGGAAATCATTGATGACATTAAAGAGGATGGAATTCCTAAATTTTGTAGAAAAACCTTTAGAACTAAGTTAGGAGCATATAAACGTAGAGTATTAAATCCTGAATATCTTAAACATATATTTAAAAAGGAAGACTGTGAATTATTAAACGTTAATGATTATGAAAATGCAAAATCAAAACTGAGATATAAATATATTGGAAGTGATGAAAGATGTAAAGATAAAGATAAAGTTTATACAGTTTCATATAATAACTGGCACACGTTAGGGATAAGAAAACATTTAGGAGATTATGGTAAAAGTTCTGAATTCTTTAAATCTAGTATATACGAGAGAGTAAAAGAAATCAGATATAATTATCATTCATGAATGAAAGATTCACTACCATAATGAAATAAAAAAAATAGATTTTAAACATTCATGTCTTACATTTATGAAAATTTATTTTTATTTTGTATGAAACCGATTTTAAAAATTCATGTCTTACATTTTTTGAATAATTTATTTTTTTTAATTCGTAAGAAAATGAGTGTCAAGACAAACGACGTTAAAAAATTGGGATTCACAAACGAGGAAATAAAGGATATATTAGAGGAGGCGAGTTATGAAGTTAATAAATATTATTTAAGAAATTGTCAAAAATTCGCGGAGTTATTAAATGATTTAGATTATGATGGAAAAATGAATAAAGATGATGTTATAAATTTCTTATATCCCACATCTGAAGAAGAAAAACCTAAAGAACCTGATGTTTTCCCTGAATATTATGAAGAACGGATTAAAGATGATGAATATGATGAAATTGAAAGACTGGAAAAAATAAGAGATGAAATAGATGAAAAAATTAAGGAATTAAGAGAAGTTGAAAAATATAATGAGAATGAAGTAGAGGGTTTAATGAATATCCCAGCTTCAGAATCAGAAGTTCAAAAATCTCATGAAGAAAGATATAAAAATTACTTTTTGGAATCTACTAAAAATTTATTAGATGGTGAAATAGATGAAACACTTTCAGAAGAAGGCACAAAATTTATTCATAAACATAAGTTACAATTTATTGACGATGGAGATTATCCATGTATATTACTTTCACCTCCTCTTGATTCTGAAAAATTCAAAAAAGCACTGAAAAATGTAACATATGCAACAAATACGATTAAGAAAGAAGACCATGATATTTACACAAATTATTATTTAAATAAATGTACAGGTGTTGATAAAGTTTTTGATTTGTTAGATAAAATATCAAAAGAAACAATTGGTACATATAAAATTTTATGCGATTGTGGTTTCATTATTGAAGATACTACTAATGTTTCATATGAAAGAACAGCACCGAAGGAAGACGAAGTTGAAAGGTCTATACCATTCGTTATTAAGAATATAAAAGATATGAAAACTTATAAACATTATATTTATTCATTTATTTCAGAAAAAATGGAAGCAACCCATAAAACATCATCTCATCATTTTATAGCTATTCATACATTCCTTTTCAAAGTTGTGAAATTAAATAAGACAGGAATTAGATTTAATGTATCAGGGTACGCATTCTTGAGTAAATTAAAATGTATTCGTCACGTCGCAGATGATAAAAATTTATGTGTTCTTAATTCATTTTATGGGCTTTAGCCCTGGGCACTTTGTGCCCTGGACTTTAAAAAAATAAACTTTATTTTTATTTATTTTTTAATTTTTTATTCTTACATAAATGAACAAAAACGGAACAGCTAAAATGAATGATAATCAAATAAGAGCCGAAGGTAGAAGGTTATTTAAACGCTTCTATAACATTCCTGATGGTGTTAATCCTAAAACTCGTAGAAGTTATTTAAATGAAGCCATAGATGCATATGAAGGATTTGACATTTCATCAGAAAGTGAGAGGTTAGCAAGAATGTTAAACGTTAATATTGATTTTTATTATTGTGACCCTCAACCAGAAGACGTAGACATAAATAAGGTAGACTTTCCATTAGTGGAATCAATAATGATAGATCCAGAATTTGAAACAGTAAATATTTTATTAACACAGAGTCCATGTGGAAA